AACACACAAACAGCCATGGCTGAGCCTTTCTGAGAGGTCTCCCTCCGGCCACCAGCAGCTTGATTGCGGCCGCACCAGCCCCCACCTCCTCTCTCATTACTCCCCTCAGACTGACACAGGCTGGCACAGTCCGAGGGGAAAATCATTTAAAAGACCTTAGCCTCATGATTTTGGCTGTCTGCCCGGCCCCAGGTGCCGTGGCCCACTGGGAAATCTCCCGTTATCCCGGTGGGCCAGTCCGGCCCTGCCTCTATCCCAATTTATGTCCAGGTAATTAAAATCTCCAATAATTAACGTGTTACCCAGATGTGCAGATTTCACAACTTGCTCAAACAGCTGTCCTTCCTCATCAATATTAACATTAGGTGGTTTATAATGTATCCCAACCAATAACTGATTTCCCTTTTTTTGCCCCAAGCAGATATCTACCCATAAAGCTTCCACATTTACTTCATCACATTCCACTTACTTGAGATTTGACTTTAACTCATGGTTGACATACAAACATAATGTGTAGCCATTTAAATTAGCTGCCCAGTCATGTGTCTCATCCCACCATGTTTCAGTTATGCCTATTGTAACAAAACCCTACCTTATGCCTGGGAATCTTTACTGCTACCGGCCCTTTAAGAGCTAGTCAGATTATAAAGACAGATTGTTTATCCAGCAAAAGACATCAAACTGGATATAATTGAATGTGCTTACCTGTTTCGTGGGGATTATTCGTTAAAACAGTTCGGGACTTTTAAAGCGTTCGCTTTCTTGTGTGACTCAAACGGTATGGACCCAGCATTCACCGTACGAATGCAAACCATCGAACACCGGACCCCCCCCCCGCTACCTAATTATGTGGTAATTTACCTCCCTGATCGACACATTCAGCTCTTATGGGAAACGCACGAATGCTTTGTTTCAGTTCCTGGGTGGCCGCCATTTCGGGACTTTTACACATGGTCGTGGCCATCTTAACTCCCGAACAGCGGTGTTTTGCCGACGAGTGTCTGGAACTAAAATCGGACACTCAAGTAGGCGAATACCGCTGAGACCTCCATAGCACCGGAGATTCGTGCCAAAACTACCGAACACCCTGCCGTTCGGTAGAAAGACTTAGTAACATATGGGGATTATGGTGAACGTCGAGTTACGCATGGATGGCAAGCCTTTCGGGACTTTTAACACGCGAACAAAGACCGACCGCAAAGCCAAAACTCATGGAACTATTGTCGGCTACTTTGCCTGTGCGGTCGGTCAAAACTTTAAAGCTCCATATCTCCCGAACCACTGAACCGAATGAGTTGATTTTTTCATATTTTTTTATATGTTGATCTCCCAGAATAGGGCTATCTGGGGATACCGGATTTATGCATGTACCCCAGGTATTTGGGGTACATCCAAAACTTGGGGAAAAATGTGTCTTTGTTAATTGGGTTACAAGCTTATCTGAGGGGAGGAGATGTGTGGGATGTACATTATGTTTTATTGGTTGTTGTGTTAATTATGTGGGTGTCTCCCTTGCATGGGCAGAATCACATAAAAGGAGAGTACCTGCCATTAAAATTCAGTTCTTCTTGACCCTTCAAAACGTAGCCTTGTCTCGGGGAAAGGGGATATGCAGCTTAATCACTTAGCTCTTTTAAGAGCTCTGCCTGACTCCTGCCTTGGATCCAGTGGATGGGAATAAGCAACTCCACTACTATACAGCGACTTGCCGGGAAGAAAAGGACGTCTCCAACGGCTGATACCCTCTTACTATCTGGGTAGCCGTTACACCTATTATGTTATATTGTTTAGTGTATGCTATTGCCTCTAGTTCCCCATTTTCTTATTTAGGCTCATTGCATTAGTAAGCATACATTTAATATTATCACAAGTCACTTGTATGTTATGTGAATTTGTATCACTATTGCATATCTCCTCTGTTCTAATCTTGCCCCTCCTTCCATCCATGCCCCCTTTGTTCTGAGCTAAAGCCCATCTCATTTCTGTCCTATCTCCATTTTTTTTTTAATTTCTATGTTCCTCCCCTCCACCACTAGTTTAAAATATCCACCAACCTTCTAACCATTCTGTCCCCCAGCACTGCAGACCCTCTTCTGTTTAGGTGACCTCTCTAATCTCCCGCTGCCTGTAGCGCATGGCACATGGAATAGCTCAGGAAATCTTACCTTTGAGGTCCTCTTCTTAAGAGATGTCCTCTTCATATCACAGGCTCAGCAATCATTTTCCAACTTAAATGTCAGAGAAGTTAGAACGTCTGGGCCAACCATGGTGAAGGACAACAATAACAGAATAAAGAGCTGCTCAAGAACACTCTAGATATTACGAGGAAAGGTGGCAACAAGGAGACGTGGACTTAACAGAACCCTTGCTTATGAACATGTAGTCATACACAGCAATATGAGACAAAGATTGACACAGAAACGCTTTGGGGATCACAGCACTAGCATTAACTAAATTAACATTTCTGAGACAAAGTAGCTGGAATATATACATGTAGAGTGTGATATCACCCTGAGTGTTTGGAACCAATGTCCATTTATATTTTAAAAACATGGAAGGGAAACAAACCCGGATGTCTTACATCATGCTAACAGCTGCCTCAACATTCCAGTAAGGCAGACCGCCAAACACACCAAGGAGAGTAGCTACACTGCACAGGATTCTGTAAAGGCTGTAAAGACACTGTGGAACGTTGGGAAGGTTGAACAAAAAACAAAACCACAAAAATAACTGGATAAGGCAATGAATATTTTTATATCTTATAACTGGCTGAAACAAATATAGCACATATATAACATTGTATTCCAAATCTTCCCCAGAATTACTTGCTTTTTCCTAAAATAAAGTGAATGCGGACAAAATTATTTATTGGGACGCATGAAGGTGAGATAATTAAGATAATCCTCCAGGATGAAAGAATCTTGAGATAATTGTACACAATTTAAATCTTCAAAACCCCACAGTCCTTCAGCAACGAGGATCCATGCTCGAACAAACTAAAAAAAAGATTTAAAAAAAAAAAGATTTTCATAGATGCTTTATTTCTGTTACATGCAAGTAGTGAACAACTTTAAGAGGGACTTTTCGTTCAGACGCTTTGTATCAGATCTGTATGAAATAATATTTGATTGGAATTCCAAGAAAATCAATTATATCATAAGCCAAAGTGGGATCTGTTATATCTTATGGTTGAGTAAGAAGCAGTGTTAATTTTATCCACTAACAATTCTGACAGTTTTGAGATTTGCTTGACTAAAATTTTTGTGATTTAGTCGACTAAAATTTTTGAGATTTAGACAACTAAAATACAACTAAAACTAAAATGGCATTTTAGTCAAAAGACTATGACTAAAACAAAATTGAAATTTGCGGACAAAATTAACACTGCACAGAGGGGCTGTGGACGGGGCTTGGGAGAGAGAGACACCTAGAGAAGTTAGGAGGACACAAAGAGTCAGAGGGGCTGAGGAAGGGGCAAAAGAGACAGATGGAGGCTTTAACTAAACCCATTAGATTTTAGTTGTGTCAACTAAAATCTATTGGAGATTTAGTCGACTAAACTAAAACAATTCAGTTGACTAAAATGTTTTTTTAATCAAAAGACTATGACTACAACTAAACTGAAATTTCCCGCCACAATTAACACTGGTAAGAAGCTGAGAAAACTTGAGAAAAGGCTGGATTTCCATGGTCAAGTTTTGTCACTTGCCAAGAGCCTTTGTTAGCCACACCTGATTGAAAATGCATCATCGTTCGCAGTCTTCCATGGTTCACGGTTTTGTACTCTAGGGCATATCCTTGATCACAGCTTCTGGAGGGTGAAGTGCCTAAAGACAAGCCCATTGCGAAGCATGGTGGCCGAGCGAGGTAGGTATTTGTTAGATGTTCTCTGGCAGCCACACTTCAGACAGACAGATCACATTTTGGATCTTGCATAATTTGCAGGTACTCCTAAATGTGACAATGCTTCTCTAACTTGCACTTTCTTCAACAATGCAGTTCCAAATGGCACCCTTTCAAAGTTGTTCACTAACATGTGAATTGTTAGGCATTTAAAGTGAATTCAAAGTGCATTTAACACAAAGGCATACTTGGGTAACACGGTACTTGGGTGAAACTATATGATGGGATCCCTCTCCTTTTTGTGTTCTTAATCCCTCTCTAGTGTCTTTTCCCCCTTGCATCTCTTATGCCCCTCTTGCATCTCATAACTCTATTTCTCTGTGCAACCCCTTCTAGACAGTTACTCGACCCCCCTCCCCCTTTAATATGCCACTGTTTTCATATACTAGTCCAAAATGGCTAACTGAAAATATTGCTGACTTCTTGCCTGTTAAACTTTTAGTGTATATAATCCTATATAGCCCTTGCAGAAGATATAGTTTATATCTCTCAGACATTAGCAGTAGGCAGGGAGCAGTGTAAGGCAGTCCCCACAGTTTCACTACTCACAATTGGTCGGAGGAGGGGATTTCTTGGCACCATAATCACTACAGTGAGCTGTAGTGGTTATGGTGTTTTGACTGTTTCTTAAAACCAAGGGATTTATTCTCTGAGAGAGTTCAATTTCCATAGCATACTACATATTGTTTTTTCTTTAGTAGCAGCACCTTACAAAATGCACTTTACTTACTGCTTTACTAAAGGGAAATAAATACTTATAACTAAACTGACTGAATAATTTTAAATAATTGACAGATTGGAATCCTAACATTACTGATACAATAAAAAAATAATAATAATTTCTCTTATCAGTTCACCATAATGTCGTACAATCTATCTAAAAAACAAACAAAAAAAACTATGTACGCTCCACAGTGCTCTGCACTAGAAAGAATTCCTGTTCTGTTTATTGTTGCAGTATTAGTTTAATCGAAAGTGTGGTTAATCTTTGCAATGAAAATTTTCTTTTGTGCATATTTCTCGTTGGCCTGCAGGCGGCGCACTTATCTCACATTTCCCAGTGAATTTTAGGCACACCTCTCTCTTACAGTGCAGTGCCCCTATCCATTGCCGCTCCCCTTCTGTCTCTCCCCGCCTCATTGAGATCACATGGAATTTATGTTAAAAAATAGAAAAAAACAACAACTCGGGGACCAGAAAGAGTGCAAGCAGTGAGCACAATGGAGCAGAGGTAAGCAGGGGTTGCAGAGAAGCATGGTTGGACTTAGAGGAGTAAGAACTGGGGGTTAGTATGGAAAAACCTATAGTTAGGCTTTCACTGCCATTGGTGTCTCCGGAGAAAAGTTTGCAATGAGCCTGGCATCTCTACAGAGTCTGCAAATGGAGTACCCAGCAAGAGATGGGCACATACTAGCCTAATGCCTGCCTCGCCTGGGATAGGGGGACAGGGATATAGAATGTCAGGAGATGATGATTAATGCGGTGTAACTGCCAGGATTCTAACAAGACAAGGTCCCCTCTCTGGGTGGACACTGTGATGTTCCTGCTAGGTAAAGAAGATACTGACCATAAAAAGCAGGTCAAGGGGTTACTCACTAACAGGTTAATCAGGGATACAATCTGACATCATGGATCATGGTAGTGAAGTATGCCTATGAGTGGGTTAATGTTGCACTTTAAAGGTTTTTAGAACTTATCAATAATGAAAAACTTGTTTGGGTTGGGAAAGTACTAAATGGGGAGCCCTTACCATGGACACATGTATAATATCTGTTTCTTTATAAAAGCTCCCGTTTTGCCCTCATTAATACCCATTATATCCTCTTGGAGTTTGAAGGTGCCCAGCTGATTTGATGTCGTAGGTCAGTTGTTCTTGGCACCGTCTGTTCTTGTAGTTCTGTGCATGTGGGACAGGGGTGGGAAAACCTTTGGCATTGCAGATGTTGCGGACTACATTTCCCACAATGCTGGTACAGTTACAATACTGGCAAAGCATCCGGGGGGATGTAGTACACAACATCTGGAGTGCTGAAGTTGCCTATGCCTGATATAGGCATGGATCACTAGCACTGGCAACTGCAGATGTTTGTGAATAAAATGTCCGAAAAGTCTGAGCTCCATGGGAAATTTGGGACACACCTGGACACATATGGCCCCGGCAGAAGAGAATTAATTTTAAGTCATATAGCTACACCCAGTAAAGGTGTTTCAGGAACTTTTGGATGACATTTTTTTTTCTGTGAAAAAAAGGAACCCCCCAAAAGTGAATTAGAAAGTTAATGCTTATAATAATTAAGCCGTGCAGTGTTGTTCGTCTTTAGTTCAGATGTTTGGGGTTTTTGTTTGTGCCTATTTTAGCCTAACGTTTCCGTTTTCAGTTCTGCACAATTCACAGTTTAATGAACAAACCCCTGTATGTTGAATGGAGAGGTTTAGATTACCGAATCAATTGTTCCGTTGTGTACTTTGCCATGGTTAACTCACACACTTACAGAATTCTGTGTATCAGTTTGCTTTACCCGTATGAGGCAGGTTCTGTATTGCAGATCCTCCTCATTGCATGTTCTAGATTACCGTGCCGGGCAATATAAAGCAATTCATTTTCCATTCCTACTTCAAGTTCTGCTAGACAGGTCAGATCCACCATGTTTTCCTCAAAAGTTCTGTCCTACAGTATGCTGGCCTGCAATACGCATAATTCACATGTTACAGGAAGTAAATGAAGGGGGAATCCCTGTGGAACTGCTAATTCAGCTAATTCACTGTCTAGTTCATGGACAATATATAACAAATTATAAAGAAAATAATGTGAAGCAAAATAAAGATATATACAAAAATACACAATGATTCTGTAAATGGACATAATGGCCGTACCTTTTATTTAAAGGGTTTGAGAGGCATTGCACATAACCATAACTAAATTGAATAAATAAACCGTACATAAACTTAAACAAAAATAATCGGCCCTCAGATCCAAATTGTTATTATCTTGCCTCTGTCCACCCCCTCAATATTGGAGGTGACCATACATCTTCATATGAAGCCTATGTGAGATAATTGGGTGGGATATTTTCGCCCCAGCAAGATGAAGAGGTATAGCCATCGCAAATGCTGCCCTAAACAAACTACTAACATGGCACGCGCCCTAGACGAAATCTTAACAGAACATATCGGATTTTTGCACAACTATTGCTTGGAATATTTGTTAAAACCAGCTTAAACATGCCTGCTCCTAATATACCTGTTCTACCTTGATGCACGCTTAACCACAGACTTAACTGTGTCCAGCAATGGACAGTTTACAGCGCTACATCCTTTCCTACAACACGTTGCATCCTTTCTGAGCGGATGAATTTCACACACTAAGGAGGTATTTTTCCTTAGGAAGGTTGGGTCTATCATCCGTAGGTTCTAAAGAGTAAGTCACATCGCCAGTTATCATTGAGCAGTTACTTTTACCTTTCATTGTCTGAAATTCTGCAAAAAATGTAAAATTATTTTCAACATCAGCTTGATTTGAGTGCAGCTCCTAGTACAGGGGTGCCCAAAAGGTAGATCCCTAGATGTTTTAAAACTACTGCATCCATTATGCTTTGTCATTCTGAAGGCATGCTAGGCATCATGGGAGTTGTAGTTCATCAACATCTGGGGACCTACATTTTGGCACATCCCTGCCCTAGTGCATCGGTAGCATTATATATAAAATACATGGACTAAATCTTAGAGCAGGTGCCATCTGTTGCATTCTATATTAAATACATGGGCTAAGTCTAGGAGCAGGTGCCATGGGGACAGCACTATGTAAACGTGTTCTTTAATCACAATAATTCACTAGAACTTTGTACATCTATACTTTAAATCTTAAAGCTCCTTCTGATCCCTCTCGCCTGCAAGTTCCAGGTTCTCTATCCATGAGCCTCTTCCAGAAGCCATCATGTTCTGTACTCTGTGTGTCAATGTTCCATGTTCTATACTGTTTATCTTCTTTCTCTTGATTTACAGCTGATCTCTCTTTTCAGTATATCCCAGACGCTGTACTCCGTGTCCTTTCTCCCATCGATGCATTGCTGATCCTTTCTTCCATTAATGCGCCATGATCTTTTATTCGCAGAATTTGCTTTGTTTTCTCGCATTTTTTAATATAACCTGTTATTAGGATGACTTTCTGTCCCTAAACACTCTGTTCTGTGCTGCTGACCTTCTGTTTTCTGAAAGTACCTTGTTGTGTACTGCTGATCCCTTCATTATACTAGATTTTGCTCAGCTGATCCTTTAAATAAACCTTCGTCCTGTTTCTCTGAAACGTGGCATTTTCTGTCCTGCTGAACCTTTTTCACCTAATTCGCAATGTTTTGTAATTCTAATTCTTTCTTCCTTGACTGCACGACATTGTGCACAACTGGCCTGGACTCTCCCGTCAACATATCATAGTCAGTACTACAGCACCTCTTAAACCTAAATGTACTAGTTTCTAAGGTATGGTTCTATCAAAGGTACACTCCAAGCACCAGAACAGGCATAGGCAACCTTCGGCACTCCAGATGTTTTGGACTACACCTCCCAAGATGCTTTGCCAGCATTACGGGTGTAACAGCATTATGGGGGATGTAGTCCAAAACATCTGGAGTGCCGAGGTTGCCTATCAGGAGTGCCCTGGTGCAAACCCACGGTAAGTAGTCGAATTGTAAATAATACGGTTTGACAACTTACCTGTATATGCAGCAAATATGGTTATTTTGCAGAGTAAACGGTAATCAGTAATAGGTTGGGAGAGGTATAAAATAAGAAAAACAAATAGAATAATCTAAATAACACACCCATTAGTTGGTACGTGGAGGTGAGTTCACCATAATTTGCATAGCCTATAGTCATATCCTAGGTAGACCATCCGGATAAATAATACAGCCAGAACCTCCTGGTTTTTGTATTTTATTCTACAAAGCCATTTATAATGGCAGGAAGTTCCTCTATGTCCTGTTTATCTTTAGCCCATGTGTACCTGCTGTGGGACCGATGAAGAGGATGTTTGTCTTGATCTAGTTGCATTTAGCAGATGTTTAATTAGGGATTTCTGGATTTTAAAAATAAATAAAATGTAGCATTGTTTCAGCCAGTAGGGAGTTTCCTCCTATGCAATCTATGTCACTGTGTCATGAATAGCCTTCCAACATGGGACATTCCCACTATTTGTAGAACATTGAAACCATTCCTTCCCGGCAACACCACTAGTGCATGGTCTTCAGAAAACCTCTGCTGCAGCTGAAGGGGTTGGTGTTCAATTCGTATTAAGGGCTTAGAATGACGTTCCTAAAATGTTGTACTCAAACTTTGGTATGCCCAAATCATGATTATGAAATAACATGTAAATATCTTTCACTAAAGATGCCTTACCATAAACTGTATTTTTGTGTAGGGCCTATGTACATTATGTCGGGACTGCATAGTAAAAATGGTGGATCTAATGATAGAGAAAATACCCCATCACTTTGAGACTCTAAGTTCATTCCTTTCCAGATCTCCTTAGATCAGTGATGGCGTTAAAAGGGGAAGTGTCTCTTTTCATTATGTTGTGTTTACGTATCTTCTATATTTAACAAATGTGTTTTTTTTGTGATAAGTAAAAAGTAAATGGAACAATCCACACCTCACTGTATTGCAACTGAATACCACCGTGTTGGCTCACTGTATCATTGTTGTAACCTAGAAGTCAGTGTTGAGGAAAATGAGAGGAGTTTGGAGCCGAATTGTTGTTGCTCTTCATCCAATAAATCTGCCTGCATTTTAGATCCAGGCTTTCCTGCTGCTATTTAATGATGCTGGAGTTTGGTCATCTCTGGACCTGATGCACGGTAGCTTTTCTGAACGTGTTTTTGGCCAACTTTTCCTTGCTGTGTCTGGATTTAACTGGATTAAGACGTAATTTACTTAATCTGTTAGATACATTTTATAGACAATGGTGCATCATTTAAAAAAAAGTTAACACAAGTTCTTTGTAATTTTTTATGTTATATTCTGTGTTAAAAATTTCTGTAGCATGATGGTTCCCCATTAGCTTTAACATTTTAAACTTCTGGGATTTATATTTTATTTGGCGTCCAACTAGCTAGAAAGATCTACCATACCAGGGTTAGCCAGCAGTGTCCCAATTCAATGCAGATACCTCCAAGTTCATTCCTTTCTACCTGCAAACATCACACCTCTCATATTTACATGGCAGATTCCGAATCCAGCTTTACGTGTGCCAAATTTCATGGTATTGTCCTCTTAAATATCAGCATTCCCAGCTCTGAATACCCGTCCTCCCGCCCTCTCCTGTCCGGAAAATGTTATCATTGCCGTTGGCCTTGGATTTACCAGGCTTAGTGTGATGTCTAAATACCCATGTATATGTGGGAACCTCTGCTCTTCCCAGCGTTCTGTGTCCCAACCATAATTAGACGAAAGATCTGAGACGTTGAAAGGGGTGGTGAAATTAAAAACTGGCAACGTAAGGTGCACAGATTTCACCTTTTAAGGTTTTGAGCCTATTTCAATACTGCCCTGTATTATAGATTTTTAGACGCAAACCTCGTAAGGAGTACAATTGGTTAGGCTAACCTAGGGGTGCAAAGAGGTAGATCCCCCCTATAAATTTAGAACTGTAATTTTCATGATTACTTTGCTTTTCTAAAGACTTTCTTAAAGACTTAACTATAAAAAAGTTTTCTGTCTTCATAAAATATTTGGGTTAATGTATTGTCTCATACCATACCCTGTTTTTTGCCTCCATGTATTAATTGTGTCTCTCCTAGTTGGATTATCTTGCGTACGCACCCAATTTGCTTTAACGCACTCCCTTTTTTCCAGTGTTGTGTTTTCTTTAACAACATCTGTGCGGTTTATTTCTTCTGCAACCATTTCTGAAACTGTCTTAGTTTACTCCTTATCGTCGCACTCCTTCCAAAACGCAGCCTCCCTTTCTTATATCCACCTTAATTGCTCTTCCTTCCCATGGTCTCCTCCCTCACATTTTCTAAATTTAGTCTCTTTTCACTCAATTTCATTTTTTATTTTTTTTAACAATCTATGCCTTGATAAACAGAGCTGATTATGAAATTGTACACATTTTATGTGTCACCCCAACCGTTCCTTATTACAATGTAAGGAAAAAACGGATGTTCCCTTCACAGTTATCAGTATTCATTTAACCTTAATATGATCTAATCGTAATAATAAACAAAATATTATTAAACATGAAAACACAGAAAAAAAATCATTATTTTTACATGTTTATTAAACAAGTACTAAAACAGTATTATAAAGCTCTGAAATAATCGACTATATTATGAAAGTAATATGAATCTGATGTTTTTATCAACATGATGGCAATTAAATTTGAGTTTGTAGGCCTTTCCTTATAAAGCACGCACAAGTCGTTGGTTGTCAAAGTCACAGTCTGTTCTACAGGATACAAGTTTATGAAGTGAATCATGCACTGCTGAAAAAAATTATGAGGGTAACAGAAAAAAAGTTGTCTTTTCAGGAGGCTGGAAAATGTTACAACACTATTGCTAAAGACATTGGCCTTTTTTTTAGTCCACAGTCAGGCTGATGGAATAGACTTAAAGGAAATCCAGCAGTTTTATCATGCCTCCCAAATGTCCCCTAACAGAAGAGGAATGATAGTCCATGTTGTAGGCCCAATACCCTCTGTCTAGGAGCTTTGTATTGTTCATGTGATAGAGCTCCACAGAAATAATACTCCCAGTAATATGTCTTTAAACTACCATAAATGTGTTTAGAAGTCAGTCTGTATAAATACGATATATTGATCTTGTTCTAAATTACATTTTAGTTGCATAAATTGTTATTAGTAAGCCATCTAAAATGTCTCAGAACAGCTCAGCACCCACTCACACCCCTAAAATGAAAGTGCATTCTTTGTCAATTTGAAATGTTGGGGGTTATGGTTCTCTTTCTCATGTGCTGGTTGTTATTCTGAAATCTTTCCAAGTTTTACAATAATCCAGGGATTTACTGAGCAAACTGAATCTGTTCCTTGGGGTAACATCCATGCCCATTGTCACCCGTAAAGAAAACCCCAAAAGTGTGGTGTGTGTGAAAGGATACCTAGTAGTTATCCATTAGTGTTCCAAAAAGTGTTGCCACTTGTTTCATGGCCCCTGGCTAATCTGTGCTAAAAAGGCATAGATGTGCATGTGCTTAACAAGTACTTGGGTGGACATAGGAGGAAGAATTGGGTTTATAGCTAAAGTGTTTCCTCTATTTCCATGGTGCAATACATAAAATAAGGTACTTACGAATACGTACCAGGGAGGTCAGGTGTGTTTCACTTGTCTGGATTATTATATTTTTGGACCACGGAAATCTAAAATAAAATGATGACATTTTAATTTTGTGTATCCTATTAATTGTCATATTAAAGGAACATAATAATAGTGTTAGGAATACAAACATGGTGCCCAGCCACCCTCAGATTGGAGATAAAAGGTAGTTTACTTACCTTTCCTCCTTCACCGCTCTGGTCTCACCGCAGTTTGCCCTGCCTCAATGGCCAAGATTATCAATGTTGATGATCTCAGCCAATCGAATGCTTTCATGGGTTCTGGTGACTATAGTGTCCCTTTAAGTGCGTTTACCAATCTTTGTTTTGGCAGAGGATGCTATGATTTGTTAATTCCTATGGGCGATGAGGATAGGCTAGTATAATAGTTTTTCACAGACCATAAGTGTCTGATATTAATGTTAAGGATTTTGTTGTGCTGAGCCCTTTGATTTAAAGTACAATAAACTATGCAGAGACCCTAGGTATTACGGATCACCATATTTGTAGTTATTTCAGTTTACATGTGAAGTACTGCTAATCATGTACTACTAAGTGTATTATCTCATAAATCTACTGATGCATTTCCTAGCTACTCGGCTAACACAAAATATAGATAAATGTGGTGATTCTGTTACTTTTGATAAGGGTCTTTAAGGGGTCACTCCAGGTTACAACTGAATTATGCCCTTTTCACACTATTTAGCTAATACATTAACGATATATGCAATCAATTTACAATAATAGCTAATAAATGGCATTTGAGGTCCCTGCACTTGCTGCAAATCCCCGCACTTGCTGCCAATCCCCAGGCTGAGCAGTTTTTTCAGTGAGCTCATTCTCACCTAAGCAGGATATGGTATGGCCATTCCGTTGTGATGCTGGGCACTTCCCATAAATCCTTGAACAGCAGGGCTTTATGTACACAGCACGGATTTATGTACACAGCACGGATTTATGTACACAGCAGTGTATTTTATGAGCTTTAGTCCAGTAACCTTTTTCCCTTTTCTCCAGTTAGGTTTCTCTTGCATAAAGCTGACAGCTAATCCCCCTCATCCCTTTGCTGTGCAGCGTCACACCACGGTGCAGTTATATATTTTAATAAATATAATGTACAACTTTTTGTTGTGGGAGATGAGGAAAAAGGTAAACAAACAGCCTGATTTCCCCCCTCACTGAAAGGAGAACTTGGCCCTGAGGATGGACTTGGGGTAGGCGTGGCACGGGAGGGGCGTTCAGCCATTAGTTATCTGTCTCCAGCCTGCTATGTGTGCTCGTGACAGATTCCCACTATGCACAGAATTCACATTAGCCGGCCTGGAACTCCTTGCGCACTTTCAATGTGCACTTTCTCTGTTTGTGCAGTGTTTCAAACTGAATCGCTACACATACAGATTGTGAGTGCCATAACCACATCAAACAAGGGAAGTGGTGATAGTGATTAGAGTGACCCTTTAAGCGCTGGTTTGGAAACTGCTGACCGAACATACACATTGGACACATCACTTTGTGTGCTTGGATTATCCTTTTAAAGGGTTACTCCAACTCCCATAATCACTTCAGCTTTTAGAATACAGAGATATTCGCACTTATGAGGTGGGGTCTACTTACACCCCGGCACACTTAACTTAGGCAGCCCACAAACTCTGTTCCGGGCTTCCTAATGTCAATTCAGTGCAAAAAATACATGCAGGCAGCTTCCCCCTAGATGGCAGTGATTAGAGACATAACGCCCCTTCCACCCAAATACTAGTCGAGATGTAGCATAGGAGGAAACACAACTGACCTTTATTGAAAACAGCTTATCTATTTATACCCCCAACATCCTCATTTACATACAATAGGCGTACAGTGGAACACATAGTTCTCCTTCAGGTCCTCCACCGTAATCCCCTCCCAAACAGTACAGTAAGCCTAAGTCAACCAATAGCAGTATGGACCTGGGACAGCAACCAATTACATTAAAAAGCTTAGATTACATTACAACTAAATGGCGCACTGCGGTTGCAAGGAATGGTCACGACAGACAATAACAAGGGCTAAGAACCACGTCGGAAATTTAAAGCCACTTCAAACTGGTCTGGAAGTGTCGATGGAATAATGGGATAACGCTCTTCTAGGAAAACAGGAAAGGGTGAGAGGGAAAGGCACATACAACCTGGACAATAAATACATTTAATCCCCACCGTTTTAACCCAGCTGACAAGCAATTGAAAGTTGGGTAATCGTCTCTTAGTAAATGTTTCAAATCCATACCACGGAGAAGTAGTAGTTCCAACTGTTCCCCTATACCCACCTCCCAAAAAACAGAACATTGCCTATAGTTGACGGGGAGGAAGCCCAGGTGCCAGGGTAATGGAGGATTCCGTTACAATAATCCATCCAGACCTTTAATTGCTCCAGGCAAGTATATATATTGTCTAAATGAGAAACTGAGTTTACATGCCACTTTAATTCATGGTACAAAAATGTAAGGTTCATCACTCCATGGATTTCTGTTCAGGTTATACCTAGGTATACAAGGTATATTTTTATAGATGTTTTCTTAATAAAATGTGATTACAAACTGTTAATTTAATTCTGGATTAATTACCTTTACAGATATTAAATTGACAGGGAGACTGTGGATGTGACTGAGACACACATTATGGGACAGACCAATGGAAGAGCACCTAGAAAGATTTTGCGGCTGACCATTCAAGAGCAATCTAAGATTATAGATTAAAAATCTGAGTAAAAATAACAGTCCATCACAGAAGAAATGGAACCATCAAAGTTGCCATCTATAACAGAAGACTTTCAGAAACTAGAGTGTGAACCAGATAAGGGCATAGAAACTCATGAGCAGGTCTCTAAAACACAATGGCAAAGTCACACCAGAAAGATGAACCACCGGTCCGTACAGAGAGAAAGCTTAAATGATGACCTTCCTGAACATGAAGTGAAAAAGAGCATGGTGAGAGCCTCGGACCGCTCCATCTCGAGCACATCCACCTGCTCATCAATTACGTATTCTTCTCCAGAAAGTGACCAGGTATTCAGTGAAGAAGAAGACCTCCAGATAAAGCGCAAAACTCTACGTAAGGTGAGAAGTCGTTGGTGGTACTGTGGAGGAACAAATCTTTTTTCAACGTGATCTTGTTTCTGTGACAAGGGGTTAAGAAATGCAGCATTATGGTGGCAGCCTTTGTTTGTCAGAGAGGAAAAGATGCAATTTTCTCTCGCTAACTAGACAATAGGGAGAACATTAGCAGGTAGGGACACTGTGGTATTGTCAGAAACAAAATTATAGCTTAGCAGTCAGTGTGTGGGTTGCTCGGATAGTTGAGCTTTTCTGAGGAAAGGAGATGGAAAAATATAGCATAGTTTACACTGTAATAGGACTCTTACAGGGTTATTCAGTGAAATGTAAATTGTCAGGAATTCAAAATAAATTTTAAATTTAAGCCCAAAATGGAAAATATTTCCAAATCAGCTTTGTATTCAGGTTTTTTTTGGCCCTAAAATTAAAAATGTTACTTTTAATTTATAATTCATACTTTAGTAAATGATTCATTTGGTATAATTATACTGCCCTGATTATTATTACGTGTCACTCTGTGATTCAGGAACATATTTGCAGAACCTGTCTGTCTTCCTTACAGTTCAATGCGTGACTTATCTCATGTGTGCACGTTTTGTTAATGTGACCAAATTTATATCCCCTATTATCGATTCTCACTGTGAGCTAATGGATGAGTAGGTGTCTCCTGTCTATAGGGGGACACTATTGTCTCTTTTCTATCTGTGTGTTCATGTGAGGAGTGTGCAGACATGTATCTGTCTTCAGTCAAACACACAGAAAGTGCAGACCTGTGCAGACTTCTCTCTATTAGACAGGTATTTATTTGGTAAGTGTTGATTTGAACACTGAACAGTTGAATTTAAGCCAAACTAGTCAGATTACTCAATACTTTCCAGTCGCTCGTAAGCAGAGGACTTCAGTAAAATCATAAAAAACATTTTAACAAAGCAGTTATCGTAACGGACGCTTAATTCCTTTCTGCATGCGCATGTCCTGGGGCTCCTTCTCTGCTGCAGGTTGGACTTCTCCAATACATAGGACAATAACGGCACTCACAGAAAATTCAGATTAAAGGACCACTATAGTGCCAGGAAAACATCCTCGTTTTCCTGGCTCTATAGGATCCTTGGGTCCCCCTCACCCTCAGGGCCCCACTCCCGCCGGGCTCTAGAGTGAGGAAGGGGTTAATCCTCCCTCGGCGCTGGGGACTCTCCTCCTCCTTTCCCGTCATCGGCTGAATGCGCATGCGTGGCATGAGCCGCACGCGCATTAAGCCAGTCTCATAGGAAAGCATTCTCAATGCTTTCCTATGGACGCTGGCGTCTTCTCACAGTGAGAAGCGCGGAAGCGCCTCTAGCGGCTATCAATGAGACAGCCACTAGAGGCTGGATTAACCCATTTGTAAACATAGCAGTTTCTCTAAAACGGCTCTGTTTACCGCAGAAAGGGTTAAACCTAGATGGACCTGGCACCCAGACCACTTCATTAAGCTGAAGTGGTCTGGGTGCCTATAGTGGTCCTTTAAATCCGGGTCCGAATAAAACTTTACTAAGGAAAAACAAACACATCCCCATCCTTTGGAGAGGGCAAATGTCCAACAAAGTCCGAACGTGTTTTGTGTGGATAGTGACAGGTATCTACTGCTATGTGCAGTCACATTCTTTTATATCTCAAACTCCAGTGAAACCATTAGAAAATAACAGGCAGTGTATCTAACTTGCTTCTGACTTTAAACTGGTTAAATTACTAACACAACTCAGTGACAGAATCGTTACAATTCACATCATTTGAGTTACAACGTACATTATCAGTGTTAAATTTATAATTCACCATTTAGTGAATAACCCCTTGAAGTCTTCTTTTCTTGTATTTTGAAATATCTGAGAGCTGTTTTGTGGAGGAATCACTGTCACTGTGCAGATGTAGAGACTATTAGCTTACTTACCATATGTACACTTGTATAACATCCATTACATTTTTCATATTTCTTATGCTTTGTTTAGAGGGGTTTAGGGAGGGGGGATTTGAGGGTTTAACGTTGACATTTAATTTATTTTCCATTCCATCTAGATTACAATTGACCCTATGAATAGAGCAGCAGCTGACGCTATACCAGTCGGGCCTGGAATATCCTGTTAGCGCAGAGCTTTACCTTATTTGGGATTTTTAATTAAGTGAGAGTATGTTGATTTTCTAAAGATGGCTTTGGACCATGGAAAATGATTATGCATCTGTAGAAAGTCGAGTGCCCTATGGTCATATTGAGCTAAATCCATGCCAGGTATAAGAAGAAGTGGAAACCAAAGCAATTATCAGCTAGCTGGGAGAGTGGGAATGCCTAAAGTTATGTTTATTTCTGCCTCTCTACCAAGTGGGAAAAAAAACTATTTGTGCTTTTTGTCACCATTTCCTTTGTTTCTGTGACTTGGTAAATGGTTAGAAACGAGTAGAATTTTTGTTAACATTGTTGCGCTGTAGAGTGGCTGATGCCATCCTTTTGTGCGATAAACACACCAGACCCGTATTACCAGTTTGTGTTTAACTGATGATAAACCGACCTGTCTGGTAAGCCGGTGTCACCTTGCAGTGGCTTGAAGACGCAATGTACCGGATACGTAGCCATGCCATCCTGCAGGCACACTACCGGTTGTGGCAAGGTTCACACACTAATGGGTAGATTGTAATTCTGATGTAGCTGGGAATTGGTGCAATTAGAGAGAGGCTCCACACGGCAAGGGGTGTAATAGAGACACACAGCGTGACAAGAACTGATTGCGTAATGTTAAATAATGGCGTGCACGGGGAGAGGGTGTAATTATGATAGAAGGAACAGGCTCATCCTGTGTTTGCACTATATGCAACCTTACATAGATACAGTGGGTGTAAAAATAGTAGCCGAAGAAGCAGGAGTAATAATGGTACACGGAGAGAGGAAACGATACTAGTACATAGAAGAAGTGTGAGGAATGGTACATGGGAGGCAGATGGAAAAACTCTAATTCATAGTGCACATGGTTTAATGGTTCACTGCGGGGGAGGGGAGATAATGGCCCATGGAGGGAGAGAGAGGAATGGTGCACCAAGAGAAAGATAAGACACTGATGTATTGAGAGAGGGGGAGCAATGGTACATTGAGGGAGGAGAGGAGTTTAATATTAATATTTTACAGATTGTTATTGAGGCACAAAGAGCGACAGGGTAGAGTTCTGGTACATAGAGAGAATGTAATACTGGCAGGCACATGGTGTAAATCAGGGGTGCCCGAAAGGTAGATCCCCAGATGTTTTAAAACTACAGGAGTTGTTGTTCTACAGCATCTGGGCTTCTACCTTTTGGGCATCCCTGCTGTAAATGTATATACTGTGAGCAGGGGTAATAATAGTACGTGGTGGAAGCGGATGGGGTGTGTAATCACATTACGTGAAGGGATAGTACACAGAGGGAGAGGATGTAAGTCTGCTACACATAGAGGGTTATTTCTTAATGTGAGAATTCAAAGAGAATTTCAAACTTAAGGTCAAAGTAGCCGAGCTGGATAAATTCTCTAAGTCAGTTATTCTTTTAGTTAGACTACTCTGGCCTTAAATCTTAAATTCACTTTGAATTCTCGCTTTAGTAGATGACCTTGATGGAGTGACATGTTGTAATAATAGCACTCAGAGAGAATGGTATATGCAGTAAGCAGGTATATTTTGAGTATACATTAGGTGAGTGCCACCTATGGAAATGACATGTAATTATGGTATAACAAGTTCCACCAACACAGAACGGGTTCATATGGACATACAAACATTGCCCTGTGTATGTAACAGACATAAACAGCTAGGTTTGCTATAACACACATACTCGCACTGCTCGCTGTGTAATGATTTGAGTTAATTAGTAGTTAGAAATCTCCAGTAATATGTCACAAGGTATAGCCAAGCAGGGTAGCTGTAAAGAATCAAACCAGTTCTTACACTATATCCCGTTGTATTCGCTCATTCTGACTGTAGGCTGGCTGAGAGTGGTGGCAGTTGCTGTTCAGTAATCTCTGGCTATCCCAGCCCTTTCTGTCAAACCGGAGTCTAGTTCTTCTTTTTCAGCTATCCTCTCTTTTTTTAAATGTATTTTTTGACTGAGAGATTGAGGCTTCCCCTCTCTGAGAGAGTATTTGCAGTCATGCAAGACGTGAAGAACCTGTTAATCAAATTAGTAGTGCTTTGGCAACCACAGAGAAAAGCCTTCCAGTGTTTTGGATGCAGGAAAGTGGCACACAGCATAACATTAATTACTATTATTGGAAAAGCATTCTTTATCAGCAGACTGTGATGTGAACCCCACAAAACACTAAGGCTCATATACAGCAAATAACATCCAATAGCACAGCCTTGACCTTGGATACTGTATAATACACAACAAACGTTGTTTACCATTATTCTCACCAACATTCCATTGAGAAACGTCAGCTATGGGCCACATCGTTGCACAACTGAAAATAAATCTACAGACGCTAAAAGAGAGAGAGTGAGATCGAAAAAAAAATCCTAAACCATCTGTATTTACATACTTCTGTTCATTTTGTGCCAAATTTAATGATGCATTTCAATTGTGTCATTCCAGTGGACCAGTGAAAGCACTTTATTAAACATAAAAAAATATAGAGGGGGAGGGTGAGGGGTGTCCATTTTGTGCGTACTAGGGTCAGATAACAATTTTGCACAGAACTGACATTAGCTAATGTGCAACTTTCTTCGGGATTGGCTGATGACGCTGCTGGATGTGGAGTTACATCTCTGACAGCTAAGGGGTTAATCTCTGTGTGTGCAGGGTTTTAATAAAATGCTGCGCATACAAACTCCAGGCACCATCACCACTTCAAATCAATGAAGTGGTGGTTGTGGTGCTTGGAGTAATCCTTTAAGGTTTGCGGTTATTCTCCATATAATAAATTATGGCACATTAACACGACAATTGCAAATTTTAGGTCAAAATAGAGGAAACATTCTCCAACTTTATTTTCCAACATTTTTGGTCCTAAATTTCTTAGTTTAACCCAATATAAAGAGAATATGGCCCCTCCAAGATAATGGTTGACTCTAATAGCTGAATAAACATTATTTATTAGTTGCGCTTTTTCACAGCAAATAATTTTTTATTTTTTACTTACATGGAATACGAGGCATGATTTGTGTATGAACGATGTGAATTATTATTATTATTACTGGTATATATTGGGTTTTGCTGAATCAGTCACTCAGGATTACAGCAGATTACAGCTTTTACCTCCACTTTGCCCACATGAATGTTTCAGCAGAGATTAATGGGGTAATGTTCAATGGAACTGTTGAAATTGTCTCTTTTTTTTTTTTTTGGCAAGAAGTGAAAGAATCTCCCATTGTCCAAAGTCCACCACCAAACATTTAATGTCATTATATAAAATCTAACCAAATCTTTGTCTGTTTTTTTCATGATGTGACAACCCATTTGTAGATAGTGTTCCATAACCACTGCAATAAGGTGAGTTAGTTGTGGTGCCGTTTTTAATTTTTACTCAATTGAACCTTATGTTTCTACGTGAACACCAAACCATTAACTCAGCACCATGGTACTTTTCTAATAAATCTCCTCATAGCTCCCCTCTGTACATATCCAATGCTCTCTCACTAGCAGGGTTATTCACGTGACTGAGAATTAAAGATTAATTCAAAGTGAATTTAGATTTTAAAGGGGCAGTATCACTGTCTGGGGACTTTGCAGAAGTTGCAACGACCCATGACAGTGACATCGCTGCTGGGTGTCCGCTACCATGGGGGGGGGAGGCTTTGCGGTCTAATGAGTCTCAGTCAATATGAGTATTTCATAAAGATTTGATACTCTAAGATTGTTAAACATATACTTAAAAAAACAAACAAACATGTATTCCTGACCCTATTGTGTTAAAACCACCATCTGCGCTCTTCTATGCGTGCTATGTGCGTTTGAGGAAGCTGTGTGTGAGGGTGCTGTGAGTGTCAACCTGCAGTGTGTGTGTGTTGTTGAGTGATTATATCCCTCCCTTCTTACCTTTATTCATGCTTCCATCCCTAGTGGTGCTAGTGGTGAGTGAACTCTAGCCTGTGGGGCTACAGTTCACTCTTGCGAGACCCGGAGCGTTGCCACGGCGGCCGCAACACACTACATGCGTGCCGTGAGGGAGATCTTTGATCTCCCCACCGGCCCGTCATGGAATGCAGCAGGGCCGGCGCTCGAATAGTGCTGGCCCTTCATAGACCGACAGGGAAGATCCTAAGAAGATCCAAAAATCCCCCCCCACCCCCAGCTGGCCTTGGCCCATGGCCAATGTGCCCGATGACCAGTCTGGGCCTGCTCTGAGGAAAGTTCACTGCTTGCAGAGGGTGGAGACATTCATGGCAGTGCTGCACACTGTGCAGCACTGCACCAGGAAACACCTCTAGCAGCCATCCGAGGAGTGGTAAGTGGTGTTATCACTAGGCTGTAATGTAAACACTGCATTTTCTCTGTGTTTACTGCAAAAAACCTGAAGGGAATGATTCTACTCACCAGAACAAATACAATAAGCTGTAGTTGTTCTGTTGACTATAGTGTCCCTTTAAAATAAAATTTGCAACATGACTTCATGGCTACCAAGATGAGGCTTCAGATGTTAGGTGCTTTTTTTGTTACCATTTCCCTTTAACAGTTACCAATTATTCTTTATTACCTGGTCTTCCTCATCACATTCTATTTTTACCCCTTCTTTTTAATGGCTGAGTTTATATTCTGAGTTAGTTCTGTGTTATACTACGGTAGAAAGCACCCTCCTCCCCTTTCCTCTCCTCTCTCATTCTACAAGAGGATTTCCCTCCCCAGGTGACATCATCGGTTTGTGGTTTGCAAAGAAGAGAAACAGTTCTAAGAATTTGGCCATGACTGGGTGATCACAGGGGTGGAATGGAGGGAGAGAGGGGGGGAAGGGTGCATCGAAACCGGCCGAAAAATGGGAAGATGAACAGTGAAAGGATCAAATACAAGAGAAACAAACAGAATTGTTCAAAATATCTGCAACTCAGACAGAAGGGAAACCTTTCAGAAATGGAGCATTTTCTAGTGTGCAAGAATGCAGAAAGAATTACCATGCAGTTTCCAGATTAGACAGGCTTTCAGAGCCATGCCTTGACAGACTAGATGTATATCACAATGGTTAGTACACAGACAATTTATATATTTTAAAGTTTCCGTATCACCATCTAGATCGGTGATGGCTAATCTTTGTTTGGAAACTTAGCTTACAATCATGATGATTCCAAGTTTAAATAAAATACATCATTATTTAAATGCATGTTATCAGAATATACTGACAGACAATTTGCATTCTTCTGCACGAAGGCTGCGCATGGGACTCTCTTTGACTTTCCAGCATGACAATGACCCTGAACACAAGGCCAAGTTGACCCTCCAGTGGTTACAGCAGAAAATGGTGAACATTCTGGAGTAGGCATCACAGTCACCTTAACATCATCGGTCCACTCTGGGGAGATCTCAAACGTGCAGTTCATACAAGACGACCAAGACATTGCATGACCTGGAGACATTTTGCCAAGATGAATGGGCAGCTATACCACCTGCAAGAATTAGGGGCCTCATAGACAACTATTACAAAAGACTGCACACTGTCATTGATGTTAACGGGGCAATATACAGTATAGAGAACTAAGGGTATGCAGACTTTTGAACTGGGGTCATTTAATTTTTTTCTTTGTTGCCATGTTTTGTTTTATGATTGTGCCATTCTGTTATAACCTACAGTTGAATATGAATCCTATAAAAAATAAAAGAAATGTGGTTTGCATGCACACTTATGTTGCTTTAAAAATGGTACATATATTACCAATTCTACAAGGGTATGCAAACTTTTGAGCTCAACTGTAGAAGAAGAAATGAAACAATGTTTCTACTTCCCATCATTTGCAATCTGTGCCTGGGCTGAACTGGATTGTAATGTAATTTTCTAAGTCTTTAATATAAATTTAAAAGAAAACAGCGCACAGTATAAAAAATAGGTGATTATGTACGCTTTAGGGTATTTTCAGTGGTTTATTTAACGTGTAGTTTACAGAAAAGTCATGATTCCCCTTGAGTCCTTTTTCATCAAAGCAGGTGCACAGCTGAAACCAAACCAGACTGCATTTGTAGACGCTCGGCGTTTGCATTTGATACCAAGAGTCATAAATACAACGAGTGTTAGCATAGCCTTTGATTAGTTAAGTTGTGTGTTAAAATGTGTTTTTTGCAAAACTTTTTATTTTAAATAATAATGAAAACTGACAAACAAATTTCCTTTAACCATTACTGAGTGCACTCCGTGAGCAGGGCCTTCTTCCCCAATGTCAACATCATTTTTGTCTGTCTATTGCTTGTGATTAATTAAACCCACTGTATAATTGCACTACTGAAATTGTTTATACTATATAGATCAGGGGTGCCCAAATGGTGGATGCCCAGATGCTGCAGAACTGCAAGTCCCATGATGCATTGCATGCCTCTAGAATTTCTTTAGAACGACAAAGCTTCATGGAAGCTGTATTCCTTAAACATTGAGGGCTCTACCTTTATTGGCACCCCTGATATAGATGATAATGTAGATTCTGCATGTATAGGCATAGAACCTGGGGGATTGTTACAGAGCATTGTAGTAAACTGCGGCAGGGTTGGTCCAAGCACCGTGACCACTTCACTGCTTTGAAATGTTCATGTAGCCTTGAGTCTGTGTGTGCAGTGTTTCACTTTGAAATACAGCATATACAGAGATTAAAGCGGCACTGTCATGCCGAACTTACCTTTCCTCAATCTCCCCCTCTCTCGGGATCTGTTATTCTTTTCTTCCTGTCTTCTTTAGTTTTCTTTAAAATCATAAGACAGGGACTCTTTGCCTTATGGAGGTTTCCTCCACTTGACCAGCTTTGACCAGCGGAGGAGCAAAGTGTGCTTCATTTCCGCTGGTCAGAGCAATTTTCCCATAATTCTTACCTTTCCTCTGTGATCTCGCGATGCTTCCTGTCATTTTAAACGTAACTGACGAATTGCGTTCTAACTGAATGAGAACAGTATGTTCGTTTGTTTTAGAACTCAATTCGGCACTTTGTTCGTATCGGAATTTCATTCAAATGAATGAAACTTCGATTCAATTTGTGCCGAGGCTGCATCTTGCAGCCGCTTAGTAGATAACTCCCAAATTCACGAGTAGGGGCATGTTAATTAGGGAGTTAGTAGATAACTCCCTAGTTCGCAAGTAGGGGCATGTCAAGTAAACAGTGAGCAGCCTGTGGCTGCTCACTGTTAAAAACAAAAAACAAAAACACAATTGTCCCCCCAGTTCCCACCTGTGCCGAGTCCTCCCCCCCTTGGCCCCCACCCCTGAGCGATGGTGGGGGCCCTTAGCAATAAGGCGGGGAGACCTATTGCCTCCCCTCTATGCTCCCACCCCTGAGCGGCGGGTTAGGGGACCCTTAACAACAAGAGGGGGGAGACCTATTGCTTGCCTCCCTCCCTGTCCCCCACCCCTGAGCGGCAGGTGGGGGCCTTTAAAAACAATAAGAGTGGGGAACCTATTGTCCCCCCCCCCGGCCCACACCCCTGAGCGGCAGGTGGAGGCTATTAACAACAATAAGAGTGGGGGGAACCTATTGTTCCCCCCCCCGAGCGGCTGGTGGGGGCCAAGTTTAAAATCCCCCCCCCCTTTCAGTGACTAGGGGTCCCTGAGCCCCTAGTCACCCCCATTCCCCAATAAAATAAATCCCTACCTACTCCCCTCATCCTAATAATAGTGAGGGGGAGGGACAATGAAGCTAAATACCTGTAAAGAAAAAAAAAATAAACTTACCATTAGATGTCTTCTTTTTTCTAATATCTTCTTTCTTCAGCCCCAAAAAAGGCCAAATAAAAAGCCATAAACCCCCCAAACTCCCAAAAAAAAAAAAAAATGACTGCAAAAACAAATAATCCATCTTCACCCTTCGAAGGCACGCCACATACTGAGCTCCGCAGGGCGGGTCAAGGCTTATAAAGCCTTACCAAGCCCTGCAATTTGGCTCAGAGCACAATGATTGGTTGGTTTAAGCCAACCAATCACAGTGTTCTGAGTCATTTTACACAGTGTGGGAAAATTCCAAAGAACTTTCCCACACTGTATAAAATAACTAACACTCTGGTTGGTTTAAGCCAACCAATCAGAGTGCTCTGAGTCATTTTACACAGTGTGGGAAAATTCCAAAGAACTTTCCCACACTGTATAAAATAACTAACACTCTGATTGGTTGGTTTAAACCAACCAATCAGAGTGCTCTGTGTCATTTTACACAGCTCTGGAAAGTTCTTTGGAATTTTCCCACGCTGTGTAAAATGACACAGAGCACTCTGATTGGATGGCTTGAAATACATCCAATCACAGTGCTCTGTGTCATTTTACACAATGTGGGAATGTGCTTTGGAATTTTCCCACGCTGTGTAAAATGACAAAGAGCACTCTGATTGGCTTAAGCCCCCTATGAAACAAATATTCTGATTAAACAGTTTCCTATGTTGATCATTTCACTTTTAGAACATGGCTCCACTGGTTTCTACCCTTTTGTAAATTTCACCTTTAATGCATACTCGTGACTCACAGCAATATGATTTGTGAGTGTACACACCTAATTTACCTAAAACATAACTGCAAAGGTTTAATAGTTATTATTCTTCGTGTATAATAAATAGACATTGGTCGTTTTACCATTTCTGTGCTTTATAGATGGCGGACATGTTGACGCTGCTTGTGTAATTGTACGGGTGTTAGAAATGTTTCTGTTTTTGCTAATTCAGTAAGAATATGTTATAAGGTGGTCAGCTATGTTTATTCCATATTGAGAATGTAATGTATTTAAATCTATTTCACTAGCGTGTCTTCTTCACTTTGATGGATAGATACTCTAAATGTCAAACTCGAACCGCCTCCCAATTCTGTGATTGTCATATGCGTGACAAAATGTTAGATTGTAAAAGCCACATTGCTACCAAAACAACAACAACAAAAAAAACATAAGGCCCCTTGCAGCCCTGTTGTCTGTATATAACTGGAATATACAGCTCTCTTAGTCTGGTAGCCTGTATTTGAATATATAGATTTCAACCTTTGTATATGAATGTATACATTACACAGATTCAGCCATGTGGCCTGTATATTATTATTATAATTATTTTTAAATCGCCAACAAAATCCTGTCACTCTGTACAATAGGTGGACTAACAGACAAGAACTTGTAAGCAGACAAAGTGGACGCACAACAGAGGGGATGAGGGCCCTGCTCAAATGAGCTTACATGCTAGAGGGAGTGGGATATAGTGACACAAAAAGTAAGGTTAGGGTAGGTAAGTAGGTTGTTAGAAAACATTTCAATGAGGGCTTAGTGTTTTTTTTTTTTTTTTTTAAATCTATTAATTATACAGCTTTAGGAACTCTGTGTGTGGCCTGTATATGAATGTATAGGTTATACAGCTCACTTGGCTCTGTGGCCTGTGTTTCAATGTATAACTAATACATCTCTCTCAGCTGTTGCATATATTTCGGTGTATATATTACACAGCTCTCAGCCTGTGGTGTGCCGCACTGCTTTGAGCTATTTCCTTAATGTAACTCATTTTGGCCTCAGATCTATTAGTCTGTGCAAAAGATTACATTATGTTCTGTCTATACCTGCAGAGCTACCCCAGTCTAACTGGGGTTGCAGAACATTTCCTGTGTGTGTGTGCACAAACGTTCTGCAACTTAGGCTTGTTGTTTCCTATTTTAAAAAGAATTGTGTTTCTGTGCGTCTGCAGATCGTTGTATGTGTGAAATTCCATAGAGACATCTTATGTGAGCTGAACAAGGAGTGTTGGCCTGTTGTGACAGCATGACTGAGCAGGACAGCTGAGAGTTAAACAGCAAGCTGTACTATAAAGGGAACTCCCTGTGTATCCGGGGAAGCCTCCCCCACCCCCTCCTTCTCTACTTGTCTTGTATCACAGAGCACAGACCTTATATAACAGACACAATGTTACATTCTATGCCAGGGGAACACGTAGGGCTCCCTTTTTACAAAGGAAATGCAAACAAATGATGCTTGATACGTGTGCTGTATGAAAGCCGCATTGTTTGTGTGTATCTGTGTATGCAATCAATGTCCCTATGTGCTATGTTGTGTTTAAATTTTATTTTTAACACTTTCATTGCCATAGAATGCTTAATGTTTTGGCAATACGTCTGCCTAACATAATGAATACACCCTGTATCACTGGATAAATGTGCAATAAACCCCCGTATTAGGGGGTACCGGTAAGCCTCCTCTGGCCGCATCTCCCATTATATAAAGATATCCTAAATTCTGGAAGATATGAGTTGCAATTCTCCAAAATAGCTATAGCTACAGGCTGCCACCCGCTTCCATCCAGGGCCTTGACCCACCGAAAGTAGCCTAAATCTAAAGGCCACCATCCATGCTTGGTCACAAGTCTGGCTTTTTTTCCATGAGGTGTTTTTCTGTTATTGTTTTTTAAAAAGCGCCAACAAATGCTGCAGCGCTGTACAATAGGTGGACTAACAAACAAATAGTTGAAACAAGGCATGTTACATGTACATAAACAGAAGGTGCTGAGGGCCCTGCTCAAACAAGCTTACATTCTAAGAGTAGTGGGATAAAATTAAATAAAAGGTGGGGGTACAATGTATGTCGTTGCCTGAATAAAGAGCTTACATTAAGGGCTTAGTTTTTTTAGATAATGCAGTTGCAGCATAGAAGGTGGGTTAGTGAGGTGTGGGGTGGGAAAGCTGTTAAGAGTTTAATTAATATGCCTGCTTGAAGAAGTGCGTTTTTAATGATGTTTTTGCGTTCTACTATTCGAATGTGTTCACAGTACTGTGTGCATTGTGTTCCATTGTGTGTGTCTGTGGCCAGGAGGGGAAGTCACTGCTGAACAAACAGACCCCGAGGAGACAGCACGGAAACTATTTTAATAATGTAAACACAGAGAAAGGAGGGAGATCCCTGCCTCCGGGCAGAGAGGGAGGAGGTGTAAAACCCGCAGATGACAGGAGAGAGATTCCTGTATGAGGAGGAGAGAGATTTTTGAGCCTGATATAGAGGTTAAAAGAAAGAGAGAGATTCTTGCTTGAAGTCAAGACATGAAAATACATGGAAAGAAGGCAAGGCCGCTCACCGCTGAGGGATTAAGTGATAGAACAAGATTAGTATCTGTAAAGCCCCAACATAGTCCATGGTGCAGTACAGTGTGTAACCGTTCTTGCATGTCCGTCCTGTTTTCCCAAAATTACACTCATGTTTCAGATATATGTTTTTATTGTGCCAGAAGATTCCATAACCCCGTCTGAAAATGTGAAGGGTGCCTATTGGCCTAGTTAGTCATTCTGCGTTTATTCGTACAGCTTTGTGTAATGCTAAATCTTAACTGCTTTGAGTCATTTCGACTTGCAGATGAGACTGGTTTCAGTCAGATACCCTCTAAATTAAATGTCCATCAACATTAGCAGTCAGGAAGTACGGGGCTACTCTGTGTGACTTCTCTCAGTAAAGGAATTATTATAGTGACGAGAGAATGAAAAACATGGCAACTACAATACTAACCTGACAGACGCTACTACGTTATAATTACATTTCTAGAAGGGGATATGAAAAAAGTATAAAAGTGCTTTGTTGACTTATTAATTGTAGGTATTTTTTCACTAAAAACCAAAGTGCAGTGAATTTAAAACAGAAGTTTAGGCTAAAATAAGCAAGCTGGGACTTAGCTGAGGAGGGTAGTGTTTTCAAATCAGCTATTCCCCATTGTACAGCCCTACGGAATATGCTGGCGCTATATAAATAATAATAATAATAATACATTTAGCATTTTGGTTTCAGGTTTAATAGTTTGGTGTTTAGTAAATGACCCCTCCCGCCCTGCTCTTTACATATCATATCATATAACTTTACAGTGGCTTTGCGTTCAGCCAAATGGATGAATTCCTGGGCGTTATCTTAATATGTTTGGCTAAGTTTATGTTGCCAAATTAACCCTTTTATGACTTGGAATAATGTCTACAGTGGTACATTGCAAATCTCTTCACCGCCAGCAGTTCAAGATTTAGGAAAGAAGATTGGTATAAAATTAGAAATTATCTTTTCAGGATCACCCATATGTACCTAAATCCAATGTTACAAAGACATCTCCATTTTGGGTTTTTGTCCTTGTAGTCGTTAAGTTGAAACAGCATTTGTTTACTTTTCAGAAGCGTTTCATGGAGGGGGGGTTCCATCGGAAACTTCATGGTTCTATATAAACTCTTGTGGCGTGCAACAAACCCTGATATTAGATCAGCAAAAATGAATGCTAGATTATAAGGACATGCTGTGATTGTTAGATAATGCTGAGGGGAAAATAAGACAAATTCTTTGCAATGCAAAAGCAATATTCTCTTTGTCAGAGTACTCTAGTTTCATCATAAAGTTCCTTTTACTTCCAGAAAAAAAAAGTTATTTTTTTTTATAATGAAGTTGTGTTTATACAGAGACGGTGATTTAGAAAATAATGATCTGTATCAGCCAAGATCTGCTCAGAGAACTTTGTGAACATTTCACTCACAATTTTTGTTGTTTCCAACAAAATACACAGTTTAGCCTGGGAGAGATGTTTTACGAGACGTGGTTTTATGCAGTATGAGAAATCCTTCTGACGCAGTTTGAATCGCGCAACAACCATTGGCAGCAAAAAACATAGAGTTATGAGTCTGAAAGCTTAGTTAAGAGAGGACTCATTTCCAGTGTTGTCATAAAATGTTACCGAAAAGCTAAATGGGTGTTGCTGACGTCAGCCATTAGCAGCTGTTTCCATACTGCAAAATGTTACCAATTGTGATTCGTGATTCCCAGCCGACGAGTTTTCATAAACCAAAACGGTGATTGCACTCACGCCACAGCATTAAATAAAGGTACTTGGTGCTTCCAAATCCAGAGGTGGTGAACCCCCACCAATTATCTAAAGAATGTAAAGAGGGTGCAGGCACATAAAATATCTTAAAGTGCAGACTTTAACAGAAGCAATCCGCCTGATAACGTTTCTGCCTCCAACAGTGGCCTTCGTCACTTTGTCTAGTTTCCCATAGAGAATAATAGGAGACATTAAATGAAGCTTTCTATGCTAGACTTACTATATCACTGAAAATAGATTGTAAGCTTGTGGGCTACCTAACTAATCCCATGAGCTTACAATCAATTAACTATGTATAAAAGAGCTTCAATGGTTAGATCTCAGCTTATTAGCAGGGCCCTCTTTAGCCTTCGTATTTTTCTGTGTATATTGTATGTTGTCCCCTAATTGTACAGCGCTGCAGAATATGTTGGCACTTTATAGATGCCAGTAATAAATAAATAAAAATAAAACCTGCCTCAGCTAGGTATAAAGACAAAACAGCACATTAAAAACTGCAAGCTTTCAATACATCCTGTAGGAAAAATACATGTTCACACCATCTATAAAAGTGTATGTGAATACAAAGGACTGATGTCATATAAGATATGTATCAGGTTCTGTAACTGTTCTGTGACAACCGTGCTCAGACTATGGCAGGTAGAGTGCACATACACAGCATGAGCCGTTTAAATCCTTAAATTGTGGTTGCTATGGTAGTGACTTAGAAATCACACCTTTACTGCTTTACATTCGCTAATAGGTGAACGCTGAGACACGCATGCTATCTGCAGGGTGGATATTTGTAGTGGTAGGCTGAAAAACACACACCTGAAGTTTGACAACCTAGTTCGTATTTTTGGGTGCAAATAGCTAGTAAGAGCGTCTTTACCTAATAACTGCTATATTTCACATACAGGCTTTCCTAATAACTGCTTTATTTAACATATAGGCTTTCCTAATAACTGCTTTATTTAACATATAGACTCTCCTAATAACTGATTTATTTAACATATAGGCTCTCTTAATAACTGCTTTATTTAACATATAGACTCTCCTAATAACTGCTTTATTTAACATATAGGCTTTCCTAATAACTGCTTTATTTAACATATAGGCTCTCCTAATAACTGCTTTATTTAACATATAGACTCTCCTAATAACTGCTTTATTTAACATATAGGCTCTCCTAATAACTGCTTTATTTAACATATAGGCTTTCCTAATAACTGCTTTATTTAACATATAGGCTCTCCTAATAACTGCTTTATTTAACATATAGTCTCTCCTAATAACTGCTTTATTTAACATATAGGCTCTCCTAATAACTGCTTTATTTAACATATAGGCTTTCCTAACAACTGCTTTATTTAACATATAGGCTCTCCTAATAACTGCTTTATTTAACATACAGGCTCTCCTAATAATTGCTTTATTTAACATATAGGCTTTCCTAACAACTGCTTTATTTAACATATAGGCTCTCCTAATAACTGCTTTATTTAACATATAGTCTCTCCTAATAATTGCTTTATTTAACATATAGGCTTTCCTAATAATTGCTTTATTTAACATATAGGCTTTCCTAATAATTGCTTTATTTAACATATAGGCTTTCCTAATAATTGCTTTATTTAACATATAGGCTTTCCTAATAACTGCTTTATTTAACATATAGGCTCTCCTAATAACTGCTTTATTTAACATATATACTCTCCCAATAACTGCTTTATTTAACATATAGACTCTCCTAATAACTGCTTTATTTAACATATAGACTCTCCCAATAACTGCTTTATTTAACATATAGGCTTTCCTAATAATTGCTTTATTTAACATATAGGCTCTCCTAATAACTGCTTTATTTAACATATAGGCTTTCCTAATAATTGCTTTATTTAACATATAGGCTTTGCTAATAATTGCTTTATTTAACATATAGGCTCTCCCAATAACTGCTTTATTTAACATATAGGCTCTCCTAATAACTGCTTTATTTAACATATAGACTCTCCCAATAACTGCTTTATTTAACATATAGGCTCTCCTAATAACTGCTTTATTTAACATATAGGCTCTCCCAATAACTGCTTTATTTAACATATAGGCTCTCCTAATAACTGCTTTATTTAACATATAGACTCTCCCAATAACTGCTTTATTTAACATATAGGCTCTCCCAATAACTGCTTTATTTAACATATAGGCTCTCCTAATAACTGCTTTATTTAACATATAGGCTTTCCTAATAACTGCTTTATTTAACATATAGGCTCTCCTAATAACTGCTTTATTTAACATATAGGCTCTCCTCATAATTGCTTTATTTAACATATAGGCTTTCCTAATAATTGCTTTATTTAACATACAGGCTCTCCTAATAACTGCTTTATTTAACATATAGGCTTTCCTAATAACTGCTTTATTTAACATATAGGCTTTCCTAATAACTGCTTTATTTAACATATAGGCTTTCCTAATAATTGCTTTATTTAACATACAGGCTCTCCTAATAACTGCTTTATTTAACATACAGGCTCTCCTAATAACTGCTTTATTTAACATATAGGCTCTCCTAATAACTGCTTTATTTAACATATAGGCTCTCCTAATAACTGCTTTATTCACCATATAGGCTCTCCTAATAACTGCTTTATTTAACATATAGACTCTCCTAATAACTGCTTTATTTAACATACAGGCTCTCCTAATAACTGCTTTATTTAACATACAGGCTCTCCTAATAACTGCTTTATTTAACATATAGGCTTTCCTAACAACTGCTTTATTTAACATACAGGCTCTCCTAATAACTGCTTTATTTAACATATAGGCTCTCCTAATAACTGATTTATTTAACATATAGGCTTTCCTCATAATTGCTTTATTTAACATATAGGTTTTCCTAACAACTGCTTTATTTAACATACAGGCTCTCCTAATAACTGCTTTATTTAACATATAGGCTCTCCTAATAACTGATTTATTTAACATATAGACTCTCCTAATAACTGCTTTATTTAACATATAGACTCTCATAATAATTCCTTTATTTAACATATAGGCTCTCCTAATAACTGATTTATTTAACATATAGACTCTCCTAATAACTGCTTTATTTAACATATAGACTCTCATAATAACTGCTTTATTTAACATACAGGCTCTCCTAATAACTGCTTTATTTAACATATAGACTCTCATAATAATTCCTTTATTTAACATATAGGCTCTCCTAATAACTGATTTATTTAACATATAGACTCTCCTAATAACTGCTTTATTTAACATATAGACTCTCATAATAATTCCTTTATTTAACATACAGGCTCTCCTAATAACTGCTTTATTTAACATATAGACTCTCATAATAATTCCTTTATTTAACATACAGGCTCTCCTAATAACTGCTTTATTTAACATATAGACTCTCATAATAATTCCTTTATTTAACATATAGGCCATTTGTGATCATCATCGTGTGTGTTCAGTACTAGAAATATGTTAACTGACTGTCCTTTAATCTCTAATGCCAGACAGCTCTCAGATTTATCTCTTAATAAAATGTGCTATTTACTACGGTACTCGCACTGTGATGGTAACAGCCGTGCCAGCCTCACCCTCATACAGTCTCTCCTTTTGTGTTTTCATCTTAACTTTGGTAACTCTTTGGTATCTTGTTTTTTTGTCGCTTTCCCTCCTGCCATACTTTCCCATTCAAATTCCATTACCTTAATTAATGCTAGCAGCCAATGGGTTGGAAAATCATTTCCAGATGAAAGAATTAGACCAGCTTTTACCTGGCACAGCTTTTTCCATGCTAAAAACAATATAATGTGATCTGACTATAGTTTCTGCAAGCAGACACAGGAAGGTAATTTTAGAACCTTTTGGAGAGATGTAACAGTTTGTTGTGGATTTAAGATTATGTATCTGTCATTCTTAGCTCGCCATAAATGAACAGTCCTCAATTAAATTAAGCAATTTTTTTCAAAACATTTTAATACTATATGTAATTAAAATATATATATATAGAATTTAAAATTGTGATGATCATTTAAGCAGTTAATGTGTTTTCCTAATAATAATAGACCTTTTCATAAACCTGACAATTAGGTGCTTGTTTTGTAGACTAAATCATGGAAGACCTTCTTCACAATGGTGCATTGGTCCCTTCGACGGCAGAATTCATGGGTGCAGCTGGCTGGGCACGAAGGTAGGATTGGAAAAAGAAAATGTGTTCCTTATTTTGATAGGTTTTACAGAAAGAAATGTATGATTTTCATACAACCGGTGTTACATACAGGCATGGAATAAAATATTAATACACCTCGATCCTAGTTTCTAAAGTTCAACGATGCATAAGAGGAAAATGCATAAATCCCTCTTGGTATGAAAATGACTACAAGATTTTTAAAATATGTACATCTCCTGTACATGTTGTGATCTGTAGTAGTGAAGTTCGTGATGGACCCAGCTTAATGTAGTTGTTCTGGTGTTTATACCATGTCCCTGAAGGCTTTTTAATGTAAACTCTGCCTTTTAATTGTGATTGGCTGAGATCATCAATTCTGATAATGGCAGCCAAGGAGGCTGTTCGAGGGCAGGGCCAGCACTCGCAGATTTAAACTGCTCTGGAAATAAGGTGAGTTTTTTGGTATTTAAGTGGGACATGGGGGGGCCAGGGGGCTTGTGTGTTTTTTTTTTTTTTACAATATAGGCTTAGGAATATACCTTTGTGTTCCTGACCCTATAGTGTTTCTTTATTGCTGAGGGGTTGATTTGGTGACTGGATATTAAATGTGTTTCCAGAATGTTTGTCTGAGCTAGGCTGCATAAAGTTTGGTAATTTTCTTGTAATGTTGACTGTACATCACCTTGCATTCATTCACCTTTGGGTTTGATGATGCAATGTTTAGAACTACTGAAATGTATTGTCTTTTTAAGTATCTGTTATTCTATCTTATGTATACGAAGGAGTGGAACATAGACTTAATGTTACTCTTATATCTTCAGACAGATGTCTTTCGTAAGTACTTATACTCATTTTTTGGTTCATTGGTATTCTGCTCTCTAGACCATTCCTTTGGCTATCTGGGGGACATGGGCTGCTATTGATCTTATCGATAATATTTATTAGTGTAGAATGTCTCCAGGGTGCCTGTGAAATTGTTGGCACTGATGGTGAGCAGGTACACCTAAATGGTTTCTCGGTTATTTTCTTGCCCATCACGATGTTTCTGCTGGTGGTGGTGATCATGAAGGTGGTAGGAAATGGTTATTGTTACTGGGGTATGTGTGTGGTTGGAGAGGTACTGAAAAGTGTTGTAGGTTGGACTAATGCCAGAAATGGTAATCTGCAGAAACCTCATCTGCTAGTTTTGTTGTCCAATAGAAGATATTCACACCTATTAATAGGTAAGCAACTGGTTTAGGTATTGTAAACATATCCAGCTTAAACAAAAAAGATGCATTTTGCTTATGAATTAGATTATGATCATATCTTTAGTTTTGTGTAACAAATAATTCATTGTGCTGAACTGTAATAGGATGTTGCCTGATGGAGCTCTTATAATGTAATACCGAATGGGTCACATGCTCATGGCAATATGGATCATAGCTAGAAATACTTAAAAATATGGTAGACCTAGCAACACAATTTTCTCATGAACCTGTTAATGAATGTTTGCTAAACCAAATTATTATTATTATATTTGCCCTCTTTGTCAGGTAACTTCAAGGCAAGTGAGCGAGGCCACATCTTGAAAAAGTTCAGTCCTGTGGAAAACGCGTGTCTGGAAGCACTAATGCAGGATGCCCTCAAGCCATATGTACCCACCTATCATGGCCAGGTGGAGAGAGAGGGTCAAAAGTATATCAAGATGGAGGACCTCCTGAAAGGACTGGAAGGGCCTAGCATTATGGACTGCAAAATGGGTATAAGGTGAGGACTATTCTGCAGTTATTCTTAAAGGAGCTCTATAGTGACATATATTCCTGTCACTATAGCTGTGGGAAAAAATTTTTTAGCTTCCCGCCCCCCCGTCAGCAAAGTAAAAGGTGATTTACTCACCTTTATTCTAGTTCCATGCGGGTCTCCTTGTGGCTGGCCCCGTCCCAGCTCTGCCTCCTTGGCTGATATCATCAAAGCAGTGGGAGGCAAACCGTCACGCTGTACCAATCAGCATCTCCTCATAGAGTTGCATTAAATCAATGCACATTGTGCAGAACTGACCCAGAAAACACATCTAGTGGCCGTCTGATTGAATGCACCTAGAGGAGTTCCTAGGCAGTAATGTAAACACTGCCTTTTCTCTTAAAAGGCAGTGTTTACATGAAAAGGCCTGCAGGGACATACTATATACACCAGAACAACTACATTAAGCTGTAGTTGTTCTGGTGACTATAGTGTCCCATTAAGCCATTTTGTCTGTGCCTGAAATATTTATGAATATCCTTTGAATCGGTTATTTTTCCAGGCAATATATGCCATTAATAACTCTTCAATTTCCTACAGTTAGGACAACAGGAAAGAGTGATCAGAAACCCACAGCCACACAATCCCATTTAATATTGAGATTTATGTCTGTTCTGTAGGACATACCTTGAGGAGGAACTTGAGAAGGCCCTACTGAAACCTACCCCACGCAAAGACATGTATAACAAGATGGTGAGTATTGATCCGTCTGCCCCCACAAGTGAGGAGAACGATCTGAGAGCCATCACCAAGCCTCGCTACATGCAGTGGAGGGAGACTGTAAGCTCCACAGCAGAGTTAGGTTTCCGTATCGAAGGTGTCACGGTGAGTGTTATCATTTTTCATTACATATTTATTATACATAATGGCCAGTATAAACAAATGTCCAGTTTGTAGCCTTATTGTTTGAAATTACTATTTGATATACATGTTTTCATTAGTTTGATGGGGTCCTATGGATCTTCTCCTACATGGTGGGATGGGACAAAAAAGTGACAAATTTATCTATTAAGAGCCTAATGATTAACTCTATTATTGTTCATCACGTATGACTTTTTCATTATGTCTTATGACTTGCATAAAACTCTCATTCTGTGTTCATACTTTCCATCAATGCGAAATGTCTGAAACACCCAGATGGTGATTTACCGCTCCCCCACCCCCAGGCTTGTCTCCTGGGTATTCTTAATGTTGTGAGTTTAAGGGTGTGGTGATGAATGATGTGCTTACACTTTGCTGTGCCTAACAGATTGAGGGAGGACCCGTTAAGAAAGACTTCAAGCAAATGAAAAGCCGAGAAAATATCATGGAGACATTCATCATATTTACCAAGGGACAGGAGAATATTTTGGTAAGGCACTCGATTTCACAGATAACCTCTGTCACTTGACAGTGCACACCCTGCGTTATAAACCTGTTGTCCTGCAGGCCTCGCACAAACACAAACCAGGTCATTCAGTAGAGTGTGATTTGTCTGAATTTCAAATGCTAGGCAAAAATAAATAAAGTGGAAAAAATCCTTAATGTTTACCGTGCATCTATTCCGGTCTAGAAATTAAAATTCAATTTGCATTCACAATTCACTTTTTTTTGTTTGAATAACGCTTGGTAAATCTCTTAACAGTTTGTTTTAAAATCCCGCTAGCAAATGTTAGATTTATTTTATTTTTCATATTTTGATATCTTTAACATGGTGCCCTAGAATACCCCATCATAGAAGTCTTATCACTATACTTCAATCATGATCTGTACCACTACAACTCCATATGGCCATGAACCTGTTCTGATAGAGACGCTTCCACCACCACACACCTTCCATCTATCATAAAATACTCAGCTATTCTCATTAACATTCCCATAATAACATCGCAGTCCAATCAAAATGCTTAAACTCTGCCCTGTAGTAAAAAAAATTCTGCGATCTGACACTCCTTTGCCTTTACACCTGCACAGATTTATAGCACAGATAGTTTAAAGTCAGCAAATCATTCAGTGGATTCCTCAAGCTTATGCAGAGGTGTATACTATTTGGGGAATGCACTTAGATACATCATAACATTTCATTTCTTTGTGAAGGAATGTAATATGAGATGAACAAAGGATGTGATTTACTCCACTAATTAAAGGGACACTATAGTCACCCAGACCACTTCAGCTCAATGAAGTGGTCTGGGTGCCAGGTCCCCCAGGTTTTAACCCTTCAGATGTAAACATAGCAGTTTCAGAGAAACTGCTATGTTTACATTGCAGGGTTAATCCAGCCGCTAGAGGCGCTTTTCAAATTCCATGTTCAGAACGTCCATAGGAAAGCATTGAGAAATGAGGTCACCAGCGCCGAGGTGGCCCGGCACTGGATTAAGGTAAGTAACGGAAGGGAGGGGGGCCCTGACGGTGGGGGGGGGACCTAAGGGTTGTATAGTGTCAGAAAAATTAGTTTTTTTTCCTGACACTGTAGTGATCCTTTAAACACTTTTAACTATTAAGTTGCCAGGCAAATGTGATTATGCACAGAACTAATTGGTTCCAGAGTAAGGTGGGATAAAATAAAAATCCAACTTACTGTTAAATAAATAGATCCAAATTTGTTACTGAAATGCATTAATACGTACCTCCAGATATATTTCAAATCGGGACAAAGAGTGACACTTTTTATGAGTGACTAGGGAAGGGGCTGCTCTGAGAAATGACTTACTAAAAACAATTTATGGAACTAAAATGGAATTTATAACAAGAACACTATCTTATTTACACAGACTGATTTCTAAACACATTTATTGTAGTTTACAGACACATTAGTGGGAGTATTATTGCTGTGAAGCTCTGTTACACTTTTACACAGGGTTAGTCACTAAAGTGATTCAGTGTGAATTCAAAGTGAATTTCAAGTTTAAGGTGAAAATAGTTTAAAAAAAAGGAAAAATTGAAAGTTGAAAAAAAAGTCAACGATGCTTTCAGTTCAGCATCTCTGACTGTAAATTTCAAATTAACTTTGAATTCCCAGCAGTTTTCTCTATAGCGAACAACTCTTGCAGGGTTATTTACTAACGTGAGAATTCAAAGCGAATTTCAAAATTTAGGCTAAAATAGTAGAATTAGAAATATTATCAAATTCAATTCTGTTTTTAAGTTGAGCTATTTTGGCATTAAATTAGAATTTCACTTTGAATTCCTGGCAATTCTTACTAAATAAATAATCATGTCTGACATAGCAACAATATAGAGCTCCTAGAAAAGAGTATGAAAATGAGGGACATAGGAATATAGGCCCAATACAGGGACTGTGTCTTCTAAATAGGGCCATTTGGCAGGTATCTTAAAGGACCACTATAGTGCCAGGAAAACAAACTCGTTTTCCTGGCACTATAGGGTCTTTAGATCCCGTCCCCCCCACCCTCAGGGTCCCACTCTCGCTGGGCTAAGGGGTTTAACTCTTACCTTTCTCCAGCGCCGGGCCATCTCTCCGCCCTCTTCTGACGTCAGCACCGAATGCGCATGCGCGGCAAGAGCTGCGTGCGCATCCAATCAGTCCATAGGAAAGCATTTCTCAATGAGTGAGAAGCGCGGAAGCGCCTCTAGCGGGTGTCAGTGAGACAGCCACTAGCGGCTCGATTAACCCATATGTAAACATAGCAGTTTCTCTGAAACTGCTCTGTTTACAGCTGCAGGGTTAACCCTAGATGGACCTGGCACCCAGACCACTTCATTGAGCTGAGGTGGCCTGGGTGCCTATAGTGGTCCTTTAATAACATTAGGTCCATGCTGACTATATAGGGTCTGTGTGATTAGGTGAAGAGAGATGCTACCTTCCAAACAATGCAGGCATTACTACACATTAGCTAGTGAGGAACACTATAAACATTTTTCTGAACAGGTAGATAAAGCCTGCAGTATTCATATTGGGAATATAGAGTAATAGAGATACAGTAAGAAAAAAGTGTGTGGTAGTTAAAAATAACTACTGGCCACCTAAGTGGAAACCCCTTCTACCACTTAAATAGAAATACAATACATACATACAATAGGTGGGACACACATCTGTAGATTCTAAAAAAACAAGATAAAACATCATAGTGTAATATATCAAAATGAACTGTAATCAGTAGAGATAGAGCAGTATTACTCACAAGCCTAGAGCCAATTTAGACATATGGCTCTTATGTGCAGCGCAGTGGGACTTTTATTTGGATGTCCCCATCCCTCTTGGTATTCCTCCTTTGGTAGAAGATCACAATATTCCAATGTGTTTCCAATGAGGGAACTTTATTGATGCGTTCCAAACACAGAAAACCCGGAAGCAAAGAAGATGAGTGCTTTATAAGGACGCCAAGAAGCTGCCACTGGATATACAGACTGATGCCAACTGAGGAAGCCCCCACCATAGGGCGAAACGCGTTTTGGACTTACATAGTCTACATATTGGACTTTCAATTGGACTTATTGTCTATATTTTTAATTTTCATTGGGAATATTTATTTCCATACTTTTTTTTTTTATATTCACTGTTATTTCACAATAAAGTTCCCTCATTGGAAACACAACTTACCCTGTTCGCCACACCTCACACCAATCTGCCCGCCAAATGGTATGTATGTAAGATCTCTTCGGCTGGTCACTTCAACAACAGGGAACCATAGCCGAGTTGGAAAAGATTGCGCTTGAGAATAAGTGCTGGATGTGTGCTGGATAAAACGGACTTGTAGTCTATGCGTTTCGTCAGTACTCAGTACTAGTTTCATATCTGTTATATCTATTTTTGTCATAATATATGGCATGTTATAGATTTATGTCTCTTGTAGGTTAATACTCAGAGATTTTTGTACAGAAACATTTATTTTTTTACACCGAATCTTTTATATACAGTATATATAGTATTTTGTTTGTAATATTGTATTCTATTCTAACAATGTAATGTTTTGTGGACTCAGGACAAACTTGAAAATGAGAGAAATTTCAATGTATACTTCCTGGTAAAATATTTTATAAATAAATAATGTATAATATAATGTACAGTTGGGAGGGGCACAGGTCGTCTCTGTGTGTGAGTATCATTTTGTGGTAAAAGGTGAATGTTTTGCTCTTTTCAGGCCGCATACGTAAACCGTTTGGAGAGTATGCAGAAAGTACTACAAGACTCTGCATTCTTTGGTTCTCACGAGGTAAGATATGACCAAAGACGAGATTCCGACCAGATTATGATATGATATATATATATATATATATATATATATATACACACCGTCTCTTTAAATGAGACTGGAGATGTGAAATGTGTGCGGAAAATGTTTAGAAGAGCAGCCATTAATGACGCTGTGGTTATAGTGATTAACGGTGACGCTTTATCTGTACATTTCAATAAGTAATCCGTCTTTCTGGGTGGATGAATGGAGGTAAAACAAAATAAGAAAGCAAAACTTGCTCCCAGTTCCCCTTTTAGTTAAAACACAAAATATGCTTATTAAAGCATAAAAGAGCCCACACATTACATAATATTGCTTACAGCTTCTAGAATGACAATTTTAAAGTGGCAATGTGCAATTTAAAGGGAATGAAAGCAACAGCTAAAGCACTTCAGCTTGCCGGATTGCTTTATGTGTGTAGAGTGTGTCCTCTTTTTGTTTTTATTTTACAAAAAGTGCAGATTTCATTAGAAATTGGCAGTTTTCTAAATTAACCTTGTTATACCCCTCACTAGCCCTCCCCTGGTTGTCAAACAAGAGGTCCTGTTACTTCCTGGTTGTTTAGCTCAGTGGAGCTAAACTCAAGAGACAGCAATTGCCCAGAGCACCTGCCTTGCAAAGACTTCTCATTGAGCTGCATTGAGAAGTATGTGTTTGGACAGCCTCATAAAGTCTGGGCGGGGTTAGAAGGGGAGGGCTTTAAAAGGCTGCAAACAAGAGATCTGCAGCTGTTGCAAGCTGTTTGTAGATATATCCCAAATAAAAAAAATGCATAATTAAATACATGCATGTTTTCATTGGGGGTATATCTACTAATAGTTGTTTTTATTTATGTAGGGGAGTGACCCTTTCACATGGTAAAACAGGGTACATCCAATTAGTATAAAATGTTGTAGGGTTTATCGTTATCATGTTTTGTATTGAGTGGTTGCATATTAGCAAAATTACCAAAATCTCGCTCATAAGGCGTATTGATATAGTGATTCTCTCATTTTCTACAATAGTTTAACCCCTCACATGCTCACGCGTTCCTTTTGGGGTTAACAAGTGGGCTTTAAAGGCCAAGAGACAAATTGTCAGCCTGTTTCCCCTTACATATGGGGTTATTCACTAAATAATGACCGAATTTGGGCTTGATGGCAATCCACAGATAGGCTAAAGCCAATTCTGGTCAGAATGTCATCAGTCCGACTGGATTTAAATACGTCGCCCTGATGCATTCAGTATCGGGTTAAAATCTGTGCTTTCGCGTCTGAATCCTGTACAAAAAGATAGGATTCAAAAGATTTGCAAAGCAACAATTTTAGCTAAATTTTGAAATCGAATGTATCTGGTATTAACAAAACATTCATTTGCATTTTTGCAATTAAATAGATAATAAAGCAAGAAGTAATTGCAAGCGGACAAATAGTTAGCTCTTCATGGTGCAAGGGTTAATAGTGTCCACTGGCCAGTGCTTGCTATCCAGCTGCTACATTAAATACTCTAAACCAGGGGTGCCCAAAAGGTCGATCCCCAGATGTTTTAAAACTACAGCTTCCATGATGCTTTGTCATTCTAAAGGCAAGCTAAAGGCACACAAATCATCATGGGAGTTGTAGTCTAACAACATCTAGAGATCTACTTTTTGGGCGGCCCTGCACCAACACTAAACTAATAAAAAGCCTATGGGGGTCAATAAGATCCCATATTACTATAAGGGAGGGATTTCACCACCCTATGTCCACCAAAACTTTAAAACTAGTGAGGATGTGGCCTGTTGAATAATGTTGGGACATGGTGGGAGATTTTAAAATATGTAAAGGGAGGTCGACACGTCCCTGTCCACCTCCTTGTCCCCACCACCCCTTCTACATGTGAGGGAAGGCATCCTTAATCCCTCGTCACCATTCATTAAAATTAAATTACCCTACCTACCCCACCTCAACTTAATAATATGAGGGGACAATAAAACTAATTCCTATAAAAATAAAATTATACTTACTCATAAGAAGTCTTCTTACGTGTAACTCTTCTTTTCTTTAGACTTAAAATGACCAGATTAAACTCCATAATAACATGTTAAAACTAATCACAAATTTACATTACAAAAAACGCAACTTTATAAAATGAATCCCTTTTCACCTTGCAAGGGCTCATCTCAGACTGATCGCAGACTGAGCCCTTATAAAGGTTTTCCCACACTATGTCAGGAGGTTAGTAGTTTAGAATTTTTTTTAACGTTTGGCAGCGTTCAGTCCTGCTGAAATCCAGACCAAATTTAGGCCCATTCAAGGCATGAATTACAAAATCTGAACATTATATGCAACCAGATGGTTTTGTGAACTTTAGTGAATAATTACGATAATGTTTCCCTTCACATACAATATTAAAAATTGCCCTATTAGTAGGGAAGACTCTTCCCTATACTGTAAGGCTGCCCTCATTTTTCCCCTGCAGCCTGATTGCTCAGCCTGGCTGTGGAACGCCTGTGCTGCATCTGGTAATATATAAAGATGATAAAAAGTGTCTCTGCTGCTGCTGCTCAAATGACTTCCCACTCACCGCCCCAGGACCATCTTTGCTCTGCCTGAAGCTTATTCCGTTGCTCCCGCCAGTGGCGCCTCTAGGCTATGTGAGGTCTTAGGCAAAACTCAAACTTGAAACCCCCCACTAACAACCATAGTGAAAAAATAAATAGTGGTTGCATTGTGTGTGTATAAGGAGTGTAAATATAGTGAAGGAAGTTCTTGCAGCATGCGTTACAGAGAGCCAGTTTCTGCATTCATTGTTGCAGTGTCGCAGTTCCCTGGGTCAATGCATTGTGAGCTCTCTAACTGTAGTTATGGCATGATTTGCAAACTAAATTAATTTGCAATAAACAAATTAATGCTCATTTATACACAATTGCGAGGTACGGTTGCATAGCCATGTCGTGTATACTTAAGCACTGGTGTAAAGGGATTATTGGAAACAAAAATAAAAATTGTGATTGGCCGAAAAAGCTTTTCAAAAATAATTTTCCAAGTAAAAAAGTAACAGATAAGAAAACAGTGCCATTAACATTTTCCCCACGTATTCGGTAATCCCTTTACATATACAGTATCTCACAAAAGTGAGTACACCCCTCGCATTTTTTAAATATTTTATTATATCTTTTCATGTGACAACACTGAAGAAATGACACTCTGCTACAATGTAAAGTAGTAAGTGTGCAGCCTGCATAACAGTGTAAATTTGCTGTCCCCTGAAATTAACTCAACACACAGCCATTAATGTCTGAACCGTTGGCAACAAAAGTGAAAATGTTCCCCTAAGTGGAAATGTCCAAATTGGGCCCAATTAGCCATTTTCCCTCCCCGGTGTCATGTGACTCATTAGTGTTACAAGGTCTCAGGTGTGAATGGGGAGCAGGTGTGTTTAATTTGGTGTTATCGCTCTCACACTCTCTCATACTGGTCACTGGAAGTTCAACATGGCACCTCATGGCAAATAGCTCTCTGATGATCTGAAAAAAAGAATTGTTTCCCTACATAAAGATGGCCCAGGCTATAAGAAGATTGCCAAGACCCTGAAACTGAGCAGCAGCATGGTGGCAAGACCATACAGCGGTGTCACAGGACAGGTTCCACTCAGAACAGGCCTCGCCATGGTCGACCAAAGAAGTTGAGTGCACGTGCTCGGCGTCATATCCAGAGGTTGTCTTTGGAAAATAGACGTATGAGTGCTGCCAGCATTGCTGCAGAGGTTGAAGGGGTGGGGGGTCAGCCTGTCAGTGCTCAGACCATACGCTGCACACTGCATCAAATTGGTCCGCATGGCTGTCATCCCTGAAGGAAGCCTCTTCTAAAGATGATGCACAAGAAAGCCCACAAACAGTGTGCTGAAGGCAAGCAGACTAAGGACATGGATTACTGGAACCATGTCCTGTGGTCCGATGAGACCCAGATAAACTTATTTGGTTCAGATGGTTTCAAGTGTGTGTGGCAGCAACCTGGTGAGAAGGACAAAGACAAGTGTGTCTTGCCTAAAGTAAAGCATGGTGGTGGGAGTGTCATGGTCTGGGCCAGCATGAGTGCTGCCGGCACTGGGGAGCTACAGTTCATTGAGGGAACCATGAATGCCAACATGTACTGTGACATACTGAAGCAGAGCATAATCCCTTCCATTCGGAGACTGGGCTGCAGGGCAGTATTCCAACATGATAACGACCTCAAACACACCTCCAAGATGACCACTTCCTTCCTAAAGATACTGCAGATAAAGGTGATGGACTGGCCAAGCATGTCTCCAGACCTAAACCCTATTGAACATCTGTTGGGCATCCTCACATGGAAGGTGGGGGAGCACAAGGTCTCTAACATCCACCAGCTTTGTAATGTCGTTGCCAACAGTTTACGCATTAATGGCGGTGTGTGGAGTTATTTTGATGGGACAGCAAATTTACATTGTTATACAGGCAGTGCACTTACTACTTTACACTGCAGCAGAGTGTCATATCTTCAGTGTTGTCACATGAAAAGATATAATAAAATATTTACAAAAATGTGAGGGGTGTACTTACTTTTGTGAGATACTATATATATATATGTGTTTCCCAATGTATTGTATGTTTGTTAATTATACATGTTGCTACTTTATCTTTGCATTGCCTATACCAAACCACCCTCATGTTGCTGCCACAGACACAAACACACCAATACATGCACACATATACACACTGATGCATTCATATCCATACACAAACACACTGATGTACAGAGAGACACATTTTTACACTTACAGACATACAGTCAGAATGTGTCTCTGTATGTGTGTATTTCTGATTGAGGGTGAATGTGGGAGGGCGAGAGGACGTTAATGTGACAGTGTTAGGGATGTGTATGACATGGTTGGGGGAGGGAGTGTGACATGGCAGGGACAGATTAGTGTGACAGTATTAGGAAAGTTAATGGTGACAGGGTGAATGTGGCGTGGTGGGGTGAGTATAACAGGGTTGGCATGGTTGGGGGAGGGAGTGTGACATGGCAAGGGGAGGTGAGTGTGACAGGATTAGAGGTGTTAATGTAACAGGGTGAGTGGCAGGGTTGGGGGGTGAATGTGGTAGGATTTGAGGATGGAGTGTGGCAGGGCGCGGGCAAGAGATTGGTTGGGGGAGATGAATGACAGGATTGGAGGGGTTCATGTGATAGGGTGAGTATGACAAAGTGGGGATGAGTGTGACAGGGTTGGGAGGGTGAGTGTGACATCCATTTTAAAAGAGGGTTAATGTGATAGGGTGAGTACGACAGAGGGGGTGAGACAAACAGAGTTAATAAGGGTTAATGTGAGGGGGTGGTGGTGTGGTGTGTGTTGTTTTTTTCATGGCAATACTCTGATTGGCTGAGTTTGCGAGACCTCTACCATGTGGTCTGCACTCAGCAGACCGACTGGTCTGTTGCTTGCCCAGCTGTGCACCAGGCCCCTTCCCAGTGTCTGCCCTCACAGACTGAGGACCCAATGAATCAATCTGCCATAAGGCGAATTAAACAGCTTTGAGGCCCCAGTCAGAGAAGGCCGTAGGTGGCCGCCTAACTAGAAACCAGTCTGATAGTCAACACAGGTTATAGATGATTGTCTGTGTTATATTCTATTATGTTATTTCTAGAGAAGTGACAGTTTTACTTTCATTTCTAGGAGTTCCTTATTCATGCTAATACAATTTAGTGATTCAACATTGATTCATTTCTGAGCACATTCCCACAACAAAGTAACAGATGCCATGGAGATGTGCTCATTCAAGAAGCATTATAGCACATTAAGTGAATGAGAAACGCCTGGAAATGTAGACGTTTGGCATCTACAGTTGGGTGACCAGATGTCCCTTTTGAGGTGGAGATGGTTAGATGTATGTAGGCTAATGCACTCTACAGCGCTATATATTGTGTTGGCACTACATAAATCATAGAAAGTACCAAACCCAGTTTATTAAAAAAAAAAAAAAAAAATACTAATTTGCTCCGACTCTGGCACCATGAAAGTCTGAGAGGACTTTACTTTGCAGAAAAGTATGATTTTCTTTATTTTGCTCTTACAGATACTTACTGATAGAACAATTACTTTAAGAGGTTTCTCACCCTTTAAATTACAGTGTTATTATTGGTAATAGTGTGAATATCACTTCAGCCTGAGAACTGGTCTACTAGAGTGAAGGAGACAAATTTGAGTTTACTCAACAGTTGGATATTGGTGGAATTTAGGTTCTCCATGTCCTTATACATGAGGAGCAGTCATCCAGCCAAGCAATGATCTATCGTTTTGAAATAGAATGTGTGGAAATAGGACCTCTGTTTTCTTTTAAATTTTAGATTTACATCATTGCATGTTTACATGTCAGACAACTTTGGATGTGGTCAGTTGTGATGGGATGAGAGGTTCCAGAGTTATGACAGTATTTGTGCCAAATTTCTTGCCATTAGAGGACAGTCACAGAAGGAAATTGACTGAACACTCTAACTTTAAACGTAACATTTTTGAAGTTAAAGGGTTACTCCAACCACCATGACCACTTCTGCTTTTACAAGTGGTCACGGTGGTAGGAATCTGTATGTGCAGTGTTTCTGCTTGAAACCCTGCACACACAGATATGTTTACTTCTGTTTCGGGGGTTAGTTACACTGCTGGCACATGTGACTTAGTCAGCTGGATCTCTGTTCTGGGCTGCCTAATGTTAAATCTCAGCATAAAATAAGGTTGTCATCAGTGCACATAGCATCGTGGCTACAGACACGGTCAGCTTCTGCCCCTGAAGGCCACACTTGCAAGTGGAAGCCTCTATATCTCCTCCCTCTCTTTCATTTAATCCCTCCCTTCCATCCTGCCTGTCTTTCTAATATTTCCTCATTTTTAAAATATATATTTTTCTTAAGCCCTTCGAAACTCAGACTTCGCGCATCTTAGCCAGTGAGCATGATCTACAGTTTCTCCTCCCACTGTGAGATCAAGTATGATGATCACGATCCAATGTGTCTCAGAGAAGCATTGTGGACCCAAGCTGCTGGGGTCCATTAATCAAATGCTTCATGTTCAAACATTAAATCCTATTTTTGCTTATTATTTATTGTTATTGAATCCTGTGTTTCATCATCTTCATGTTGTGCTTGATGACCCAGAAGGTGAAGGTTTAAAAAAAAAAAAAAAAAGTCTTTGGGGGAGCTTTAGTGCCAGGGATTTTCTGGCATTATAGTTTCCCTTTTAGTGCTACCCCTTTTCAAGCTCCCCCCCCCCTTCCCCTCCCTGTGGTGCAGAAGGGGTTAAAAAGCCCTTCTGTCACTTACCTTAGTCCAGCACCGCCTTCTGTCACTTACCTTAGTCCGGCACCGATGTCCCTTAGCGCTGGCTCGGGCTCCGCCTCCACTCTTCCCCAGCCGACGTCAACTGGTTAGCCGACGTCAACTAATTAGGACGTCCCACTAGGAAAGCATTATACAATGCTTTCCTATGGGGTTTTGGGTGACGCTGGATGTCCTCATGCATAGCGTGAGGACATCCAGCATCAGTTAGGCAACCAAAAGTCGTCTAACGACCCGGAAGTCACTCATTAAGCTGACTGGTAGACCCCTGTCTGGAGTTAACCCACAAAGGTAATTATTGCAGTTTATTAAAAAGTGCAGTAATTACCTTTGCAGGGTTAAGGGACACTGCACCCAGGCCACTTCAATGAGTGGAATTGTCTGGGTGCCTATAGTGTCCCTTTAAAGAGGAAGTAGCTATAACGACTGGCTGTGGACAATGCTCTTTCTCAAAAATGGCACGGTTTTTACATTGTCTGAGAAAAGAGACCGCATCTATTCACCAGAACCACTACATTAATATGTAGTGGTTTAGTGCTTATAATGTCCCTTTAAGAGCACTAACAGGAGTTCTTGGTTAGAGAGAGTGTTATTGAAAGGAAGCTCAAATCAATTTGCATTGCTGGAGCAGAGATAGAAAGATTGTGAATTATGTCATCAACTGCTTCTGCATTGTCACAATCTGTTTGTTCAAACAGTGCCATCTGGACAAAAAGCAGACTCAGATCATTCATTATTTTAATTTTTTTCAACAAAGTTTCGAGTTGTTCCTAATAATAACTCTTGCTTCTGCAAACAAAGTATTATTTTTTTCCTTTTCAATTCGAGACATGCGAGAAAAAAAACCCAAGATCTATTAAAAGGCTTTCGAGGCAATGTTTATTTTAGCAGTTAGGTTAAAAACATTGGAGGTAGGAACAGAGTTTAATAATGTTCTGTCTTATTATTGTATAAACACTATTTGTCAAGCCTGAGTAAAGTCATTCATTCTAGATTGAAACATCGTTAGTTTTACTCGTCATGAGTGAATAAATCCTTAGAAGACCGCTAAAGTCATCCAGGACACTTCATCTCAATGTCGCGGTGCTTTAGCTTAAACCTTGCAATGTAAAACATTGCAGTTTTTAGAAACTGCAAAGTCCACATCTAGTGGCTGTCCTCTAGTGACACTGACCGACGTAGAAGCGCCAATGGAAAAGTATTAAATCCAAAATAGTTTGGATGCGTGAGGTCTATGAGCAATGCTTTGGACCATCGCAGAGGAGCTCGGCAGCACTGAGGGAGTCTCGGTGCTATAAAAAAAAAAAGCAAGTGTCTAAAACTTTAGGAATACAGGCTTTTACTCGCTTTAGTGTTCCTTACAACAAATGTCACACAAATTGGACTAGATGTAATTTTATTCGATTTTAAATATTACTTGAGTCATTATTTTTTTATTTATTTTTTTAAATTAGCATTGTCTTGGGGTAAATCTGTGCTGGTTTGTATTCTTCATTTCCTGACATTGAAGTCAGTCCATAAAGACATTTTATTCACATATACAGATGATGCATGATGGAGATATTGCTAAGAGACACTCCATGCACCATAATAACCTATGCTTGTTTGAACATGTTATGGTACAAAGAAGTCTTTTGTCTCCCTGGAAACAGTCTGAGTTTTTTTTTTTTTTTTTGTAAATCATTGCAGTTACAAGTAGCTAATGACAGTCTTGGCCTCTGGGGAAAATTAAACCGTGGATCTGCTAAAGACCAATAGTCCTGCTTCAGGCTCGAATTCACCACTATTTTAATGCAATACATACATTACATTTTCAATTGCATTTGATTTTTAGTCTAAAGTAAAATGGATTTTAAAGTTCCTGCGTTTAACACAAACTGCCAGGACTTGCAGCCTCTTTAGTGAACTCTTACCAATACAGTATGTATTTTGAACATGCGGCCTTCCCATTATGTTTTGTGGGAACATTTGGCATATCACACTCACAAAAGCAGCAGTGCTTTCAGTTGCAGGAGCCTTGCTTGCCCATGTGCTCCTTTGTGCTAGTTCTGCCAGTTTATTATTGCTCACGGCAGGTTTCTTGGTCCATTGGACTTTGCCTGATTGCTAACTCTGCTCCTGAACCCTTGCCTCTACTCTGTGTGGGTCATAGCATTTACAATGGCTACTATCAGCAAGTCACATATTCTGAAGAATATAACCTTAAACCGCTTCTGAGCTATGCTGAAAATATAAAGGCTATCCTTGGCTACCTCCTAATTTAGGCACATCTTGCCGCATGAAGCTTTTTCATTCTTTATATTGTCTATATAGTGCATTAAAATGGAGGTCCAACACCTTCACCGAGTGCCTTTTTAATTTAGAGCTTGGCAAACCACAGGCAGTTTTCTGCAGTTCACACAAAGAAAAATAGTGTTAACTTACATACAGGGCTAGACTCCTCTATTTTATCTAAAAGTCATGGAGTAAGCAATTTTATTTTATATGGTAAAATCATCAGTGTGATTATCCTGTTGACTACAATCCTGATAAAGACTGAAATTACTGTATCCCTCTACTGCTTAGAATGCATAAGCAGAGCAAGCCATGACTTTACACACAATGACAGACCAAACCAAATGTATAGGTATTATCCTATCCCTTCCTATTCAGAAACTTCAATTCTGTCTGACAATTGTTTGTGTGTATTGAAGTTAGCGGACTTGTTGAAAGCGGTTATTTGGGGTCACTTGCATCAAAAGAACACTATAGTCACCAAAACTGTAGCTTAATGAATTAGTTTTTGTGTATACATCACTGCTCAATTCTCTGTCATTTAGGAGCTAAAACACTTTTGTTTCTGTTTATGCAGCCCTAGCCACTCTTTCCCTGACACGGCCTGCATGAATGGTTTAATTTTCAATGAGATGTAACTTACTTTAAAAGTTTTGTATCTCCTGCTCTGTAAATTGAACTTTAATTACATACAGGAGACTCCTGCAGGGTCTAGCAAGCTGTTAACAGAGCAGACGATAAATTCTAAATTAAACAGAATATGCAATACAGTAAACATTAGATCTCTCTGAACAGGAAGTGTTTAGGAAGGCTGTGTAAGTCACATGCAGGGAGGTGTGATTAGGGCTGTATAAACAAAGTGATATAATTCCTAAATGGTAGAGAATTGAGCTGTGAGGCTACAGGGCCATGATCTATACACCAAAACTGCTTCATTAAGCTAAAGTTGTATTGGTGACTATAGTGTCCCTTTAATGCACTAGATTACCAGCGATATGTGGACTTTTAGCAAGGATATGATGGATTACTTTAGTGTTATCTGACTGAGCATATAGTATAACCTTCCTTCTTTCTTGCTTCAGGTGATTGGAAGCTCGCTGCTTTTTGTTCATGACCGCCGTGGATTCTCAAATGTGTGGATGATTGATTTTGGAAAAACATCTCCAGCACCCACTAACCTTACCCTGCAACATGATGTTCCCTGGGAAGCTGGCAATCACGAGGATGGCTACCTAATAGGACTGAAAAACCTAATTCAAACCATGCAGGAGACAATACGCAAAATAGAGGAAAGCAAGGAAACTCAACTTAAAGAGTCGGGGGAAGGACAAGAAGAAACAGAAGATGTAGAAATTAAGAGGGAAGAGAAATCAACAATCATGGATACAAATGACACTGTAGCAAAGAGAGGACTTTTAGCACAGGAATAAGCACTAAAGGAAATGGTCCAAACACCATCTGCAGAGAAAGGCAACAGGGCAGTGAGACATAAGAGTTGTTAAGTCTTGTAAACCAGGTTGTGGTTAGCATAGTTAGCGTGATGAACTTGGCTTCTTGCTGCTTCATTCCAGGAATTGACATTAACAAACAAACAAAAGGCTTCCTTAATATTAGAATCATGATGAAAAGCTGGCCAACTCCAATATGGAGTGCAGATAGATAATGCAGGGCTTGATCTTCCATGAAGATGAGGACACTGTAGAACTACAGATAGTAAACAAAACATTCATCCACATCAGGGAAGACTAGTATGGACCTCATCTGTTTGCATGACTCTTCGGTGGGACTTTCTAACTTGTTGCTCATTTCTGTCTATCACTGTATCATTATGCTGGGGGTAGGAAGGAGGGGGCACACAGATTTCTAAATTTTTGATGGTCACCCTATAATAAAATGGACTCACGGGTCCCTTTTGGCAGTGTTCTGCTGCTTGGAGGGTCTGACTCATAGCTCCCTTCTACCATGTCACCTTAGAGCGCTGTGTTAATGTCAACATTATGTGGAACTGGAACCTCTTATGTTGCATGGCATCTACTTAACACCACCCAAACATGCCACCCAGGCTGTAATACTAGGAATAGTTCACAAAAAGTGTTATCTTAAGTGCCAAGTAAAAATTCCAGCTATTCCTTCCAATGGCAAGAGTATTTGCCAAATAAGGTTGGGCAGCGCCAACTTAATGCATTTTCTACATCAAGGAGAACTAAAGAACACAACAGCAGCTCCGTTCTGTGTGTCTCCTGCCAGGACAGGGAAATTGATTTATTTCTTGTTCGTATTAAGAGCAAAACTTAAACAATGTCACATCGTTTGCTCACTATACTAACGTGTGCGAAAATTTTAGTTTGACACGATTTAAATATCCCACATTCTGTGAAATAAAGTCAAAATATATACATTTAAAATATAACTACCGGTAATATTCTTTATATCACACTCTATGATCGCCCTACCCATCTGGTACATTTGGACAACAGGAATTCTTAACATTCTATTTTTATTTATATATTTATATATGTATACATATATTTTCATATATATACTTATTTGGCCTCGGTGTTGGAACAAAAGCTTTTAAAAGAGGGAGAGGAGGATATAAAAAGCAACATAACACAGTTTAAGGAGGGAGGCCCTATGGAGCTGTGCTCCTTCAAAGGATAGAACAGTCACACTGTGCTCAGACTCATTTTCGGCGTGCAGAGAAAAAAAAAAAATGAAGTCTCTGATAGCCAGGCTGGAAAAGTACCATATTGTCTTTTGATATCAATGAAGGTGCAGGGGACAGCAATCAATACAGACACTGAATTAAGGAATAAAAGTTGTAAGGAACAGTGCTGTGGACGAGTTAATTGGAGAGTCATTGAGGGTTTTAAGAAGCAGTTAAATAGGCAATAAAAAAATTAAAATAAAGGACATGGAACTTTTTTCACATGGCAAAATTTAGTCACAGCCTGTTTGATGGGGCAACAGAAGGCGCTTAAGATTGGTGTGGGGTAGTTATGCAGTCACGTTTTGGGTCCACTTAATACAAAGATGTAGTGTACCCCATTCAGCTTCACATATTTTCTCTCTCTTTTGGCACTTTCGGGGGCAGAGATGTGAAGGCTTTTAGTCTTGTCCTTCCTCTGACCTCCACTTTTGAGAGTCCTCTTTGTGGGCATCAGGCCGAATCTGGTTCCTCATCCCACCAAGTAGGTTAGAAGTGGCTTCTGTGGCCACTATGAAAGGCTTCACAACAGTGGGTGGTATTTGCCGTAGTACTCCTCCAACTGCACCAGTCAAGCCCTTCTGCTCGTGGCCACGGGATGCTACATCACGTATGGTTTGAGCAGTGTCAATGACACCCTATAGAAACAAAAGAAAAAAAACAAAACAAAAAAAAAACGGTCACAGGCCAGAAATTTTGTTCAAGGCAAGTACAGAGAACAAAAATTCATAAACAAAACAGTCTTTATGCTCTCCTTGAGAACTCACCTCTCTCACAGTATCATATGCCTTGGCCACACCTTCTCGCAGATCTGCTGGCTGTTGGCCTCGCCGTAGTCTACGAGACTGCCTCACATCAAGTGACAAGCGGGACACTGGTGGTGTAGGAGACAGGATATCGTACACAGTCTCTGCAGTAGCCTGCAAGTAAACAATAGAGACGTCAAAAAAGTGATACTTAATTATCTAGTCCATAGTATAGGACTCCTTCATATAGTTGCAGTTCTAGGGGGTCCAAGATATACCACACCTGTATAGCTTGCACCAAGCGATTGCTAAGCTCCAAAGCAGCAGATGCAGTGGAAGTACCAAATGATGCTGCTCCCCGCTGCAAACCGCGTATAATGCGTCCATCTTTACGATATTGTTCAATAGGCAACCAGAAGAGGTCTCGCACACCATGAACTAAAAGATTTGAAAAAAGCATGATTAATTTCAATTAATGCAAGGGATCCTATATTACATCATTGTTCGTGTCCATTTCACATTCAAATTGTTATTATAAAATTATTTGCATAGAATCTTACATTATGGAGTTAGATCCTCAAATGGTAATATATTTTAATAGTAATATTCACAATGCATGACATCTCCCTCATATTACAATGTATCCCCATCTGATAATTTCCCTTATTTACAACTTGAGAGGGATGTATTGGATGTTTCTTTATAAACTGTTTCAACAAGTAGAATACATTAACTTGTAGCTTAGTAATAGCAAGTAATTTAATTTATGGTAAGACATGAATTAAACTTCCCAGCAAGTTAACAGAAAATACATCAGTTTCCAATAGCTCACAAAATAGCTGGGCTTGTATTTTTTATTTTTTTTTATGGATCAGGATACTCAGTATTTCCTGGGTGGTAAGCCCAGGTAAATCACCTCCATCTAATTTCTAGCAGGAGCTTCGTCACTGCTTGTACCTTTGTACATGCAACCAATGCAAACTAGCAATGTCTGAGAATTTACAGAAGTTTTATTCAAATTCTGAAGCCGTTAATATGGGGTTTTCTACCTTTGGAGAGCTGGAGTGTGAAGGCTTTCCCTGGGGTGTAGTGGGACTGCTGTCATCCCCCTACTCAGCTCCCTCTTGCGCACTGTTTAGTGAGTGGGGGGCCAGAGAGATGTCATAATCCTGCTGCCGGCATTACTACAAGGGAGCAGAGCAGGGATATTACAGCTCCCACGCTACCCGCTTCCCTACCTTAGATCTACATGAGCCTGCCTCCCTCCATCAGCTCTCCATGAGCAGGCGGCTGCCGCCTGCCTGCGTGAGCCGAATGCCCACCTCTGCTCAGAATCAGCCAGTCACCTCAGGGGCTGAACAGTCTCGCAACTCCCAGGCTTTGTCGAGCTCTGCATTAAAGTCTTTGGATTGAGGGGCTTCTCCCAGAGAGGACCATACAAATATACTGTGAAAACCCAGTGAGAGATTTGTATGACTTAATTTCACAGTTATTCCAACTAGCCATTACATTACACACTGTGCGGTTTATTGGCTACACTTGCCTTGGAGGAGAACTGACAAGGAGATTGCACAATTTTGCTCACAATGGCTAAGAAGGAGATTTTTTCCAAATGAACTACTCTGTCCTAAAATATGCTATTGCCTCGCCAAGTCTCCACAATTCCCAGTTCAATTAATAAACTTGTAAGATATTTATTATCTGATACAGTAGCCATTGCTGCTTGCCTTCAAGTCAAACAAATTTAGTTTTTTGTCTACTCTAGCAGTTAGTTTCTTTTGGTGAATATTTCAAAGTTTACTTACAAAGTTGTACAACAGAATGCATGGGTCCCACTCCTCCCAGAATCCCTGGCAGTTGGTTTTTTCGTATATCAGTCAACCATTCATTAAGAGCATACGAAAAAACCTTGTCTGCTCCCAAGAGCCTGCGGAACATAAAAGAAGGAAAACATAGATTTAACAATTTTGTGAACTGTACAATGGTCGTAAGTTAATGCAGACCTATAACCATTAAACTGCTAAGCTGGCTATATGGATAACACATCTCTATATAACTATTCTGAAAATGATAACTCTTAAACCCTTCTCTTCTAAACAATTGTATCTAGCTATACCTGGTTATTATAGCAAATATTCAAATGAAATAAGCACAGCGTAAATAAATACAGGGTATGGGAAAATGAATAAAAGTACATGTACTCCTTATTCAAAACATTACTGATTAAAAAAATTCATTTTATTTAACTATTTCTTAAAATATATATATTTAAAAAAATAAAAAAAAATATATATATATAAAAACTTTTCATATGTCATTTGTTTTCCTTTTTTTCCACTACTCAGCTGTCTCGGGACGCCGAGAAATTCATATAAGGTCTGGACTATTTTATGGCTTAATTTGTGATTTAGAAAAGACGGAAAACGAATGACATATGAAAAGTGTTTTATATATATATATATATATATATATATATATATATATATATATATATATATATATTTATTTTTTGTATATATTTTAAGAAATATTTAAATAAAATGAATTTTCTAACCAGCAATTTTTAATGTTTTGAATAAGGAGTACGTGTTTTAAAGATACCTTTTCTTCTATTTTTTACATATATGTGGATCTACATGATTGGGTGGACAACTTAGGAGATTTATCTGGGAAACCAAATTGGACTTTTATTCATTTTCCCATACCCTGTTTTTATTTAAGCTGTGCTTATTTCATTTGAATATTTGCTATAATAGCCAGGTATAGCTAGATACAATTGTTTAGAAGAGAAGGGTTTAAGAGTTATTTTGTATATTTTACAGTATTGTATAGGTTGTTAGGTTTCCTATTTCTATACCCTATTCTCATCTATATCTACTTTAAATCAGCGCTCCACTATTAGTGCCTTTTTCTATATTCTGAAAATGAACAAACTCTTCTGTATAAATTTACTGACAACAAAAGCACTGCTCTATTTGCAGATACTGATAAGTACACAACTCTCTGTAAACTAATTTTGATACCATTCTGTTCAATACATGAATACTGATATATGCATCACTACATAAGTACACTGATAACAAATACACTACTCTGCATACAGGTACCAATAATGAACACAAATGCTCTGGATAACTAAACTGATAACATACATTGCTCTGTATACGGATATTGATAAGGGACTAGGAAAAGAGAGACAGGGTCACAAGGTGCATATGTTGTTATGCTGCCTGGAGTATTGACATAAAGCCCAAAAGCAATCTCTTAACAAGCATTCACATGCTGTATATGAAAAACAAAACAAAAACCACCTAACCAAGTATTGACACATGATCATCATACCCATGTCTGCAATAAAGTCTCTTCAGTTTCAGTTCTGAGCAGTTTAGTTGAGCTAGTCCAATTAATATTCCTGCAAAAGTTCCCTGGAAGAATAAAAGATTAACTTCATATTCATACATAGAAACATAGAATGTGACGGCAGATAAGAACCATTCACACCATCTAGTTTGCCCAATTTTCTAAATTCTTTCATTAGTCCCTGGCCTTATCTTAAAGCTAGGCTAGCCTTCTGCCTATCCCACGCATGCTTAAACTCCTTTACTGTGTTAACCTCTACCACTTCAGCTGGAAGGCTATTCCATGCATCCACTACCCTCTGAGTAAAGTAATACTTCCTGATATTATTTTTAAACCTTTGCCCCTCTAATTTCAGACTATGTCCTCTTGTTATGGTACCTAGGTATATCGTCCTAAATAAAGGATATGTAATGACAAAACCCCCCATGAGTAACTCTTTAGTACACATACTTGTTGCAACGTCCAATACAATTAAGGCTAGGGATGAACTCCACTCGTACAGCCACAATACGATGTAAGCCTACCTACTCTCTACCCCCATCCAATGGGTTGTGGGAAGGAGGAAAAGTACTTTAAAATATAGGACACATGCCAAAGGATATCCTCTATGCCCCTTACCGCTGGGTAAAAATTGTACAGAACTGTGTTTACCCATCTGTTCCCCACCACTTTTCTGTGGGTAGTGATGTGTGGGTAATCTACACCATAGTAACAATGAATCGTGAGCAAATAAAAAGAGATTAATCAAATGTGATATGCAAAACATTGCACATTATACATGAAAGAAGAAATAAAACCAACACATATGAAATATGTCAAAAACAAGAAAAGACAGAAATGTACAAAGCCAAAAGTGTGAAATGTGTAGGCAAGCAGAACAAGTGAAAAAAAAATAATTACTCACTTTTATTCACTGTAATATGCTGCATTTTAAACCCTGCACCAGCCACTGCACGCCAATCTCCCTATCTTTGGGTTGCTTACCTGCACCAGAGTTTTAGCATCTAGTTGGTGAGGTGTACAAGGGTACTCTTCTGCAGGTCTACCGTATATTTTACTGTATCGCCTGTTCACTGGGTTAATCCTGTTTAAACCCTTGGGTGCCGGAGGTACACTCAGTGCTGACATTCAAGGGGTTAATTGGGATGTCCAGCTTTTAATATTGTACCAGATTTCCTTAAAATTTTGATGAACTGAATTAGGCCCCCAGCAAAGTTTGGACCAACCAAAATGAGAGAAACGGTCAGAACAAACTATCCATACCAGCCATATTGTTCTTCCAGTCAGAAGTCTACAAGGTATACATCAAAAAATGTAAAGTAGAATTTAAGTTAAGCTTAATGGCCAGCATGTACATGAGAAATCTCTGGCTGCATTTACTGCAATATTAGACATATACGAATATATCCTCCCAAGTCAATTCACAGGCCTCCACAGACATGGACAATACAGTGACAGACTTGCAGTACCAGATTTATAGATACTGTAAGGATGTGAAGGAGCAACCAGTACCCCCCTCTAACTCAAAGTAATAATAGACAACACTACTTGCCGTTGCCATCACTTACCACCTGTTCTGTGGTAACATGCTTTCCTTGGTAATCCAGCCATATTGGCACTTCGGAGGTGAAGCGGAATTCTCTATAAAAAAAAAAACACAACAAAAAAAGGATGATGCTGAATGTACGAAAACCCTGCCTGTCTCTACCAATTATAATTATTTCTCTCTATCAACAACCAACACAAATTTCAAGAACAAATGAAATATATTATTAAATACACACACACACAAATTAACTAATCACGTTTGTCCATTCTATAAATTCCGATTGAATTTTATATTTAGATTCAGGACAATACTGCAAGGAATACTCTCAGAAGAAAATTCTAAAATGGATAGCTGGAGTCATTAACTCTTACTTTGGAAAGACATAAGAGTTATGAGATGTGCTGGGTGAGAATTTAAGTTTTCAAACACTGCAACAATTATGTTTTCTACACCTTTTCCAGGGCAGTTTCAGTTGGGTGAAACTTAATTCCCGTAGTAAGAAAAGCAAAAACAACCATACGCCATGTTAGAAGACTTCACATATACTGTGCCATGAGTGTGATGCGAGTCTGAAACATGGAAGAGTATTAGTGAAAATATATGGGTGCTTTCTCCAGGTGGGATGAGACTAATATTCCAAACCGTGATGGTTAAATGATATGCTGTCATATGGAAAGGTGAGAATCAGAAATTAAAAGGACCACTGTAGGCACCATAAACACTGGAAAGGACTGAACTGAGCACTGGGTCCCGCATCACTTCTAAATAATTTACTCACTGTTTAGTAGAGATCCTTGGTAAGTGGCAGCCTTCAGCCCACCCTCCAATGAAGATATGGCAGAGGCAGGGCTATGCTCCACTTCAAGCCACACAAGAGATAGTGGACAATGTTTAGCTGAGAGCGTCAGCTGAGTGCTCTCAGCCAGTTACTACCCCAATGCCTGTGTGAACTTTTATGGAGCAAAATAGAAGAATAACTTTGCCTCTACCATATCATCATTATAGAGAGGGCTTAAGGCTGCCAGGGACCAAGTATCTCTGCAAAATGGCAAGTAAACGGTTTACTTGTGATGTGAGACACACAGACTCCAGGCACCATAACTGCTTATATCAATTCAAGTTATTAAAGGGACACTCCAGGCACACAGACCACTTCTTCCCATTGGAGTGGTCTGCGTGCCAACTCCCACTACCCTTAACCCTGCAACTGTAATTACTGCAGTTTTCATAAATTGCAATAATTACCTTACAGGGTTAACTCCTCCTCTAGTGGACAGCTACTAGAGGGCACTTCCTGGTCCATAGCACACGCTGTGTGAGGACCTCCAGCATCGCTAAAATCCCCATAGGAAAGAATTGAAAAGCATTTTCAATGCTTTCCTATGGAGAGGTCTAATGCGCGTGCGTGGCATTGCCGCGCATGCGCATTAGGTCTCCCCAGCCGGCGGCATGATCAGTCTCCCCGCCGGCTGACGTAATGAAGGGGAGGAGCGATGGCAGACCAAGAAGCAGAGACGAGGGACATCGTCGCTGCCTTTGGTAAGTGACTGAAGGGGTTTTCACCCCTTCAGCAACTGGGGATGGGAGGGAGAGGTGACCTGCAGTGCCAGGAAAACGGATTGTTTTCCTGACGCTGGAGAGTCCATTTAAGGTTCCTACAGTGTTCCTTTAAGCACCCAATCTTGGAGCTCCAAATAAACAGCGACAAAACAATAGGACATTGCTGATACCAAGAAAGGGTATCGTGTGGCACTTCTCATTTAGATACCAAAAGAAAAAAACATTTTCTACAAGAAAACTAAATTTTTAAAAACTGTTCCTAGCAAAATGTGAATTGTGAACCTGTATATGCCATTATGCAGAGCGGTTTCTTATACTGCTCAACTGATAGTATGACGCCAGGCATAATTTCAAGCATCCTTACTCTAAGTAGAAATATTTGAAGAACCGTATTTTTCCATAGTCAACCTCTATTCATTTGTGCTTTCTTAGTTGCCATAAAGTAGCCGTTTCTTTCTGAATAACCTATCAAACACAATATTTAAACTTGCCCCATTTGTCCTTCCCTATGTCTTTAATCCACAACAGTTTATCTCATAACAGCACACACTATAATTACTACATTCTTCCTCATCTTTATACCTGAAGTAAATAGGTTGATCACTTGATGAACTATGAGATGAAGTGTCTTCTTCACTGGACTCCAAAGAGGCCTCTAAACCTGGCTCACCATCTGAGGAATTCTGCCTGTTTGTGCCATCCATATGAGAGGCTAGAGGGGGGTGGGGAGGGAGACATGTATGTGAAGCAAACGAAATCTCAGTGTCCATAGTTTCATTACAGGATTTTTCCTGAAAAACTCACCATCTGACCCCATGTCCAAGGCAACCACAGGATGAATCCCAGAGGCTAGACTAGTGAAGAAATCTTTCAAGAAGAAAAGAGCATCCTGAGAAAGCAAGGGATATGGAGAGCGATTGTTGCATTAGAGAGGAAAAAAAAAAAGAAAAGAAATAAAGACATAGATGGAAGAGTAAAGGCAGGAAGAAGAAGATCAAGCAGTGTATCAACTGCAGGAATTAAGAAATGGGGAACAATGAATAGAAACTGTGATATTGACCAGGTTAGGCAACACGGACATGAAACTCTTTAATCTCATACCTGATCGATGTTTAGTCTTAGCGGCATTAAGGACATTCGGAGGCAGCATTCAGGCCCACCCAGTCCAGCTTCCGGACACACATGGAGAGCTTTGATGGAGAGCTAAAATGAATGGTTTAATAAAGATTAGTTAAATCGTATTTAAAGATTTACATCAAAATATATTAACTTTACATGCACAGTTTACTACGGCTGCCATGTTTAATCTATAACAAACCAACTCCACAACACCTGTTGCTATTCTGCTCTTCACCTTTCTTATTTTACCCAAAATTATCTCTGTTCCCATTTCTAATGATCTCTTAATCAAAACTGTTCTCCTTTTCTTACAGTTCTGGTCATTCATTCATCCTATTTAGTCCAACCAAATGGAACCATTCTACAACCATGCATTTTCTACTAAACCTCTTAAACCTTGCTTTCAAGACCTATAGTGCACGATCTCACTGCTCGTTCACGTGCCCCTTTCTCACCATGTTGGAGTGAGCTCTCCGTGGCATCTTTTCACTGGTGTACAAGTACAAAAACTTGTTGATGTGCGATGTAGCCAGACGGTCCCTTATTTCCAGTTCCTGAACTATAAACACCTGACGAGCAATGGGCACTTCTATCTCTGCAGTTTGAAGCTTTTCATTTTTGCCTCCAGATGGTACGGGATATGATTCATGCTGGAAGCTTACCTGTAGAAATGTAAAAAAACTAAATATATCTCATCAGAGAATGGAAAAGGGAAAAAATACACAAAGAATTATCTGTGACCAATGACAACAATATTTATTGAAAGGGGGAAGATGAAGAAAAAAAAAAAATATTAAGTAGGTTGTCATACCCAGTATTCATGATTCATTGTAAAAATATTGTCAATCAATCTGATGTGGGTACGTGACTTGTGCAAAAATTAGTTTTGGCTGGTTGGTCCAAATCAAATCCCTTTTAATAAACATTTTAACTAATCGATTCACCTGGGATTTAATCATGCAGTCTTATTCATTTAAAAATCAGTCTAGTGGATAAATGGAATGGTCACCCAGTAGAGATGGTAAGACTTTTTAAAGCATTAGAAGGGTTAATCTGGCTCAATTTATTACAGCATTGCAAGGGTTAATTTGGCTGTTATTAGCCAAAGGAAGAAGTCATTTGTTAGAATCACAGGAAAGGGGATGTAAATAAGGTCTATTTATCTTAAGCCAGAGTTCAACAACATTTACATGTGAAGATTTTTAGATCTTCGCAGACCTGCCAGCTTCTAGCCTTTCGAAATCTGCTAAGCGCAGACTTCTGGCCTTTTGGTATGGAAATTGACAGTTAGAAACTAGAGTACAGCCCTCTGTGCTAAGAATCATATCCACAAAACCATTAATAAAAATCTAGAGAAGAATAATCAACTTCTGCAAACGAAGTCTAAACATGGCCAGCGTCCCTTACGCCATTTAGGGGAATGAGGTGTCTCTGGAACAGATTAATTATGCCAATTCCACATATGAAAACTATCTTTGTACTAGGCATATAACAAGAAACAGGGACCTTTTTCTAAACTCATTCATATAAATGTGTGGCCAAAATGTGAGATAGGAGGTGTCATCAAACTAGAATCTCTACAGCCACTCCTCATCCCTGTTCGTCCTTCAGACGCTGGCTTGGAATCTTGAGATTGGGAATAAAATCAGATGAAATGTAAATTACTATTTTACTCACTTTGGGTTAAAATCTAATTTTGCAGCTCCCCCAGGGACAGAATATACAGGTACTATGCTAGCAAGGTGAGTAACTAGGATTTTCTGTTACTTCGATTTGTTTGTCGGTGTAATTCATTTGTTTACCATATTTTTTTTTATATAAGTATGCACCAAGACAAATGTTCCTTTATGAAGTCCTGCTTTTTGATGTTATATAACCAGATTACCTGAAGAGACCAAGTAAATAATAATTTGATTTCATATGCATTCTACTAAACAGTGTCTTTGCGGGTTTTTAATCTCATTTAATTGAGTAACCCAAGATGCCCCATTTTAAATCGTTTTGGTGGTAGTAATTTTTTATACTAGAGATAAGAGAGGAGTTAAGTGGGGGTTATTTAGTCATTATTTTAGGTCTACTGCAGATGAATAGTGATTTTTTAACCCTTTAACCTACTGTAGAAAGTCATATGTTCTCCTTGGAGTGGTCTACTACATAAGTGACCAGGTACTAAATTATGAAGTGGCACAGAAGACAGATGTGGGGTCAAAGTTTGTCTTTTCGTTGTTCTTCTCCATATCTTAGGGGGGATTTAACTATAAATAGGAAAATTACAAAAACTTACAGGAACGATAGGTTGAAGAGGACCCTACTAAAACAAGCTTACAGACTACAGGAGGTGGGTTGTAAAACACAATAGGACAGGCAAGATTTACAGACAGTAATACCTTGTCATTCCATCATCATATTAATTAAAATAAATAAATAAATCTGGGCTATTGTTCCAAACACATAGTCACAATTATCAGTTGGCATAACCCTGGCCCAAACAATGAGAAGAAGAAAATATTTAAAAGCCTCCACCCTCTTGAGAGCAGCCATCTCAATGGCATACAAATGAGGCTCTGAAGGGGATGAGGGCAATGAGTCTGCACTTATTCCATTATGGATATGTTGTAACAGACACAGCTAGGCTAAAGGCCGTTTCATACCAATGTGCCATGAGGAATAAACAGAGAAAGGAATTTGCCCTCATGGAACAGTTACCCAAAATGACCACAATAAGGCGACAATAGCTCTAACCTTGGTCAGCTGTATTTCCATTAATATGTCATGATTCCTCCCATTTCCTCCCTGTGTCCTCCATGTGTTCTGCGGTCGGTTTGCAACAGAAGATCGCGATGGGGAGCCACGGGCACTCTGGAAACTTGTTCTAGATCTACAGAACAAGATGGAACATTGGTTGCACATTACGGAATTAGTTTTCCATTAGCTTACCTTACACGATACATGTTCGAATTGACTACTTACCACAGTCTATTCAGCAGTCTGCATTATATGCAAGTCTTTCTAAATAGGCAACCGATCTAGATTTAATAAACAATGTAGAATCCAGATATGAGCAGCTCTAACCAGCAGCAGTTTCAGAGATATTAAATATCCTACATGCTGATTTCTATATTAAAACTGCCTAAATATACGTACAGGTAGACAGGTAAGCGTGTAGTAAAATGCAATATGGTGGGAACAAAATGTACTACACAGCAGGGGACATAATAGGATATAATAGGCCATAATGCTCAATCCCTACATAGATAAAATATTCTTGCAAGGACCCATATTACCCATGAGAGATCAAACCAGCTCCTTCTATACCATCCTCCTACCCAATTAAAGATAATAAACCTGCAAAATAAATCCAACAACTAAATAATGAAAAATAATAAGTGAAGTAAAAACTAAATTAATAAATACTATAATCATGTTACTTTATCTCTTTATACCATATGGGGGAGTATGAAGGTTTTATACACTGACTAGAATATATATGGTCTTTTATTTTAGAATCAGTTCCATAGCCAAGAAATTAGGACTTCTAGTGTCATTGCTTGAAATTTTAAGTATAAACTTATTGTACTTATTTATTTATTTTAAAATGACAGCTAGCAACATCGCTATGTGGGGACACTAAGAATACTCATAATAAGTGGCAGTAGTGTCGAAGCAAACACTAGCAGAACTAAAACTTCTCTGATATTTTCCCAACCTTAAATGCACTATATCCACTGCATTGTGCTAGAAAGGCTATTGTCCCAGACGTCCACTGCATCGTTTGAAAACGGTTTTACTCTTACCAGAGGACAGAGCCAGGTGAATTCTTGGCACCAAAACCTTCCAACTTAAAGTAGTGATTATGGTGCATAGAGTGTCCCTTTAATGCTGGCAAGGAATCATGAGAGTTATACATCTAAAACAGCTGAAGGTCTACCTTTTGATATCCCTGATAAAGGCCATTAAACATGCTAAGCATGTCTGCTTCCAGTGCACTGGTGCTCTACTGTCATGTAACCCTATGCCGATGCCAGAGTCCAGAGTTAGAGCAAGCAGTTTGTTTGTGTTTTTAAAGATGTATATAGCATTATTTTGCAAGATGACTCTCTTTGGTTGACTGATTACATATTTATTTAACGAACACACAAATAGATTATTCTATCATGAGAAGGGTGAGATAATCAATTAGCATAATGGAAAAGCCCAGTGAAATTAATGCATTTTTATCTTATAGAGAGCAAGAAAGTAACAGCAATAGCCCGATGGCTGCTTGCAACTCTCTACAACGTTTCACTTCTTGCCTTCAACATTTACTAAAGCCATTGAGAGAGCCTGCTCTCCACAGCTGAAGTACCATCAAGTCTACATTCAGTTGTTAATTCTTCCAATATCTCCAGCCATACTTTCTACAAGCCCACATTTAGCTCTCAACAGGTTTATTCACCTCTGACTACATATAGAACATAGAAAAACCAATGGCGCAGGGAGGGAGGACACTGAGAACATGTCTGTCTTAATATTGGAGCAGTAGAGATATCCAAAAGCTGGTATTACCGCACACACAAAAATAAAATAATTAACAGACCAAGATACAACAGGAATACTCACAAAAAACTAAAAGACCTGCTCTTAACCAGCCTAATGTAAAAATCCTTTCTATGGTCAGATTTGTATTTCAAATTCAGTAAATATATGGCAAGATACACATTTGCAAAACGAATAAAATGCACAAGCAACTGCAAGTTATTCTGTATCTCCTATTTCTCTAATAATGTTTAATGTAACTATGGACTGCAAATAATAACTAGCCTTCCGTGACATATTTCAAAATCTAATGAAACATCATAAGTGTATTAATCTTTAGCAAGAACTATGATATTGTGTCACAAAGGATGTTGGTCTGTGAAATAGAGGAAGTTAACCTAGAAAGTAATACTTGCTTTAAGATGGAAAATAATTAAAAAAAAAAATAGGAAGCAAAGGTTGTATTAGACTAATGTGGACAAAAATATCCAGTTCCTCTACATGTTTTACGTTTGATGTTAAAGTGGTTATTTTGAGAGGACATACACGGTCAATTTGCAATGAATCTGCAGGGATTTAGTTAAACTGGATTACGTCATTTCGCATCGATACGATCTATGTATTTGGAAAGCACTATACATGAACAAAATGTTTTTTTAAAAAAAAGCTCAATAGTAAGGATAAATGATCACTCCACACCCTTGCAGCATTTTAGCTTGCTGAAGTGTTTTATGGGTAAGGAGTACTCCATTTCATTTTCTATGAGAAATCGTCACTTTTATAAAACACCCCCTTGAGCAGAATCTCAGGTTTATTTCCATCTTTAGTTAGCTCCACTGAGCTAACGTAAGTGGCAGTTGTGCTCTACTTGAGTGTGCCTGCTTCCTCCTTGCATTCCTCGCTTGCTCCTTTTCAGACCTTAGATTAGATTAGCATTGCATGCTAGTCGGGAATGCAGGCAGGAGGAGGGGTTTCACCAGCGCACAGAGGGTATTTCCCCATGAAGAGTCTCTTCCAGGCAAAAGGGGAAGGCTTGGAAAGGCTGCAGTTCTTTAAGATACACCCAATGAATACTTGCATGAAAACTGCATGCATGTATTGATTGTGGGTATATTTACTTTTTTGGCTATTTAGGCAGTGGAGTGTCGCTTTACTAAAAACAGGTTCCTTCAACATGAAAAGAGATAGGATTAACTTAATTCTTGGCAGCAAATCTTCATTCTTCATTCTTAAAATCCAGATGAGCACGGAATATAGGCCGATGACTATGACATTGGCAAAGAGGAAAAAGAAAAACTCAGGTTTGCAAATTTCAATTACAAAAGGCAACTGTGTTCGCTCATTAGTGAGGCAAACTCATTCCTGTAAACACACATACATTTAAGCACAATAAAATTATTTCCTAGGTACAAACTAAATGGTCTTATTTATGCTCTCTCACCTAGGTGATTGTGCCCGTGCAGAGTTTGGCCGGCTGCTGCCAAAATCCTTCCCTCCATATAAATGCCATACAACAGAGATCTCTCGCAGCACAATTCTGGTCTCAGGTACAGGGAACTTATTTGGAGGTTTTAGCAAGTCAGTGCTACCAAGCGGTCGAGAGAAGTGCCCATCCTTGACCAAAATGTGACTATCCACCAACTTTCTGACCACAGGCTCTCCGTCTTTTGGCTAGAGAAAGAGATATTGGCAAGGTAATTCAATTTATTTGAAGATTAAATTATTTACACAGAAAATAGAAGCAATTTAAAGAGCACAACTCTAGCAGAAACAAAGCCTTACTCACCGGCACACCAATGCCAGGGGCATCAAGAATGCAGAAATCGTCTGTGTCTGTGAGTTCACTGTCCCCACTGGTGTCTGACAGACCAAGACTTTCCTGGGAAACCTGTGCCTCGGCTAACAGAGAAGAGGCTGAAAAAGCATCAAGTCTTTGTCCTGTAGCAATTTCTTCAGGGAACAGATAAACGGAAACAGGAGAATTCTGACGGATGAAAGGTTCTCCTAGACAGACAGGGACAGTGGGGGAAAAAGCAAGCACAATTATCTTCTACAGTTCTGCAAAACGATACATGTACATATGGTTGAAGGACCCATAGCCCAATCCCTCCTCCCACCACACACCTGCTTCTGAGAATTCTTTGCTACATCTGCCTGTATCTATAAGTGCATCAGTCAAGTCTCCCTGGTTAATCTGTGCAGTTTCTGCAGGCAGACATGGAGGTAGTGAAGAAGGACCTTCTGGAGCCTGCAGGATGAACAAACACATCAAAAATTAGATTTTACAATTAAAATAAATAAATAAATACAAATATATAAAGTTATGCTAAACTCCCTTTCATTTATGTGGTCATGGTCCATGAAAATGGATATTCCTTCACCCCGCTAGAGAGGTAGAGAAAGATCCCACAAAGTCTTGAGACACCTCCTTCCTGTTCCCCTTACATGAAATCCCCAGTTAGCCATTTAGCCAAGCAGAGAATGAATATCATAAGAAATGGTAAGCACATGCAATCTAGGCACGAGCAAAACCAGACACCTGCACCCTAAGGAAATTAGAGATTATGGAGGAACCTCATGGAATGTGACCACAAAGATGAAAATGTGGTCATGATCCCTAAAAATCCATTAGTTGTGGAATAAGGTATATGCAAGCAACATGAACAGGAGTCGCATAAACTGTGAGCAAGATCAGTGGATGCAAAACCAGCAATTTGGTGAAATTTGGCAAACGTGTGTACTAGGGACCAAGTAGCTCTTTGCACATCTGCTCCATGGAAGCCTCATAATGAGATGCCCAGGAACTGGCCAGTGCTCTAATACAATGAGTGGTAATCCTGTCAGACACCAGCTCAATATACAAAGATAAATACTTCCAAATCAGAGGAGATTCCATCAAGTATAGCTGATGCAACTCAATCACATCACAGGGAGAAAGAGATGGGTTCAGTAACTGGGCCAACCGGAAAGCAGAAATTGGCTTTAGACAACCAGTAGGATTCATTTCCCAAAACATATCTATAGGATCCTTAAAGGAGAACCTTCCTCCAGGGGCATAAGGATTTCTTAGTGAGGGAGGAATTGTCCACATTATAGACTCCCACATGTTTGACTCTAGAAGTTGACCAGGTACATGTGTTTAAACTGCTAAGAAAGCATGCAGGAGGCAGTAGGCTTTAATTATGCTTTGTTAATAACAGAGGAAACCATCTAGTGTACTGAATGGCAGCATGGGTTAGATGCATTTTAAAAAAGGACCATATCCAAAGTAGACACCTCGAGAGAGTAACTTTGGAGCTTCTGGGACTCTTAATACAATAAATGCCTGCAGTAGGAGAGAGCACATGTGCTCTAAGCCTCATACACCCTATTGGTTTGATAGCCTCCTGACAGACCAAAGAGTCTCTGCCAAAATCCTTTTGGGATCAGTCTCCATAAGAAAAAACCCTTAGACCCACAAAGGAGAAGTAACTATATTTTAGATACTGACCAGGGGAGTTTTGAGACTAGACATGCTTGGGTCGCTTACTCTGCCTTGCCACAGTAGACAGTTTGAGGTTTTCCAGGTCGTATCTGAATGTGTGAAGTCTGCCATTACCAGTGATCAGAGACACTGATGGGACAGAAACATCTGTTGGGATACCACACCAAAGTGGGGACACTTCCCTGGGACAAGAAAAAAAACTGCTCCCAGGAGCAGACAGACCGATATCTTGGCAAAACATCCTGCACACAATAAATCCCAAAAGAAAACATGCATAGTGTGACACAGGGTACAAAAAATTGTGGGGGACTAGAAGTAGGCCCAGGAAGATGCTGTACACATTACAGAGCCATTTAGCAGACAGGGAAAAGCTGAAATAGGTGGACGTTGCTTAACATAGTCTCTCCTGCTATCCCAGGTCTCTATTCATCCTGCACAAATTTTGGCAATGCACTCGCAGGGTAGAACATCCCTGGACAGGACACCTCTGTTGAAGAAGAAACTAAAACGTGCAATAAAGTTCAGTCGAGGCTCAAGAAGGAGGAACCATAACTGGAGCAAGAGGGGAGGAATGCCTACAAGACTTTCTGCAATTAATACTACCTCTCCAGTTGGGAGTAGGAATATCCAACAAGTAATGGATTTATGTGGTCCATGACCACATTAAGAACAAAAACAATGAATTGACCCTTTGAGCACTGAACAAGTAAATGCACTTTAGAGCACATTTTTGAATTCTCACTTTAATAAATAACCCTGTTAGATACATTTTTAAGGTTTAAGGGTTAGAGTAAGGGTGGTGTACAGATTAAAGGTTCGAGTTAGGGATCGACCGATTATCGGACGATATTCGGTATTTTCGGCAATATCGGTAACGGCCAATTCAGATACCGATATTGCCGATAATATACAACAGGACCGCCGGACCCATTACAAGCCCGGCAGTCAAGGAGGGGCCCGCAGGTAGCATTTACTTACCTTCCCAGCAGCTCCTCCAGCTCCCCTGTGTAAATCTCTCGAGACCCGCGGCCATCAGAGCGTTGCCACGGGTTACCATGGCAACGCTCCGCGCGGCACGCTGGCCGCGAGATTAACACAGAAGAACTGAAGGAGCTGCTGGGAAGGCAAGTAAACGCTACCGCTCCCACTGCTTAGTACATGCAACTGGACCACCAGGGAATGATATATTCCCCCTCCCTGGCCAGGTAACAAGCAGGAAGGGGGGACTAAAAAATAAATAATTACATATTTAAAAAAAAAAATGTTTTAATAAAAAATGCCCCCTCAATTACATACCTACACAAACACACACTCCATTATATACACATACACTACACAAACACACTGCATTATATAAACACACTATATAATGCAGTGTGTTTATATAATGTGTATATAATGCAGTGTGTTTATATTATGCACACTACACAAACACACTGCATTATATAAACACACTACACAAACACACTGTGTATATAATGCAGTGTGTTTATATAATGCACACTACACAAACACACTGTGTATATAATGCAGTGTGTGTGTTTGTGTAGTGTGTATATAATGCAGTGTGTTTGTGCAGTGTGCATTATATAAACACACTATGCAAATAAACACACTGCATTCACTATACACAAACTACACAAATACACACACTTTGCATTTAGTATACACAGCATTCACTTTACACACACTACCCACACTACACAAACACTCTGCATTCATTATATACACACTACACAAACACACACTGCATCCACTACACACACACACTACACAAACACACACTGCATCCACTACACAAACACACACAGCTCCCCTGTCTAAACACACTTCATCCACTACACATGGCATGTATATTTTGTGCATTTACCTTTAGAAGTAGTTTTTTTTGTTTTGGTTTTTTTTCAAAATGGTAAATGTACAGAATATCGGTAAGTTATCAACTATCGGCCTGAAAGTTCACAGAATATCGGTATCGGCTCTAAAAAAATCAATATCGGTCGATCCCTACTTAGAGTGGTGTAGGGGTTCAGAGTTAATGTACGGTTTCTGTCTCGTACATCAGTCTGTTTCTATTTACTGGAAGAGTTAACGATTCAGTATTTTGACTGTAGCACTCACAAAGCTACAGAGAATGTGTTTGTGCAACTGGAGAGAAAGGAAGAAAATAAAGTAGGGCGGGTTGTTCCGTATCTGTAGTATGGTATGTGGGAGCCAGCATGTTCTCAAAGACTTGGACTCCAAACAAGGATTTGTTTACCATTCAAGGTAAGATAAGGTGCCATTAAAAAAAAAAAAAAAAAGAAGAAAAAAAGATGCTTGTTATGTGGAAAGAAGAAAACTGTAATTTTTCCATCTAGGCTGTGAAAGGTAGTTTTCACGTTTTGTTATCTCAACAAAAAAAAGAGGAGGAGGAGGAGGCATACGGCTTTTAAAAGATGACATTTTTCTTTTCTATACTATTATAGGAAAAAAAAATACAGAATGTGCTTTTTCTCCACTATAGAGAATGTACATAAATAAATATTACAGTGAAATTTCATCAAAGTATCACACATTAAATCTGCTTATACTTTGTATTAATAATTAAAATATATTGTTTGTTAAAACCCATCTGCTTGTATGTCGCTAATGTCAAGGAGATCAGGTGTAAGAAGGACAGGCATCCCATGGTATAACACAGCAAAATCATCTGTCCTGGTGGTATTTGGATGAATTCCATAGTTTGGACCTTTTTCATAAGCGTGGTCTTGAAGCTAAACACCCTCTCCATGACCCTCTATGAACTTTTTGGGAAGCAAGGCTGCCATAACTTGTAGACAAAAGACAGGAATGTCCAAGTTCATAGACAGAGTGTAAGTTTAAACATCTCTTTTATACTCTGGTTTAATATCATGTTTGGTATATCAGAAAAAAACAATAACAATCACAGAAAATTCTAGAATTACTCTGTATGTGCACTATATTACTCAGCAAAGAGTTGACAGGTCTTTAGTTCAGCACATGGTAGTAGTTTCATTCAGGAAACATCATAAATGAAACCGCTTCACAAGCTAATAAAATTCCCAGCACGACTTCTATTCACCAAATAGCTTAATTCAGATTTCCTTTCGTGTATGAAACTAGCCTTATTTGCGTGTGAGCTCTGTCATAGAAAGCTGTAAAAGACTCTGCAAAAATGAGGAAATTGATGGGGTGTATTTGCATGGTAGCAACACTATGGCAGCCCTGAAACCGGTGGGATATCCCGGTCCCCGCTGATCTGGGCTACTGCGATTTCGTAACTCATAATGGGTCCCCAGGCATTCTCTGGCTGGAGACAAGTAGAGACCCCCAAGATGATCTACACATATGTAAACTACCAAGGCCCACCCAGCAATACCATGGATAAGCTTGATCTTATATTTGCATGCTTTTGGGATACCTTAATGGAGCGTTTGAGGCCTCACAGGGACCCAAGGTCATTGCAGGCTTCTGACCCCAGTACACGCCACCTACCCAGGCAGAGAGCTACAAGGGCTTCAAACTGACTGTTCCAGCCATGGAAACATCGGGACGCAAGGCACCAACTAAGAACCACACGAAAGACCCGCAGAGCCCATCATTTTGACCCACAAGGGATGAGCCTGAACTTTGCCAGTTCTCAGGCTGGTGGCAAGACGGTACCTGCTCTCATGCAATCATGGGGCTGGGGAGGCTCCTCATCTGGGCTCCACTATGCTGCTCTGTGCACCAGCTTGGGATATAAGCCCCATACGGGCATAGGATGACTGTGCGGTCCTTTGGCTGGGAGGGCCTGATCCGTGACCCACGGACTGTGTTTCACTTGGAGGCTACGGGATTCACCGCTTACATAATGCGGCTCTTGGCACCAGATCGGGCGCGACGCACAAGCAACGATTGCTTGATTATTATCTCTGAACCATTAATTTATTGTACTCGATGCCACGGTCACGTTGCTTATTCATATAATTTCATTCTACATATCGTAATAGGTCCCTCATGATATCATTATCTACTGCATTAAACCCACATTAGTGCTAATAGCTGGTCTCTTACTCTGTCAGAATGCTTGACGTACGCAGCACAATGTTTTACCCAAATATTGTTTATTTTCTTTAACTAAAAATAAGGCTTGTCTAATCTCTAAGAGATCATTCATTTACAGTTAATTAACTATGCTTAAGCGCTTATTTTTGCTCAGGTATAGTTCATTACTGTGTATTCTGCAAAAGCTGTAATTGTACCACTGTAATATCTGTTCAACTATGCCTCAATAAAAACAAAGAATGGAAAAAAAAAAATAATACATATATTTATGAATAGTAGTGAATAGGAGTATTATTCACTAAAGATTGACAAAGTTTAGCCAAAAATAGCAAAGGTGAAAAAAAAAAAAAAGTAATATACAATTTTATTTACTATATCACTTCACCCCAATTAACTGTTACGTGAATAAACAAACATTTAAATGTAAAGTTGCTGGGTATTAAAACGTTAAGTTTTTGGTTTTTTTGCATGAATACCAGTCAAAAACAGGAGTACACACATTTGAAGACAGATTTTACCATTATTGTCTATGTATTCATGTAACTGCCAGGTATATTTGTGTTTAAGTGAAAATTGTATGCCACAGGTATGGTCTTGTGATGAATGCCAAGACTCTTGAATGAACAGGTGGGTAGAGCATAGATGTTGCTGGGATATGGGGGGCGGGGGGGGACATCAAATCTCTGCAGGTAGTTGGGGGAGGCCGGACCATATTAATCCTTTTTTAAATAAATATATTAAAAAACGGAGATAGAAAAACCCCACTAAGATTAGTAGTATAGTACTTGGCAGGCTACTAGGGGGGAGATAATGGAACCCCTGACGAGAGCCAGTGTTGAGGAACAGAACTTTGCTTTACATCCATCTATCGGTTAGGTAGAATAGCAGGATCTTAATAAAGACATGTCTGTGCTATATGTGGTTGTTTCTGGCTAAACTTTTCACAACAGAGGTGGGAAGTGTCATGTAATATCCGCACCTATCCATTATGGTAGGGCAGAGGTAGGTAACCATTCGCACTCCAGATGTTGTGGACTACATATCCCATAATGCTGGTACAGCCATACCACTGGCAAAGCATCAGAGGAGATGTAGTCCATATTATCTGGAGTACTCCTGGTGTAGGGTTTATCAAGTTTTGCCTTGGGCTGAAGCCTCAGGTGTTTCCCTTTTAAATTACCAATGCTCCTGGGGTAGAGATTATGAATTTATGATTGTATTATCAAAGACTCAGACGTAAGCAAATCTAGAAGTAAAAATTAATCTCGAGGTTTGAAAGTAATCAGTTAACTGTGAAGTTGATGTACAATTTTGCGCAATTTTACATAATTGAGGAAACATATTTACTGATGTAGTGTTTTTTCCCAAAACACTGCATTTAGAAGTAACAGAATTCAGAGGAACTAGAAATCTCCTGGCACGCTTCTTGCATACATATGCGGCATTCGTGATTATGCTTTTTTTAAAGTACACCTGTAATGTGCTGGGATTTATTTATTTTTTTGCACATTCAAAAACAGATGCTCATCAAGTGCTACATTCTACATCCAGTGATTCCTTTACTAAAATGGTAAATGTAGAGAATCGACAGGAGAAAATTAGACAGATTGGAGAGTTTTTGATATTCCTAGGTTATTGAATAAGTTCTTTAGATTTTCATTTCATATAATAAAGGTTGTGCTAAATTGGTGTGTTTTTTGTTGTTGTTTTTTTGTTCTTGAATTTGTAAAAAGCTTGAAATACCACAACTATCTGTTTGGTAGATTTATAAAAAGTCAAACTGCATCAGCTATATCAGTAGTTATTACGTGAATGAAGTCTTTCCAGCTGAACAATCACTGCAGGAGGTAGAAGTTAGTGATTTGAAGTGATTATGGTACCTGGAGTCTTTATGTGCAACTTTGTTTTGCTTTGAGCTTATTTTCACGCTGCACATGTTAAGATGATCCTCTCTGCTGCCAGAGGTGTAACTTCACCTCCAACAGCATCATATGAGGTCATCAGCCACACCGGAACTAGAGTTCTGGGCTAGCAAATATCAATTCTGTGCAACTTTCGTAGAGAGACCTAGGTAAGGGGGCAGACATTATTTTATGTAGTTTGAAAGTTTTATTTAGCATGCTGCGACTTTAGAATTTGCAAATATGCTTCAAACCAAAAGTTAGAAAAGCATATTCTAGGCAATGAACGTTACATATAGTTGGACTGCCATCATTGATTACACACATACTATGGTACTTTAACAAAATGAACCAATACATGGGCAATGCTTCTCATGGTGAGTGATCGTGGAAGTGAACTGGTACCTGCAGTTTTTGCCCAGCAATCTCCGTAGGAGGCTCAGGTTTGGGAGGACAGTGCAGATCTCCATTATTCGTCACATATTGGGTGAGGTTGGCCAGCATGGCACAGGAATCAGCGCAGGTGTGGATATGGAGCACATTGTTAGAGCAGCGTAGCTCAAAGAGAGGCTGGGACTGAAACAGAGACAGAGGAGAGTTAAGAAGGAAAGGTAAATAGTGTCAGGGACAAAAAAAAATATAAAGGAGTAAGAGTTGGGAGAGTGAGAGAGAGAGAGAGAGAGAGAGAGAGAAACATAGAAGAGAATGATGAGGGTAAGCCTTAAAAAGCTAGAATAACGTACTATCAGATTTAAACCAAAGCAATGGTCAAGAAAGACTACCAGGGTTTTTTACTAAAGCGAGAATTGTTCGGAAGCAAATTTAAAATTTATGGCCAAAGTAACCAAACTGTGAGCACAGCAGGCTTGGAGAAATGTTTCCAGTTTGTCTACTTTGGCCTTAAATGTGAGATTTATTTAGCATTCCTGTCAAATCTCACTTTAGTAAATATCCTTGTAAGGCTATAAACTAGGGAGATAATCAGTGTGACACAGGCTGGGATGAAAATAGAAATCGAGCCAAAATAGATGAACAGCCAGATCAAAGCTGCAGTTGAAACTGAAAAAGGGAAAGAGAAGAGTCAGAGAGGGGCACTGAAAAACTACAGAGGATTTAGGAGACAGACATCTATGCCACAACTGATATAGCAATGCACAATTAGAGGCACAAAGAAGGCTAGCTGGTATAAATCAAGAGAGAATGAAAAAGATTAAGGCTAGGTGGACAGGTAGAGAGGATGGAGGTTGACAAATAAGCTGGGAAATGATGAATAAATCAGACAAAGACGGTATGCATTGTTATAGCACTGACAGCATGTACTGTGGCAAACTTTGTTCATTTTGCCAATGCTCACCAGTTTAGAGGAGGCGCTTCCCTTCCATGTAGTGATCACTAGTTCCAGAAGATCCACATCCAGAACACAGACATAATCTAAGTGACACAGAAACGGACAATGATTGTTTAAGTCTCACTACAGAAAAACATCTGACCATATTCATCAAGGCAATGCTTGAAATGAAAAGCACCGACCTTGCATCTTTGCTAAAGGCTTTTTGTGTATCAAAGAGGCAAATTAAATTCATGTTTTTTTTTTTATTTCTTCAATGCAGAGACACAGACACAATTTTAAGACCATTTTCTATTGACAATATTCATTCATTTTTAAAAGTAAAAATTAGGATGCAGGGATATTTTTTGTTTAATATATAGATTGTCTTTTACCTTTCTTTAAATCAGTTACTTCGATGTCACATTTATCCGACAGATAAAGGGCAGAATCGTCTAAAATAAACCTATGAAAATATTAAATATTTAGTTTTTTGTTTTTTAAAAAAAGGACATTAATCTTAGTAAAAAAATAAAACTGATAACAGATGAATGGAAGAGGTTCAATTACTTAAGATCAAGGAGCACATCACATTTACCAAAAGTGACCTAAGTTGACTCGTTTGATGGTCTGTGGTACCACTATATATTGTGGATGTATAGGAATACAACATTACAGATGAACTATGATGGCATAGCTAACCATCATAACCAAACACTGGCATAAATCTATTCCCAAAGTCTGGAGTATTACAAACCTGATTCCATTTCCTCTCCCAGGCTGAAGCTGTGGCCATGACTATATAGGCCCACATTTGTTATTTTTCCACTAGTTGGCACACGTGAGCCATACTAATTCAATCTCCTTAACTGTACCCTGTACCGGTCTTGTCGAAGACCATGGATAGTGCCAATCAAGACACCATTTGCAATTGGAACACAACCTACCTCACTTAATTCAATCAAACAGTAAGTGTTTGCTTTTTTTGTTGTTTTGTTTTTTCCTTGGTTTTCTTTTCTTTCTGTTTTGAGTAGTTTTTTTTCATTCTATGTCTCTCTGAACATCATATTTCCCTGGCTACCTCTTGATTCAGCTTCCAATTTTAACTATTCAATTGATAGCTCATTGGCTATCGAGCTAAATACTTGGTATAAAAGAGCTTTAATGTCGAGAGCTCACATGTAAGCCCCTCTTCAAGCTTCACATTGGTCTGTGTATACAGTGTTTTCCCCAATTGCACAGAGCTGCAGAATGTGTTAGCGCTTTATAAAGTAATTATAATTAGCTAGCTTATAAAACGATTTACTTCTTCCCTAATACCTACTACTAATCTATTTCTAACAACACAATTAGACAAAACTGAAAAGAATACAAAAAAAGAAATAAAATTGTGAATATGGCATGCTCACATGTACAACACTCTGCAAGTTACATCACTCTTGACTATAACAGAACCAGTAGGCATGCAGTGTATATTAAAAAAAATAAAAATGATAGGTAATAAAAAAATAAATTAAAAACAAAGATAATTTTAACTTTGCAATCAGAGTGTGTAAATATTTCACATGCAATAGTTTCCCTTTAATATCACATTTTACGTCTGGTTAAAGTCATCTGTGTCGATTACCTGAGGAGGAAAGTTGCAGTGTCTACCACAATGTTACTAGAAAGAGTGAATGTTTCTGCTGTCACCAGGACTTTGATGGGGAGATGTAGAGGTCTACAAGGAAGCACAGATAATAGTAATAATAGAACATGATAATGGTCTATGCAATAAGTGTAACATTGATTCCAACATGCTCAGTGAATTATAGAGCTGCCCAATAAACAGACATTCTGGTAAAATTCTAAATAGGATGGGAAGTGATTAACATACCGGTAATCAACAGCACAGCTGAAAAGATGAGTATGCAGCACTGTGATGACAGCTGGGGGGTTGTATCCCAATATGGGCTCATCAACTACATCTAGGAAGTCCATGATCTAAGAATAAATAAAAGGGACATAATGAGAGAGTGGGTTCACAAACTTGATCTTTGATATTAAGAAACAAATTGGTGGTGCTTGTCTTGGGCTACGAGAATCATCAGATTTGTAATCGGTAAAACGTTCCACAACAACATAACATAAAAGCACACCCTATAAAAAATATAATATTAATTTTATTGTATGTGTTGTATTACAAATAAACATAAAAGCAATGCAAATATCTAATGATAGACCAGATTAGATCTACATAAACACATACATAAGAACACACCTAGCCGTTTAGCCTATAAATTGTATCCAGTAACAAATATTTATAAACAAAAAAATAAAAATGGAAACCAGGACCAAGACATATCAATGAACAGAGGAGAGGGAACCAATACCAAAGCAAAAAGAATTTAGAAAAAATAAAAAATGTTTCGGCAAAGGTTCCATCCAGGTGAAAATCATGACAACACCAGCCATCTTAAATAATATTTGCTTGACCTTTTGGCAACATTTCTAACCTTTCAATTACAATGATGGCAATGGCATTTACCTACATACCACTAATCTGTGCTTCAACAAAACCATAACAAGTGCACTCGACAAGTGGATCAATTATCCATAAACATGTAAACTAAGAGATCAGCTTCAGATAAATAATACCATTCCATCTATACCTTGTGCCAGCAAAACGGACAGCAATTACATAGATAGAACAATGATTATTGGCCTGAGTGCCCAAAACACTGGTAGCATGGAAAGCCTGCTCAGAGGCCATTCTGAAGAAGGAGAAATTAATGAAAATGGATAGACATGCATTTGTGTCAAAGATTTATTTTTACCAGCCATTTATAGGCAAGGACAAAAGTGTTAACATAAACGCACGCCAGTCTTTGAATCAAATATAGTCCACTTACATGACTGTGCCAGCTTTGGTTAGGTAATGCCATGTGGTGTCTCAAAGTAGCACCATCAAGTCTCAAAGCAACCAGGAACTCCTGAAATGTGAACAAATATTAAACAAACATACAATTATTAAAATCTAAGCAAATTTTCCTGTTCCGGGCTTCAATAGAGTATTGGGAGTGTTGCAGTTGAACATACAGTGTAATGTCATTCCTATTAATAAAACCAAAAGTAAAACTATTTATTAATCCAGATCCCAACACAGAATTCAAAAAAAGCTGGTAAAAACACATTCTGATTAAATGTGCATGTGCAATAATACCATTGAAAAAAAAACAACAACTACAACTCTCTTAAATTGATCGCCAGGAGTGTGCAAAATCAGAGGATAATGGGAACTGCAGTCTAAGAACAAGTGGAGGAGGCACTTTTCAGAAAAATAGATAAAAAGTAAAATACTTTCCAATGTAAAATCACAGAGCGTTTCGCCTCAAAGGCTTTTTCAATTGCGGTCACTTGAAAAAGCCTTTGAGGCAAAATGCGTTGTGATTTTATATTGTAACGTTACTTTTTATCTATTTTTTTTTTTTTTTTGCAGTGCAGTTGAATATTACATACATGCCACAGGTGCCCCAACAATCCTCAGGCTTATTAGCATGGTATACAGCTGGGTATTAGTCGAGTCATGCACAATTTTATAATATAAACATAGTAATTATGTCGAGTATTGCTAGAGAAATTAAATTTTCTTAAACATGCTGGTAGTGGTAGCCTAGTGCTGTCGACTAAAATGCATATTACTATGTAGTCTGTGAGTATGGCTTGTTGAGAGCAGCTCATGCAGGTAAGGACTATTTGCTAAACATAACTGGCTACATTAGAGGTTACAAGTCGCTGCGGAGCATTAAGTTAGGTGTAGAGGAGACATGCTAGACCCTAAATGTGATAAACAAAAATATGTGAGGCATTATAGCTGCCTCAATCAATCCTGATTAATAAAGCAGTCTGGCGAAATGCGTCTCGGAGGAAGAGAAAGGACCCCCAAGACTGTGGACTGGTACCATTAGCACTTTTTCAGATTTATATTTTAATTGTTTGTTGTTTTAAATAAAGTGTATTTTAATGTGACCTTGAACCCAGTGGTCTATTACTGTTTCCTGTTCCTACTATTCAAGAAGGGAAGTGCTCCCCTTAAAGGCACATACACTGTTATACCGGGAGCCTAGTATAATTGGCTCCCCACAAGGTGAGCAATTACTTGTCTCTACACTTTTTTCCTTTCAGCTATTTTAGCAATCCTGCACTAGGATATCCTGTCTCTTTTTTTGTCTCCCTATTCTAAGGACAATTTGGCCAGGAATCCAGAGAGGGTTTGGTATTACCTAATATACCTCTGCCTAAGAGATTTGAGCCTATCCCTATGTGGCTCTATACCATATGAGTGTTTTCCATATTTTTCCACATAACACTCTTTTGGACTTGATATACTTCTCCATTGTTTATTGTTTTCTCTCTTCTAGAGAATTTTGCTGTTATACATTTCATTAGAATGTGCAAGTTATGTTGTTTATTATAAAAAGCACTATTTTTTACTTCTGTGTTTTACTGTATGTCTACTGGGAAATACAGTGGAATATTCATGCCAAACTATCTGTGATATTCATGCTTTCACTAGCTGAACTGGATTCTGTTTGTGGCAGTTTTACCTTCTTTTAAAAATACCTTTTTTTTTTTTTTTTTACACTAGATTACACTTAAGTTTCTCTCTACTTTTAAATATTCAATGTGTAATGTGAAAGTTTTGAAAAAGAGTCATAGGACATACCCGTGTTCCTGTAAAGACCCTGACTGATTAACTACCGCATATCCCGTGACAAGGATTGTATTGTCAGATGCCAAAACATGACAACTAATAGATAGCTCCTTTATTGTGAGAATTTTAGGGTAGCCAAGCTTCAGTGTTTGCTGCCTTTTGGAGTCAGCACTGTAACAATCCCACTTTCATTTGTTAAAAATACAATTGCTGCACGGCAAGACACCTATCTGGGTATCCATCTCGTTCTGCTCTACTTTCATGCTTCATTGGAGGAACTTTGAGATATATGTCCCGTGATCCTCAGACAATGAACCAGAAGTCCAGGCCAACAAGCAAGCCGCGGTTGGACATGCTTCGTCCGACTCATCTGGCCTTTGTCACGGACACCAAACGTGAACATAGACCCAGTGCCTACAACCAAACTCACCACCCATGCAATCTTCATAATCGGCTCCAAAAACGTACCGAACACACTACCAGCCAAACCCTGTAGTGTAAATACTTTCATTACAGTTATTTTTTCTGATACCACGATAAAAAATATTTACCTAGTCTTCTCCAGTCCCTTACCCCTAAGAAGCTCAACTCCCACAAGCCAGGATAGGAAGAAATTTCTGGTCTAATACCCATCGCCTTCAAAGCAGACAGCCCCAGTGATACAGGCTTGTGGCGGCCCGTCTGGCACCCCGACTGGGTGCCTCTGTCAATCGATGCTCCTAGTGCTCACTGAGGACTCCAAGCCCTCCAAAAGACATCATCAGAACCGTAGTCCCCACATCCAGCGTTACGGCTTGGCTGGGAATTCACCATCCTCCACCCACCCTGGACCGAAGACCAGGATCCAGCTTCCAGTGGGCAGTGGCGGATCCAGAGCCTGATCTCGGGAGGGCCACTTGTAGATTATTTAAATAAATAATCCAAACACAATAACCACTCCAGCTCAGTGTAGTGGTTATGGTGCCAACACTGCCAGGACCCCCTCCCAGAGTAAGTAATCAAACCGTTTAAGAACAGTTTGACAACTTACCTGAGGTCTGCTGGGAAATGGGGCTGTAGTAGGGCATAGGAGCAGTGGTGTGTGTGAATGGTGCAATGTGTTAGGGGTGCAGTGTGTATGTGTGTATGTGAAGGCGGCAGTGTATGTCAGGGGTGCAGTGTATGTGGGGTGTATGTGTGTGGGGGTCAGTGAGTGTGTGTGTGTGTGTGTGTGTGTGGGGGGGGGGCAGTGAATGTGTGTGTGGAGGGGAAATGTGTGTGTGCAGTGTATGGGGGGGCAGTGTGTGTCTGTGTGATAAGAATTTTTTTAATTTAATTCAAACAAATATACATTATGTCCCCCCTCCATTGTCACCTTTACTGAAGGAGGAGGGGGGACATTTCTCGATCCCTGGTGGTCCAGTGGGGAATCCCTGGTGGTCCCAGTGGTAAGAGTGAACTCTAGCAGTAGTTCTAGGGCTAGAGTTCACTCTCGCGAGATCCAGAGGGTTGCCATGGTAACCGCAGGACACACAATGTTGGAATATACAGAGGTGGTGGTGGGCCGCACACCCATACCAATTCCAACATAATTGACTAAAGTGAAAATTTAAAGTGAATTTAAAATTCAAGGTAAAAACAGCCAACCCGGAAACATTCTCTAAGTCAGCTGTGCTTCCAATTTGGCTACTTTGGTCTTAAATTAGAATTTCACTTTGAATTCACACTTTAGTGAATAAACCTGACAGAGTCAGATATGAATGAGAGAATTTCTGCAACGTTAGAACAGAAAAAGTGTGGGGGGGGTGGGGGGAGGAGAGGGGGGAATCTCTTAAATAATGTAGGTAGCAATGTAAAACAACAAATCCACGGTTATCCTCAAGCAATGTGCTGTTGCTACATAGAAAATAAGTGAAAATACCATCTAAGTCAAGAAATTGACTTTTACAGGAAAAAAAGTCATTCTGTCTTTCAACATACAAAACTGGAATGGTCACCACTGATATGTATGCACAACCCAATAGCCAACTAGAAGTTATGTATGGATTGTACTTTTATTTTTTGAAAATTCTTAGTAGTGTTAATATTTTCTCCTAGGGACATCCAGGCATGCCACATAAATAAAAAAAAATAAAAAAAATGAACTGGTTTTCCTCTTCATTAAAAAGTCCATATGTCTTAAACATCATTTACTAGGGACTGCTGAAGCAAGGGAACCTGAAACATGCATATGGCCCACTGACTATAAAATAAAATGTACAGCACAAACACTGCATGGAACAAGGAAATCCATATATTACCTTCACATTTTTCACAAGGTTAAGATCAATTCGGACAGCTAAGGACAGCATTTTGAGATTCTTATCTTTGCGAAGCCCTGACAGCTGGGCAGAAACCCCGTCTTCTGAGATGTAAATAGTAGGATCCAAGTTTTTAGGGGGCAGAAATGTGGGCATCTCCAGGGTAACTGGTAGCAAGTAGTCTTCTACCGCAGCTGTAAGAGACATAATACAAGACTAAACTGACAGATGTATAATAAAAATAATACTTTAATTGCTAATTAAATTAAATGGTCCATTCTGGAAGTTTTTTACAATATCTACAATAAAATACGTTCTGCAGAATATGTTCAATAGACTCCATCAAGTTTCCAAGGGTTCTGTATTGCACTAGGAAAGATTAATGCCACTTCATTAAAACAATTTGACAATTACCGGGCCTAAAAACCATGTACTTCATCCAACCAGTGGCAACATTACAAATCACACAATATTTCTCATATTTTATTTTATAGTTCCACACTGTTCCAGGGTAACACACTGAGGAAAATATATGAAGATACGAAGCTAGCTTCCACAACTGAATTGAATGCCTACCTTTGTGATAAAGAGACACAACATCAGACTCTATACACAGGTAACTGAGATCAGCTTTTCCTTTGTATTTCGACACACTAAAGATGCGTCCGTTTTCTACATCCAGAATGACCTCACCATGCTGGTTACCCAATTTCTTTGTTCCTTCGCCCTGCAAGAGAGAAATTAGGAAGGAACGAGAATAATTAATTTGAGATAGTCTGTGATAATATAGCTAGAGATGTGTACAGGACAGCAAGGAAACGAGATAAAGAGGGGCAAATGATATTTACGTAATAGTTAGAAGACATACAAAGGCAAGAGCAGACAATGGTTGGGAAAATGGTATAAAGCAGAACAGAATTATCAGTTAAAGGATACCGTGGGGATAGATAATGAGACATTATGAAACAGAACAGATGGATAAATAGGTGCACAGAGAACAAGGCATAGAAAGGATAATCGTTTTAACCTTAGTTTCTGTCCAAGCTGTTATCCGTCCCCTTAAAATAGTGACTGAGGCAGAAAAGAAACTGTGTCCTTCTATGGTTCCTCTCCTGAGCCTTGCAGCTTCATCCACGGAGTAGAAATGTGAATCTTCATCTTCTGAGTCGGAGTCTAGAATGCAAGATTGAAGTGGATGTTATAAGAGATTAAATTGACATATGACAAAAGTAGTGTAGAATGATGTCCATGGAGATTCCAAAAGGAGTGTTTTAAAAATTTAGAACAAAAAAATCTCAACTAGCTGGTGAGATATTCCAGTGGATAGAGCTCCAACTGTGTACCAATTTATTCTTTCAAAGTCAATAAAATGATTACCCACTAAGACCGCAATTTAAAATTTTTGATAAGCTTTTATATTTAATATTTTGAAAAATATTTTTATATTTTGGTATTTTTATGTATATATATATGTTTTCATATTCTAAAAATATAATTCTAAATGTTTATCCAAAAATATTACACTGAGGTCTAAGTTGGGTAATCAGAAAATCTAAACACACTCCTTGATGTATGCAGGGCACAATGGTACTCACCGACTAAAATTATACTAACCCACCTCATTCAAATAAAATACTTCCTTACAGAGATACAGGATGATGTATATACTAGGTGCAATATGCATGAAAAAGTGCAAACGGAACACAAATGTAATAGTGTAATATTTAAGAATAAAGTGTCAATTTATTATACGTTGCTTGCAAAACAAATCATAAAAATTCACAGCATAACATAAAATGTAAACACACAAAATTAAGCCCTGCACTCAAACTCCCACTACCCCAGGGCAGCAGCCACAGCTACAGTATACAACAGTCTAAATACATAGAGGAAAAGCAAAAGAGTTACCTGTGCACTATCCCAAATCCCTATGCACATTTAAAAAACAGGAGGTTCTTAGTAGCACTCCAATGGTCATTAAAGTCAAGCTCACTGTCCATAAACTGTTCAAATCTTAGAAATTACACCAGTTTTCTATTGGCAATACATGCAAGATGAAGGAAACCCTTGCGTTATTTTGGTGCTTTATACATGAAATAACGAGTACTAACTTGAAATAATTATTTTGCTATTGTAATACCAGATGCAGGCAAAATACTGTGAAACAACTGTAGATTTACCATTAAAGGGACACTATAGTCACCAGAACAACTACAGCTTATTGAATTTGTTCTGGTGAGTAGAATCATTACCTTCAGGCTTTTTGCTGTAAACACTGTCTTTTCAGAGAAAATGCAGTGTTTACATTACAGCCTAGTGATAACTTCACTGGCCACTCCTCAGATGGCTGTTAGAGATCCTTCCTGGGTCATGGCTGCCTAAAATGCATCCAAGCATTCAGTGTCTCCTCCCTCTGCATGCAGACACTGAACTTTCCTCATAGAGATTCATTGATTCAATTCATCTCTATGAGGAGATGCTGATTGGCCAGGGCTGTGTTTGAATCATGCTGGCTCTGCCAATGATCTGCCTCTTTGTCAGTCTCAGCCAATCTTATGGGGAAGCATTGTAATTGGATCAGGCTACCACTTCTGATGATGTCAGCAGACTGCTTGTTTTTTTTTTGTTTTTTTTTTAAAGGCAAACAGCATTCAGATCTACAGCATCTGGCTTGAATACAGTAAGATTTTGCTATATTTACAGAGGCATAAAGGGACCCAGGGGGCTAGATGGTGGTTTTAACACTATAGGTTCAGGAATACAGGTTTGTGTTCCTGACCCTATAGTGATCCTTTACGCACGCCTCTGCTTCAAGAACAGTAATACAAATTGTAGCAAACACACGGATACCCTGCTATCCATTGCAAGTATAAACTAGCTTATCAAGAAGGATGTTCCACCTTCTTGTAAATTCAGGATCAATTTGCATAGTTTTACATCCTCATTGCTTACACAATGAAAACAACACAGTAAAGTTCTGAAACACTATAAGCACTTGGCTTTTTGAATAGGAAAGCTAGCAGAATAATCAGTGTTCACAATCAGGTTCGTTCAGGCATGTCTATATTTGAACAAATAAATGCTGGGGAATCCGAATCTAAAGTTCACAGTATATTTAAGTATAAGGGCACCACCTGCAGTAAACTAGCTAAAATAGTCCGCTTTCACATGCCAGCCATTGCAATCGTTGTAAGCACCCAATCTACTAGATAAACCTGGGAATCCCGCCACTAGTCAGCTTTTCAGCATTCTTTGCAGCCTCAAGATTTTATCGGACATTGCAACCTTTTAGCTCCGTAGAACGCCTTTATCTTTCTGTATTACACATGCAGTCATATTCTTTTCTCAAAAAATGCTTGAATTGTTTTTTATCCCTGCAAGTTAAGAGACATCCTGGTAGTTTCACGTTTAAAATGTATTAACGCATTCTGGTTTTCAAACCTGGTACTGTAGATTAGCAGATGTCACCTGTGCCTTATTCTCCATAATATCCCACGTAGGGAGTTACACCGTTTTAATGCTGCCCTCTTCAAATACTGATATTGAGTGACAGGAGTCGAGGAAGTGTAATCCATATAATTTTGTCTCCCCAGCTCCTCTGCTGGTATATCAGGAAAAGAAGCTAATAAATTACGGCAATGGGCCTCATTGGTGGGAGTTTCACTCCTGCATAGTAGCCATGTCTGACTACAGTCTTTAATTCAACCCCATTTCCCTTTAGTGATACGTTTAAAGAGTAGCTGGAGGAGAGAAGCAAGGTGTCAAATATTCTCCCTACAGAATTAGAGAACCTATTTAATATTGCTGCACACTGCATCATCAATCTTTCTGGCTTTCCTCTTCTCCAACGCTGAGCCATGGGGATCTAAGTATATTAACTCTGCAGCACAGTAGCAGAGTTCTACGTGGCTGCAGTGAGTTTGTGTTAAAAGTTGCTTAGCATAACCAATTGAAAGGATTAAAGGATTATCCCATTTTGCTTATCTACACCGTCTTATAAAATCAGCTCTATGCTCATGTGCCAGAATTAACAAACATGGCAAATTCCTGCTGCAAGATTACTTTCAAATCAGAAAAAAAAAGTCCACTAGAAAAGGCACCATTAAAAAAGCTGTTCACATTCAGTCCAGCTGTTTTAAAAGATGATACAAAGGAGGGGTGCCGCTTAATAAGGGCGGTACAACCCAAATCTTGCTAAGCCTTATTTCTTTATTGTTTCATCCTGTTCTATGTGACCCCTACAATGTATCACATATCAATGAACTGGTTGCTTTAAAATTAAAAAAAACCAAATTTTAAAAAAAATACATGCTTCTCCTTAGTTGTTATAGCAGGACTTCCTCTGGTTGATCTACCAAACTTGCTTGCTACCTAAGATTTTGTATGAACTCTGCCTATCATTAACATTCACTTTTGTACCTAGATAACACTTCTATGCTGCTGTTTAAAAAAGTCTATCTATTTTAAGGATCTTTCCGAAATGCTGCCAATTACTGACCTTTGTTTTTGCCTGTGACTTCAAGTAATCTAATCATAATCACTGAAGGACTCACAAAATACTAAAACATTGTTACTGTACGTTTTCTTTCTTATCACTCGTGGGGAAGGAATTATGGGCACTTATACGTACATATGGATCTACGCTTTCAGCATAAAAAAATATATATAAAAAAATTTCATACGGTTCATATTCCTAGTATGCATGACATGCAAGAGATTCTGGGATGGTGCTCATAGAACCTAGAGCAACAATATACTTAAATAAAGAATCCAATGTAACCTTTACAAGCACTATGGATTTAGCTAGCTCAATTTAATGATCTAGAGTTTTACTCATTATCGCATTCACATGTGGATAACCGCTCCACTTTAACAACTGCATCTGTTGGGACGTCTGTCAAAAAATAACTAATTATTTAAACACATATCTGGAATGACTTAAATTTAAAGTGTGCAAGTGGTTTAACTTTAGTTTAGCCTTATCTCATGAAAGATTTTGTACAAAAAAACAAAAGACTTTGTTGGTTTCAGAACTCATCGGTGGCCAGGCCAAAAATAACAAATTCTTCTCTCAATTTCTAAATCACTACTTTCCACTAAAACATTCCCATGTATACTTATCCAATTCAGAAGATTAAAAAGGGAAATAGAAAAAAAAAAAAAAATATATATATATATATATATATATATATATATATATAAATTATATAATGCATATTTTATTACATTTTTATAAAATGAAGCACTATATATTTAATTATATTTTATACCAGCTCAAAGAAGTTAGAAAGTGCATTAAAGAATAATATGGTGCAAATTTGAAAAAGGCCTGTATCATGATTGAAGTATTAAAAAATAGAAGGTGTTCAGCAAAAGCCTGCTTATCAACCTAGGTTCTGACAACATATAGTATTCTCAATGTTTAACTAATTTGTTTACCTTCAACCCACTTTAAAAATGTGCATAGTATTTTCGATGCCACGTTGTATTCAAATGTTCCACGGTTGACTAAGATATTGTGGCACAGCAACCAGAGTGTTATGGCTTATCAAGCACAAATAAAAATAAAGAATAAAAAAAATGTAAAAAAATAAAAGGTGGTCACTTTGGCTCACGTTCACAAGTCTTTTTGGAGCAAACAGGGCTGTCCTGTATGAGGACGAGGACAGTAAATGTAATTTACCATCCAACCACTGTGGAATACACAGATAATCTGAGATGTTTGTGAAAAAATAAAAATAAATGGGTTTGGTGAATTTTTGGATCCACTGCTAAGAAGAGGAAGAAAGAGGAATCAGCTCTCTATACACACTAAACAAGAAAAACAAGATTTACCATTCTGACAGTATGATAGTTTAGAGGTTTGGAGAAAAAAAATGGTTTCTCCTAGGAGAGATGTCAATGAGAATTCTTTTATAAAAGATGATTTATATTCGGATGCTGGAGGGAGACTTGGATTCACAGTTATAGCATTCATTTAATATCTCTTCCTCTTTAACTTTACAAGATACCTTGGCACAGGTTATTAGAGAGTTTTAGTCTTGTGTCCTGAGGCTTGCATGGCACTAATAAGTGAGTAATTAAACTTATTCTAGCTTGATTAATAGAGAAAAAAGGTTCATTATGAAGGGAGGAGAACACATTTAAATCTCTTTAGTTGGGAAAAACTGTGGCTCAGATGGGATATGATAGAATTATACAAATATATTCGGGGCCAGTACAAACCATTATCTGGAAACCTATTCATAATTAGGACTTTACATAGGACAAGAGGTCATGCATTTAGACAGAAAAAAAAAAGGAGATATAGTCCAAGGAAATTTTTTTTTTTACAGTAAGAACAATCAGGATGTGGAATTCTCTGCCTGAAGACATGGTTTTATCAGAGTCTATACAGATGTTTAAAAAGCAATTGGATAAATATTTGCATAATATACAGAGATAGACATTTGAATTAGTATGGTAATAGTTTCTTGATCCAAGGCAATATCTGACTGCCATTTTGGGGTCACAAAGGGATTTTTTCCTAGTTTGTTGCACAATTGGAAGCGCTTCAGATTGGGTTCTTTTGCTTTATTTTGGATCAACAGCAAAAATCAAATGTGATAAAGGCTGAACTTGATGGACACAAGTCTATTTTCAGCTATGTAAGTATGTAACAATGAAAACATATTTAGTCTTCTACGAGCATTTAACCCAGTGTCTGGTTAATTTGCATTAACTTGATAAAACTACGGAAATATAGCAAGTCACTTTTGGATTTAAAAAAAAAAAAACGAAAATAAATATTAAGACGGAAATGGAGGAAGGCATGGAGTAAATGGGTGCATAGTGACTGTGCTCAAATAAATGTTCTTAAACTCACCCAGTCTGAATGCAGACTTGCACATATGGAATGTGTCTTGCTTGTAAGCCGGGATGTGGAGCTGTTCAGTGGGGAGCAATGAGTCAGCCAAAGGGGAATCACATGCAGATACTGGTTCCCACATTAGTAGGTCATTACACAACCTGAAGAGAAACACAAGTATTTAGAGCGTAGGGAAGAGAGTGTAATAGAGAGAAGGGAGGTAAAGGAATCACTACTTACCTGTTATACAGATTTTCATACATGTCCTTGCTGGGGAGAAAGATGTTAGCTCTGGGTAGAGTCACCTCAAGGGTATATTGAGAAGATGCCAATGTCGCCCTTTGAAAATCTGCCATCTCATCTGGATCAGCAGGAATAACCATCTGAAGGACGGTAAAGAATAAAGATGACAAATGGGAAGAGGCATAGAAGAAAAACAACCATTGGTTAGGAATTAGATGCAATGAGAGAGCCAAGATATAATCACACTCTAGATGTTTTTCTGTGTAACAGAGTGCAATCCAAAAAAATATAAATAAACAACCTTACCTCCTCCGTCTCGTACATTGTCCTCTTAGAGGAAAAGGGGGAGGGTTCCACTTGTTTCAGCTCACATGGGCTCTCCACTGATGGAAGGTCTGGGTCATCCATATTGTCCTGTGCAAAGTCCCAAGGAGAAGACTTGTTCTGGGGAAGGAGTGTCAACAATATGCTGGAGAGAGAACCAGAGATTAAAATCAGGCTACTTCAATGTATTATAACTATATAGGCAAAACTGACCAAAAAACTAATATCCAGACACAAAACAGGCAATTTTAGCCATTTACAAGTAAGAGGAACATCCATTAAATACAGTAATTGATCTTTACAATTTATGATTTTAGAAAGATAAATAAATTGTTCACAAAAGCTGAACTACAAAATGAGATACCTTTGTGAAAAGAACAGACAAAGAGCTTGTCAGTAGATTTCATAATATTTATAATAATTTAAGATAAATGGCAAGGAACTCAATGCACATATTGCCTATGTTAGAGCCAGAATGTGGGGGCCACAAGGAGAGACTCCATGACTCCTAGATCACCCTGTTAGTCAGTGCATTTCTAAAAATCTAGATTAACAAAACAGTTTTAAAACTTATAAGGTTACTTCAAATAACCTATCTTAGCAAACACATATGAGGATATGGTTAAATCATATGGTGATCACTGCACCAATGTACCCAATATCGGTGGGTTCTTCACTGATTAAGATTTAAACTGCTACTGCCATCGCAGCACACAGAACAATTTGCTCTGTCACCAACGCCAAGGATCAGCTGATTTACATTGGGCAGCGCCGTCCATGAAAGTTAGCAATAGAAGTGTACGTGCGGCTCAGTGGTGGAGGCCCTACCTGGGAAGATTCTGGCCTCAACAGGTGGCCGGGAGGGGAATATGGTTAAGTAACTACCGTACATACAGGAAGTCATGGTGTTTTTGGTGCTAAAGGAACATATACCTTTTTCTTCAGTTGATAAAATATACTTTTTAAGCAACATTTCATGTAAATGTTCTAATATACACAATGGTAAAGTATGTTTGTTAAAATAAATAACAAATGTGTTTTAACATTAACTAAGCAACAAAAGACACCAGACGACGCCACCTGCTACTTAGATCTAAATTACATTGCACTAGGTACCTGTGTCATGCCTATGCATGAAATAATTGGGAAGTGGTGATGGGGATCCTAGCGAGATAGAAAAAAAAGCAAACAGATAAAATATAAGTTGATGCAAAGAAGCATGCAGATAAGGTGGAGGCAAAGAAAAAGACATAAGGTCAGTGGGATAGATATTTGATGGAGCTCGGGATGAAACTACTTCTTTCACATGGTAAAGAAACCTTAGTCAGGCAAGGCTTCATGAAGTTCAGAATCACCACATAGTCATGGACTATATAATATTTATTTAGCATATATGTTTTACCAGGAAAAGTATACTGAGATTAACCGTGTCTGCGTATGTCCTGGGACACTCAAACAATACAATTTTGTTATGAAGTTAAACATTTAACATAGATGGCCATTAGCTGTTAGAGGTTTTGTTTAAAGTGGCTCTGTCACATTTAGGGGTCTGTGCATATTTTGCTAAGGCACCATAAGGTGACATCCCCAATCAGGGTGCAGACTAAGGTACTTATAGTTAATAAAAGCTGTCCCCTTTAGGTGCCGCCATCTTTGGCCTTCAGCTCCTGCCAGGAGCCAAAAGAGTAGAACATTGCTGTCTATGGAAGATATAGCGAGACCACAGGAGCCTCCAAACACGAAGTCTTGCAATCTGTGAGAATCAGACAGATTCTATCTTTATGAAATAGTCATTTTTTTGGTGACGGAGTTGCTTTAACTGGCATGAGAGCCCGTTTCCTTTAAGAGGTTGTAGGCTTGTTTAAGATTTGGTGTTGTCCAGTACGTTATTCCACGGTATCAGAGCTCTCTGTGAGAAGGCTTCATGACTTGCTTTCTTGTTGTAATATGGAATGGAAGTTAAAATGATGGAAGTGAACGTTACAGGAGGTGGGAAGAACGGGCTGAACATATTGCTTTACAGTATGGGAATTTATTGCATTACTTACATCCCTGCAGTCATTTCCATGAGCATTTGTTGCACTATCGCTTCTTATTCAACAGTATTTGCTTCTGAACAGAGTACCAACTTTTAAAATTTGTTTGATGATAGCTTATCAATGTAGAATCCAAATGAGAGGTCAGGGTCTAGCCACATTCCATAAATATATTATCATTTGGGCCAAATGTCAACATGCTAATGTTTTGACTATGTAAGAAATGTTTAGTTAAGATAATTTATGTTTTATTACAAACACATTGTTACAGGTTTTTTTGAGGACCTAGGGACAGCATGGGGATTCCATTAATCTTAAATAAATCTTGCTGTAATAAACCTGTAATAATAGACTCACGTTGTAATAAATGTGTTTCCAAGTGTAGATAAATATATCACCTGCATGCAGGTGCCTCATTTGAAAGGTTTTTATAACAATTGTGATCATTTGAAAAATTGTATCCTACGAGAACTAAACAGCGGCAATTGTGCATAACACATACATATTTTTTTGATAAAATATAAAAATCATGAATGTGAATTAGGGTTTATTCCACCAACATGAAGTGGCAAATCTGGTTTCAGTTGATTTCCTAAAGAAAAATATGGGATTGCGGAAGTTGTGGCAATGATAAACAATGTAATTTCCTTCACTAAAAATTGGTTAACATAGCAAATATTGTCAACTCAGAAACCCAGCTAGCACTAGTACTAAGCAAAATCATTCCTAAAGTGGACCCAAATCTTATAAATAAGGAACCATTATGTAGATCCAAAAATTGACACTTATTACTCAAATAAAACACAATATAAATCAGCTTGGCACCCTGATTCAATAGCAGGAGATGATTCTCAAATTAGAACACTACCATTATGGTTCTTAAGTTGGGCACAATACTCAAAATTTCAGGAACATCCTATGGGCAGATTGCACAAATTGTCTCCATGTAAGACCCCTAGATGTCACTTTTCAACAGATGGCTGCCCCCTTCTGGAACCGTAAGTATCACAAATGCAGGAAAGCAAACAACAAATATATATGCTGTATGTTCTCTCTGGGGACAAATGAGACCTTGGCTGTCTCCAAGGTCACCAAACTCCCAGACAAAACACAAAATTTCTGATTAAAATAAAATGCTTAACCATGTGAATGTTATAACATGAACCAGGCAAAAATATTAACCATGACAGTGCCAGATTGCCATGTAGCTCAACTACCTCACATGATTAGATTTTAGAGTCTTCTGATAAGATGAATAACCACAGCCTTGGTGGATACAAAATGTCTTTTGTAGAAAAGTGGAAAATTATTTGGGGATCTTGGAGAGGTGACTAAGAAATGTGGTGCATTACCCAGTTTGTCAGATTTTGCTTGTCTTGAAAAATAGAAGCTATTTATTGACAAAAAACACTTATGGGTTCTACCTTGGAAAAAAAAAAAAAGCTTAATCTATTGGTTCATAAAGGGATGACTCATGCGGTGTACACTACAGCCAAGTAGCTATGAAGATACAAGTCTTTGTGTTGTTCCCCACACTTATCAAACTGCTCAAAAAAGGTATGATACAAACAAGCCTAAGCTCACTTTAAGGGTTATGAGGTACAGACAAAAAAACATTACAACAATATAAAACAAAATAAGGTGCGCTGTAACTTTAACTACCATTCATACGTTTTCCCACTCTTATAAACACATATAATGCAATCATCTAAATTGCACTCTACCTTTAAGGTGTAAACAAAAACACAGAACTTTTAAGTGCAATATTCTTTCAACAAAGTGCATCCAATAGTAAACATGCAAAACAGTATTGTACACACACTTATTTGTAAAGTGCATAAAAGTGTACTATTTCTAATAAGGTGCTAAACCAATTGTGGAGTAGAGAAGTGAAGGTAACAGTTTTGGAGCTTGAGTTGGCTTGAGGCTTTTCCTGGCCACCACAGTTTGCTTCCTCTTCTGCCATACTGATAATGTGGAATTTATACTTCTTTATTAGCTATGTCAGCTCCAGACAAACCGTAATAGTAATAGGCTGAGATCAGGGGGTCAGAAGTTATGGTCCTTAGTCTACCCCTGTAAGGCAGTCCTAAGTTAGAACAATAATGTGAGAGTGAAACTTGCACATTATCTTGGCTGCAGATTGAGGGCTGGGCTTTAGAAGCCTAGACTGCAGATGCCTCTGTCAAACCACTAGTATACCGTGTGACAAAAAACAGGTAACAACTAATCTTCTTTGAATCATAGCCCTTACAATGAACTATAGTGGTTTTAGAGCTTAAAGTGCCCATTTAAAGAGGAACTGTAAGGTGTGACATTATTTCACAACCATCGCTCTACCTCTAGGTGTTCTCATTGACTTTGACCTCTCCTTCACCTCTCATGTCCAATCAATTGGCAAATAATGCCGCTTCCATCTCAAAAACATTGCACACATCCAACCCTATTTAACGCCTGATACGGCAAAGGTGTTTGTCCATGCCACTGTCCTCTCTCGCCTTGACTACTGTAATCCGCTTCTCAGTGGTCTTACATTTTCCCAACTTGCCCCGTTACAGTCTAGAACAGTGATGGCTAACCTTGACACCATAAATGGTTTCTGGACTACATTTCCCATGATGCTCCGCTAGCTGTTAGACTCTAAAATTTATGGTGTCAAGGTTAGCCATCACTGGTCTAGAATGAATGCGGCGGCGAGGCTCATCTTCCTGTCCGACCACAGCTCCCATGCCTCCCCCTTTGTTAGTCCCTACATTGTCTTCATGTAAGATATAGGACTCAATTTAAGATCCTGATACTTGCTTACAAATCTCTACACAAGGCTGCTCCCACCTACTTATCCTCACTAATACACAAATATGTCCCATCTAGGCCCCTACACTCTGCCGGAGACCTACGTCTAACCTCTATTCGTACTCCTATCTCTGATGCTCACCTTAAAGACTTCTATAGGGCTGCACCATCCCTATGGAACGCCCTTCCCTCTCTGTTAGACTTTCACCCAATCTCAACGCCTTCAAAAAAAAAGAAAATCTTTGAAAACTTACTTCTTTAGGAAAGCATATCAATTAAACTGTGAACAGCTTTCCCTCCCCGCACCCGGATTCCTCTCCTGAAACCAACTTGTCTGATTACAAATACGTGTCTGTTAGTCCACACATTGTACAGCGCTACAAAACTTGTTGGCGCTTTATAAATAATAATGTAGATGTTAGCAATTACTTTTTAAGTCTTGCTTTTTCATTTATTTTCCTTTACACCATATATGAGAAAAGCACAGTCTGGCATCCAAAGTAAATCAACAGTATTCCGTGATGCCATGAGTGTAAAAATGGGATGTGCACACTGTGGCGGACCTATCCTAGGTGACCGGAGTATCACCGTCAGGGACTCGCTTTCCCCCCTAGTGGAAACCCCAGAGTAATTATAGCTCCTCCCTAGTCATCAGCCAAGGCTTGATGTAAGGGTAAACATGCACACTTTATTAAGTGACTGTCACATGGGTCCCCAACTGGGGGTCACCAACAGAAGAACACCTGGGTGTCTGAGCAGAACAAGGTAACTTTGTTAGAGATTAGACACCTAGGCGCCTAACAATAATATTCCCCAAAATAACAAGTTCCTCGGCCCACATCCCCACTTTTGATGTCTGCATATGAAGTCAGTACATGGAGCTCCCTCAAGTCCTTGGTGTCGTTTGATGCCTCACCACCTCCTCTATCACTCCTCAAAATAGTGACTTGTTTGGTGGTCCTGGGGTCAAGAGCGACCTCAAAGACGTTTGAACAGACCGCGGTGACTGCCCAATCCAATCAAGGTTTCTCTGCTTGTCCCTGAATCATTGAATAGGTGTGCTAGGTTAGGAGGCATGTTCTGGAAGGCATATAGGTGTGTGATCATAGTCCCTTCGAGAGAAGGGGTTTATTCACAATTCAGCCATTACAATATAGGCCTCGTTTCAAATTGGACATCAATGCATAGTCAGTGTCTACAAAACAATACTGGTAGTAAAATATGGCGCATATTATATATATATATATATATATATATATATATATATATATATATATATATATAATATCATAGATAGCAAAATGTGGAGGACTGTGCATTTTAGTATAATTATACTAACAGTAGGTTAATAAGTAGGTTAGTACCTACTGTTTTAAAACAAACAGTAGGTTAACAGGAATGCTGCCCTCACCCAAGAGCTGTATAAGGGTTAATGAGAGTGCCAGTAAGGGCAGGAAACACGTAGATGCCTCTATTATGATATGAAGGTCTTTTAGTAGAATTGTAGATGTGTTGTAGATTCTGGAACCCCCTTAGGATGAATCAGTAGGATGTATAATCAAGATTTACACATGGGGCGGTGGGGTTTAGGAGTTAGCGTGCGTAGCATGCAGCTGCCAACTGTGTAAGACAGCGCGATACGAGCTATAAACAGTGTTCAAAGGAACACCTCACAGGAACTTAAGCAAATTATGCAAACACATGAGAAAACAAATAACATAAAATAAACTGAGCAAAATATAAAGAGATTTATAGATGTTTGCAGACAGTTTAGGACATCAGGGTTGATGATGGTCCCCTCGGTGAGCCGCAGGTTTGAATGGCCAAACCTTTGCGGGATCCTAGGGAGTGAAAGTCGAAGGTGTCGGCTGAGAATGCGCCAAGGTGGATTGCGTGGATAGCCCAAGTTTCAGCTTTATATTTTTTGCTGCGATGTCCATGCCTTCAGAAAGGTATATAGCAGTTTTGGGTGCAGGTAGGCAGTACAATTCCTGCGTTTTATGCTCAGTATCAGAGTTGTCGCTCAGAGCTGGTGGGATATGCGTCCTCACAGTATGGCCATCGGCTCCGCCCCCCATATTTCTCCACTTTTAAAGATTACAATAGTGTTTACTGATGTAACCAGTCACATATTCAAGGATAATGGATTCACTTTAAATCCTGGGTCAGGACCTAAAACGGAGTGCCCATGTTACCATACTATTGTAGTTTGTCACCATCAGTAAGAGTAGGCTCATCATACTTCCCCTGAACCAAAAACTGCTCACAATACATTAATCACTGTAGATGTACTGCCTTCCTAAATGCAGTGGAAACCCTTTTGACATTGGAAAGAGTCCAATGAATATATTTTGCAGAGTTTATTTGAACATTAAATATGTTTTATTTGAAGAATGCCAAGTTTGTGCCATGTACATAAGTTGGGTCACAGTCAAGACAGTTCAAACCCTCTTGTTTAATCTGTCACAGCATGTATCTTTCAGGATTTCCCAGCACTCTCTCAGGCATCTGTCTATATATAGATAAAGTAAGTACATGTAATAGGTTCTCATGGTATTTTAAGGAAATAGAGGTTACATTTTAGGTGAAGCGGGGCTGACTTCATGCAAGACGTATTGTGTGTAGTGAAGAGGTTTACCAGAGTCTATTTTTAAATTTTAAACAAATTGCACTGGAAAAACAGGTTCTAGCAGCCACATTGAACTCAAGGGATTAATTAATCAAATAGCAAAATGTGGGGAAATGACGAACAAAACACAACATTTAAGACAAATTGCACAAGTTAACTATTAACCAATCAGGCTCCACAAAATGAAAAAAAGGCAAAAATTACCAAATGTTTAAAATTCCTCATTTGCTATTAAAATTGGCACTTATGCATCAAAGGGGGAGGAGTTATCATCTCCCTAGACGCCGAAAAGGCATTCGACCGCCTGCACTGGACATTCCTAGAGGCGGTCATGGCAAAATTCGGTGTGCCAGGAGAATTCAGGGCAGCAGTCAAAGCGTTATATAGCGCCCCGAGGGCACAAGTGCTCAACGCGGGCTTCCTATCCAACCCGTTTAGCATCTCGAATGGCACGAGGCAGGGATGCCCCTTGTCCCCTCTGCTGTATGTTCTAGCTTTAGAGCCATTAGCATCAAAGATTAGGAACCATAGTTCCATACATGGAGTGCGCATAGGGGACAAGGAATACAAAGCCAATATGTTTGCGGACGACGTGCTCCTGACCTTAACGCAACCACTGATTTCAATGCCACACCTACTGACAGCGATAAAAGAATACGGAGACAGTTCGTACTATAAATTAAATGTGTCCAAAACACAGGCCATGGGAATTGGGATACCTGAGAGCACACTACAGGAGTTGCAGGGGAAGTTTGTGATGGACTGGAGGACGGAAAGCATTTCCTTCCTCGGAATTAAGTTAACTAAGACAATAGGGGGACTGTTCAAGGCCAATTACGAAGCCCTACAAAAAGAGATGGAAGCTAGTTTGGTCTCTTGGAAAGACAAATACATCTCCTGGGTGGGGAGGATGGCAGCTTTTAAAATGTCCATTCTCCCTAAACTACAGTACCTTTTTAGAACGCTACAAATAGCTCTTCCAACCTCCTACTTAAACAAAACACAGTCAATGCTCACAAAGTTTGTATGGGCACACAAACGAGTGAGGATAGCGGCCAAATACCTACACAGACCGGTTCACCAAGGGGGTCTTGCCTTACCAAATATTAAACTTTATTATCAGGCAACATTACTAGCCCCAGTGTTAGGGATACAACTACCAGCCCCTATTCCACAATGGTTAGAAATCGAAGACCACTGGCTTCAAGGGACAGACCTCCGCAGATTGCTGTGGGTACCTAAACTAATGCGCCCCACCCAACCCCATATCTTACCCACCACAAAGACATTACTGATGACATGGGACAAAACACATCAGACGTTGACCTCTATGACTCCGTGGTCACCGGCAACACCATTGCCCTGCCTTCATGTAGCGAACAACACATTTGACTATAGGGAATGGACAAAGAGAGGCTGCACGCATGTGAGGGACCTCCTAGAGGCACAAAAGGTGCTACCGTTCCCGGACATACAGAAAAAATTCAACCTCCCCCCAAATTGATATTTCCATACCTTCAGTTAAAATCTATGCTGGGGACACAAGCAACCACAGGAGAGGGGAAAAACTCGCTCACGGAGTTTGAAAGTCTCTGTCTAAACACTAAGCTAAAGAGGGGAACGATATCTAAGTGCTACTCACTACTAAACCTAGGCGACCCAGTACATTTAGACAGATTCAGTGAAGCCTGGCAGGCAGACCTGGGGAAACAGTTTGATGCAACTCAATGGAAAAACGCGACCACAGCACATAAAGGAAAGACATCATGCGCATCACACCTAGAGTTAATGCGAAAGATACACTACAGGTGGTACATGGTGCCGGTGCGACTGGCAAAAATTTACCCAGGAACATCAGCCAAGTGCTGGAGATGTGGGGGTGCAGATGGCACGATGTACCACATCTGGTGGTCTTGTGAGGTACTACGACCCTATTGGGGGATGGTAGAAAACGTGCTAAATGAGACGATAGATGTCAGTACTACACTCGCCCCAGAAACAGGCTTATTGTTCATGCATATGTCCAGATTCCGGGGAAGTGAGCAATTATAGTTTTCCACACCATAATAGCGGCACTAACGCTAATAGCCAGAGAATGGAAGACAGACTCCGCACCGACGAAACAAGCCCTAAAAAGGCAGATTACCATCAACCTACAATATGAACTAGTGGCCAGGAAAAATGTAGGCAATGCACACAGGTTTGAGGAAGCAAAAAATAGGTGGGAAGAAGTAAACAGGTCCGGGGAGATTAGGAATGGAGTCTGACCCTAGTGTCATGAGAAGTAGGAGAATACTCCGACTCTATAAAATCCCTCAGCCAGGCCAAGCGCCAGTACAAGGTCAGCAGTAAGAGACCCCATGCGACCAAGGGAAATCCAGAGGAAGGGACCCCTTGGGGACGAAAGGTGATAGATAGGAATCACGGGACAAATGGGTGAATCGAGAGTTTAAATCACAAACAGTGGATGAACAGCAAAGTACCGGTAGGAGAAAACGGGCATGTTAAATCCATTTCCCCCCCCCCTTCCCATCCCCTCCTCCAGCTGGTTTCTTCCCCCCCCCCACCCATTTAGGAACAGTAACACGAAACGAGAGAATGCATCCATCTAGTGCAGGGGTGACACTAAGGAGGAGCCAAGGCAAAGCAGACTAGCAGAGGAAGACAGATGCAGGTCCCAGAATGTGGGCTGGCGAGTGAGGAGAAAGTAGATAATGGATAATTATGCCCCAGTGGAACAGTGCAAAATGTATCATGTAAAGTTGGATGGCATGTCACTCGAGAATATGATATATGATGTTCCTACCCCCCTCCCTCTCTTTATTCTGTATCCCAAGTTTGCATTGAAGAAAAAGGAAAATAAAAATAAAAATTGTCAAATTGGAAAAAAAAAAATTGGCACTTATACATAACAACCACAACAGACCAGAACTATCTGCAAAAGTTCTTCTTCTGAGGAGGATGTCGACAACGTGTTCATTCCAGAAGGATCTGATGGGACTTGTAGCGTTTCTATTGCCATTCACAGAAGTGCTGACCAAGCTGGCAAGATCAGTTCCTCCAGGGAGGGGAGGTATGCTCACTCGAGTTAACTTGTCCTTTAAGGCTTTAGACAACCACAGGCAGAACTGTTTGCATACTTGAATCTGATATCCGGTTCTATTTCATGGAAATCCGAGTTATAATCCTGCAATGGTCGTCCTGCCTGCTGGAGTGAGCGCAGGGCAGTGCGTGCTGTACAGGGTCTCAAAGGGTCATCGTATAAGGTACGTATGGTTGTGGAAAATGATTCCCAGGAGTCTAGTGTAATAGTTGATCGGCCCATGTTTGAGGTTGACTGGAAAGTAAGGCTATTGCAGCTCGTACTTTAACATTGTCAAGCACAGTGCTTTAAAAGGCACTGTAATAAACATACAGAACTCAGTCTGCTGCCCCGTAATCTTGTCAGGTATAAGGATGGCTGGTTCTGGTGAGGTTGGCGATAAGGAAAAATGAGCTGAGGCTGAATGGGATGGGTGGTAGTGGTGCAAATCCAGCCCTTTGCTGCTCATGTTGAAGTAGTGTGGCCTGGCTTGCATGGAGTTCTTGGACTAGTTGAGGCAAGGCCGCCATCTGCTGGGTCAAAGCTGCAATGACTTCAGCTGTTCCTGCTAATTCCATGTGTTTTTGGTTGTTATATGACAACCTGCCAGGGTTGCAGCAGAACAGAAATCCCTTACAATCATGAACCTCAGGGGTACCAGAAGGTGAAAACAGGGCCCTGATATGGCAATGATGACACGGGGGCCTTTAATAAGAAAAAGGGTAACAGGTAGAGGAATGCGAGAGTGAGGAGAAGAAAGGCAAAGTCAGGCGGTCCAACGGTCAGTGCAGGCAGCTAGAGAGCGTGGTCAGGAGGGAAATTGGAGTTAGGAACCAGGAAATTAATCAGAAGAGAGGCAGGTTAGGAAACTGGAAAAATCACACGGTGTCAGGAAGGAAAAGAGCTTAGATCAAACAAGCACTGAGTAGAAGTCGCTCTGGGATTAAATAGGCAGACAGAGTCAGATGACCAATCACCTCCCACCTGTAGGTGGAGCACTCTGGGGCTATATAAACTGTTCAGAAATTCAGCGCCATCAAACTGACAGTTACACTTTACATTCAAAATGTAACAACCCGTCTTATTACGGCATGTACAAAATACAACACAAAGGCAAAGTAGGTGGGGACTGAACCCGACCAGACGCCATCTCTGTGGGCTCCCGCCTGTAATAAGCATTAACCGCCATAAAACAAGAAAACGAATCGAAACACGTCCACGCCACAACCACTCACCAACTCAGGGCACAGAGGGGAACAGGCGGATGCCCTTCTTCCAGCCCCCAAAGACCGGGAAGGCCAAACGCAAAATCAAGGCCTACTATCAGCCGACTCTCCGCTCCCTGGAGACACTCCTCGGAGATTACCGCGAATATTGCGACACGAGAGCCGAGGGGGAGAACATCGCAGCAACCGCGGAAACCCCTTTAACCATGAAACGCCGCACGCAGAAAGGCCAGCAAAACTCACCGGCGGAGCAGCGCGATGTCGGGGAGATGCTGCGACGCCAGACACAACCCAAGATGGCCACTGAAGAGGCCCCCTTCGCGCCCATGCGGCCTACACAGCTGGCCCAAACTCCAGCAACACAAACAGAGGGGCCACTAAGTAATACACTCCCAGCCCTCACAGAAATAGTGGAACACAACTTAGCCACCAAACAAGACCTCCAACGATGGATGCACGAGCTCCAAGACCTAATAGCCAAAGACATAGGCACTATAAAAGCGGAGGTGCGCCAAATTACAGGCAGAGTACACGCAGTAGAGGAGAGTGTAGCGACAATAGGCAACGAGATGACTCACCTTAAAGAAACGCTGTACACAATGCAAACAGCTCATCAGGCGCTAGAGGTGCAGGTCTCCACCCAAGGGGACCGCCTGCGTCGTAACCACATCAAGCTCCGAGGGATGCCCGCGGCGATCACACAGGCTGAACAGCCTCATTTCCTAAGGAGGCTCCTAGCCACAATCCTGCCACCAGCAGCTGCCCGGAAAATCACACTGGAGTGCTCATACCGACTGCCAGCAGGACCCAACTCACCACCCACAGAAGCACGAGACATCATCCTATGCTGCGCCACGACACAGGATAGAATCACTATAATGAATGCAGTGAAAGGCAAGACACCCCTAGCATTCGAGAATGCACAACTGCTCTTCTTCCAAGACCTGACAAGAGCAACACTGCAATGGCGAAAAACGATGTACAACCTCACCAGCAGCCTGAGACAAGCGGGAATACAATACCGCTGGGGGGCACCCAGGATCATAAAGTTCACCCACAAAGGCAACACATATAGAGCCACGTCTGAGACTGAAATCCCTGCAATTCTAACCTCACTGGGACTCATGGACTTGCACAAGAATGGAGCCACGGGTGCCTCGTCCCAAGTGGGAGATCCTGCCACGGCGAACTCATTCACACCTCGATCCCAGGGAGGCACGGATACAGCTTCTTGACAGGAACTGTACTACTCTGCCGGCCACAGCGGACACAGCTCCATTCGAGTTGGAAATGGAAGGAAGACGCCGATATGTTCATTATGTTAGAAGATACATCTGTTTCTTTATTGTTCTTTTTTTTTTTTTTTTACATGCCTTTATGTGTTTCTGTTGATGCATGCTCTCATACTCTGAGGCTCTGTCGGGTTCACCAGCCAACACATGGCCCACTCCACGACAATCCCCCCCCCCCCGCTGCCCCCTGGGTTAGGGGCACTCACCATCACGCAACAGAACCCCAGCATACCGCGAAAATTATTATTTTCTTTTTTTTTTAACACAGCGCAGCGACCCTTAGACGTCTAAAGGCACATACAGGTAAAAGCCGTCCCCCTCGTAACACACACCACAACAGCCAAGCGTAACAGCGCAACACACCAGGAGGCACAAAACAGCCCAGGGATGACATAACAGCGCAGGTAACAACTCGGTATATCAGAAGGGTAGCGCACGCTGACAGCCGCACCAAAACTGTAACGCAACCTGTTTAAAAAATTACAAAAAAAAATGTTTGCAAACCAAGTGACAAGTCAAATAACCATACTTTTATACTGTATACTATTCCTCACTTCTGTCATTGTCATTGCAATGTTGACACACATCTTTAAAATAAAGAATTAAAAAAAAAAAAAAGGCAAAGTAGGTTTAAGTAAGAGCATCATCAGTAAACAGAGCATCCCAGAACATTAAGTCCTCTAAATCCATTAGTGTAGTTGCACAAACTGTTCTCCTTCCAAAAAATGGAGGTCTTAATGCCAGTTTTATTTTATGCTGTTTTAGTGCACATCGGACAGCATAGCCCTGTTCTACCACACTCCCTAACAGTGCTAACAAGATCACAGTTCTATCAAGGTGTAACAAAAAAAAAAAAAATGAGCATTCCAAAAAAAAAAAAATATATATATATATATATATTTTTTTTTTTTATTTTTTATTTTTATTTTACATTAGAGTGTTTCATTTTTATATTTCATTTTTCTACGCCAGACCGTCTCCATTCTAGAGTTTGTTCCTCCTGATGTGAGTTAATCAATAATATAGATCTCTGGCCAGTGGCGGAGCCTGACCTCCGAGCAAAGCAGTCGCAGGAAGCACGAGCTTCCGCCTAACAGGCAGAATCTGGGGTATATGAGCGGCTAATTAGCCAAACTACTTACCGGGTGCACAGCTGAACCGATCGACACAGCACTCGAGTCTGTCGCAGCTGGGAGCCCGGAGCACGGCGCTGCAGCCTAAGAGAGTTGGACTACGGGAGAGGCAGCAGCTCTACCCGAAACTGACCTCTCCATGTGTCTCATCTGGACTCCTATCCCCCCTCTGGACTGGTGGGGGGATATCCCAGTCCCCACTGGGTAGACTGGCTAAAGCCCCCCCCTGCTGCAGCTACATACCACTTAATGCAGAAGCCTGAGGCAGCCCGAACACTCAAGATGGCGGAGGCCCTTCCACATGCCTCACAAGCCTTCAGCTGGTCACATAGGCCTCACCACGACTCCATCGACTCCAGGCTGGATGCTATACTCGAGGTCTTCTGTGACATGCTGCTAGCACTCTCTACAGCCATCAGGTACAAACAGCAGACGGAGACGGAGAGGGGCCCACGAATGGCAACAGGACTGATACCTCTGGGCAGCGCACCTATCCAAGCTCCTCACCACGCTAATGGCCGCCTACTTAGGCCAAAAGCCACTAGAGTCCTGACCTCTCGACATCTACCACACAGGCGGAAGATACCATGCTGCTGGCGGCGGTACAGAGTCCATGGACAGAGGATGTCGGCTTTCACACAAGCCTGGGGATGGAGGAATGTCCTACTCACCTGTTGCTCCCCAGCTGACCCCAGACCCTCACAGGCATGCTGCGGCCCCAGGGAATCGGCTGAGACAACCGCGGACCCGCAAGTCTGACACGTCACAATTTGCTGAAAGCAGATGCCATTAATGACTGTGTCCTCATAGACGAACTCAATGCTTCTATTTTTTCATATCATTTGCCCTACTAGCCAACTCATCTATAGTGCAGCACTGTGCAATATTTTATGTCCCAGTGGTATAGAGCCTATTTCATATAATAGCTCAACATGCTTAACCTCACATTTAACTAGCTACAGCAATGTGTTTTCTATTCCCTACCACTTTACATAAAACTCCTCATTATAAAAGAGCTAAGTATCTCATACGCACCTGTGTTTTAAAGCGACAGTTTAATGGGAATATAGGCCTACTCTTGACTAACTAGCCTACAGCTCTGTAACATTCACTAGCATGCTTTACTATTCTCTCTTCGAAAAAATTGTGCTGTTCCATCGCAATTGTACATACCTAATCTATGAGTACCGTATCCGGTTTTCAAGCTATATGTATAAGTGTATCATCACATGCGCCTGTTTTGTTGTTGGGACAAGACAGGTGATTGTAAACAACTCAGCACTGCAAAAATAAAAATTTACAACAAAAAAAATATAGATCTCTGGCCAATCCAAAGCTTTCGTAAAAAGAAGCATTGGGGACATATAGCACACACACACCAATTGTCACACTTTACCAATCTAATGCACTCACTTACACTTTGAACAGTAGGTAAAAGGTAGTAAGGCAGCTAAGGCATCCAGCTGTTTGGTTGACCACCGGGAGATGTTACCGAGATCATTTATAAGAGTGCAGATTTCTCTTGAAATTGGTACTTTTATAAAACATTAGCCAGAGGGGAGCAAGCTGAAGTGCTTTTGGGGACTGGAGCGTCCCTTCAAGTCAAATGAAACCACTTGAGGCTAAAACAATTATTTGGCCATTTCAGAGAAATAGTTGCAAGTGCTTTGATTTAGTCATAAGGGATGAACAAAGACCAAGATCAAGTATATTAAAGGGTCACTCCAACCGAAAATAGTGTTTAGAAAAATAAAAACTGTATTCTTGGTTAGGCAAACCCTTGCAGGCATACTTCACCCACCCAAAAGAGTATAAATAAAAACGTATCAGCAATCCTACATCAAAACAAAGTTTTCTCTGCATCACAATCTCCTCTGGTGACATCACTCCCATCACTGGAGGGGAACAGACATTTTGAATTGGCTAAGGGAGAATTTAGGGCTGCATGGTGGGGGTTCCAGGCCACATTTTTTAGCTAGCGTGTTACGTGTGCGGACAGCAGACTCCCAACATTCACAGAAGCAACATTAGCCAGCCTATAACTCTCGTTCTGGACTGGCTGATGACACTGGTATCACACCTAAAACAGCAACCTCAGATACCTCTGTATGTGCAGTGTTTCAAACTCCAAGGACCATGAGCACTTCAACACTGGCAATAACTTCAAAACATATATATTTATTTATAAAGTGTCCATTGTAAATATACTGTAATTCCTCTCATTAAAGCCAACCTATAACAATACCTAGAAAATTAAGTTGCTTGGACTGAACCAGTGAATTATCAAACTCAGCGACAAAGGACTGAATGATTACAAAACATGCGTTTACATTTTTAAAATTAAAACCAACACTGATTTTAATTCATGGTGTCACGGGCAAATGCAAATATTACAAGTTTTAGAATGAAATGTTGTATTTCTTAAACTGTGTACTTTGTCTTTAAGAGATATTGCAAATTGACAAGTTGTTAGAAATGGAACATATTGTTTTTCATAACTGTTTCTTTAAGCAATAACCTCAGTGCATAATATGTTTGCACCATTTTGTCCCAGACAAATTACAATAACAATAATGCATAAACAAGCTTCAAGGCTATACTACGACTCTTGCAGTACACAATATACTGTGGTAACCCCAAGTTAATGGAACTTTCCCAAATCCGGGAATCTCCCACGACTGTACACTTACGACTTAGTATAAACAACAGATAACCTATTCAGACTTTAAGATGCCATCTTGAACTAAGTCAGGAAAATTTCCATGACGTATACACCCTTTAGTTATGGCCTTGTATGTTTGCCAAATTAAGGGAGGTCCTAAATTGAATAAAGTAAAAGAAGTGTTACTTTTTCATATTTGAACTACAGTAACCTAAAATGGAGACACCTAAGGTATAAATAGGTGTACTTTTAAATGTTAAGATACAGAGGAGAGACTTGGAGACAGACGCTGCTCCATCTTAAAATGACAGAGAGGCTGACATGATGACATGTTCAGAAGGGTATGTTAACCTAATAATGATATTTGCAAGCATGTAATTTAATCTTATAAACTCTGCTATAATGGATTTTATATTTTTATATAATAAATATCCAAAAGACAATCTTGCTTCCAAGACAATCCTTATTTTATATTGTATTCTCAATTATTTATATATGTTAAATAGGGGATCTCTTACACTATATAAAATTATGGCTAAGATATCTGTATGGTTAGCCCTACTAAGTTCTATGCTTTAAGACATTATAGTGGTAAATAAGGGAACCACCAGCGATTACAATGGGGCTGCATTGAGAAACACAGGTGTGGACATATTAATCTATGTATTTTTAATTTCATATAACTTTCATTTAACTTCCTAGCTGCCCCATGTGCATCGCACAGCCACAGGAAGGCTCTAGATGCACGGCGCGCCTGACCGGGAGTGGTCCGCTAAAATGTTAAGCGGAGCGCTATCAGTCCCAACACCACCTAACGGGGCGCTTTTTGGATGGAAGACAAGTAAGGGAGTGAGGGATTCAACGATACCCTAGACTTGGAGGGGCTAAAAGGATCCATGGAAAGTGCTGCTGTTTTGGGTGACCGGGACTCTCCACCCAACGCCATGGAAATCAGCGCCGGATCAAAATCTAGCCGCGACCCGCTGAAACTGACTTCCAACATAATTTGGCTTGCCATATACGATCCAGGCACTTTTTGGTCAGATTGGGTGCTCTGACACAAGCTTCCTGGGGAACCGTACTTATGATGTGTTTTGTTACCCCAGGGCCAAGGGGTCTGCCCGCTTATTAAATTTCCTGCTCAGGCACAAACACCAAGGCACGGGGGATGTCGCAATTCTTTTGTTTTCCCTGGGGACCTTCTGTTGAGACCCCAGGTATCAAAGTGTAAACCTGTTGTGACAATAAATCAGTTCTACCTCCAGCATTAGGACTCGTCTAATGTATGGGGGTAAAAGGCTCTATCTGGAAGCTATAATCAATTAAAGCTACTCTGGAACTATAATTACGAAGGAAAGTGATATCCTAGTGGTCCACCACAGTCAGATATCATATTACAGATATGGAGAAAAGGGAATATAAATATATAGATATCTGGGATATTAGAATTTAAATTGGTGGCATCTGAAAACTACAAATTAAAGAAAGCATAAGAGGAGTAAAATTGCAAAAGTATGAAAAGGGTTACTAAATGCAGTATGTAATCAAAAGTGACCCATCACTAAATATTAACGTTTCATCAAACGTGACTACTCACTTGGGAAAGGTGAACTTTTTTTCTCCTGGTTTTGCCATTGGGTCTACGCCTTTACTGATTTTGACACAGGGGATACGCTTCTCACCATCAGTGAATATACCTGGTGACATTACAAAATATTTAGTCATACAACCCGTCCATTGCAGAGAAATGCACAATACAAAGTAATGCAGGAATCATACAACCAGTCATGACAGGGTCACATTTCCAGATATCACTTGTTTGTCAATATAAAATGTATATTATATTATATATATATATATAGCATTGCTCAACTATTTTTAATAAAATACTCCCCTCTCTATGGATTTAGTCTGGAAACCACCTTTCTGATTTTTTGGGTACCAAACTTGCTCCTTACATTTTCTTTAACATTTGCCAACCTCTTGCTCAAAACGGGAATCATTTTGTATGAGGCACAAGAGATCCATATGAAACCTTATAGTGCAAGCACAAGATTTTCTATGTAAGATTTCATATGACCTTCCACAGGCTCTGGTTTTGTACTTCTACACAAATAAATAGTGTGAGATGACTGCTTTTGGCAGGCAAAGTGGAGTTAAAGAAGCATGGTAGCAAAAAGTGGTAGCAAGGGAGAACTTAATGGAACATTCAAACTTACTGAAGTCCTTTATGTGTCTGGATTATAAATATTGCCAATTTTATGATTGTGGGCAGAAGTACCTCCATGCCGCTTCCATTAGCTCTAAAGAGGAACAGAATGGAAGCAGCAAGCATGCAGTTATTATTCAAACAAACATGTCACCAAAAAAAGTTTACACAAGTGGCAATGTTACTTTAAAAGAAAATGGTGCATCACATGAGAAAAAGTAAACACATCGAACAGGCGATTTTTAAAAAAATGTTTTATGAAATGGTGTAATTGCCAAAATGTGATGGTTCCCTTTTAATCCATTGCACTACAAATAAATAAAAAGGAGTTAACATGTATCTGTATTATCTAGTATTGGAAAAAAATATTATAGAAAACCATCCAACAAATTTCATGGAATACAATCACATTTAAGTGATTTGCATCAGACTGTAAAATGATAGAAACAGCTGTGGTACTTTTAAGCAATTGGGAGGTGCACTGACTGCGGTTTGGTGTTCATGCTATCATTCTTTATTATAAACCAACATTGCCCTAATGCAGGTAGCAAACATTCAAAGCTTGTTTTTGCACATATTGCTCTCTCACCATGCAAGTCACTGAATGAGATTTTTATTCTGCTGGGCTCTTCAGTTTCACTTTTCCTTTGAGTATGAATTTCCAGATCTGCCACCTCCATTTCCAGACATTCCCTTCTTACAGATTTTTCTCTCCATGAACGACGTTCTGCTACTGGCCGCAAATCTGGAACTGGAAACTGCAGACATATGTGGGCTTTAGAAGTAACCACATGGATATCTGTATCCTCCTCTGGAATGGGAGTTACTGGAATCTGAATGAGTGAAATAACAAATATAATAATAAAGGAAAGCCCCACATGACCTCAAATTATGAAAAAATAAATCTTTGGGTTAAACGCATAACAGGAAGCTTGGAAACATCTTAACTAAATGTAGAAATTGTAACATTTGGAAAATCATGTAAATGATGGATTCATCCGAGCTAAACACATTACTTTATAGTCTGAATTTCATTGGTTACCGTGTGCATGTTGAGGTGGCTAGCAGTAAATGGTTCTGGTGTTTCTCTGTTCTGGAAGAGGGATCCAAGTCGGTCAACCAGACCAAAGTCTAGGTCACACTGAAATTCTTCCAGCTCCACAAGGATATCGGAGTTAATTCTGACTGCCTGTTTCTTACGGCTGCTCTAAGAGAGAGGAAGTAGAGGATAGCAAGGTAAGAGATGGTGATTTTAGAATAAGAAGCTACTCAAATGGGCACTCTAAAATGACAGAGATGAACAAAAAGCATAGCAAGTTTGAACAAATGAATAGAACATGAAGAGGACTGATAAGAACAGGTAGGAAGAGAGAGGAACATACTATTTAAAGCGACTTACCAAGATATAGTAAGAGAATCAAAACGATAGATGGGGCCTCACATTAAGAAAAAATATATAGAGAGATGCAGACCGAAAAGACAAGATACTCACTCTGGGAGGTGTTCTGTGTAGCCGCTTGTAGTGTATCTGGGTGCAGGGACGAGATGAGGATGCTGGACTGCGAAACACCATGAGCTGGAACATAAAACACAAGGTACAATGAGACATGCATCCATGTACTAATCTCACATATAGATATTATAAGGTGGAATACTCATTTGAAGCATAGGGCATGCAGAATGAGCATTTCTACACAATCAGATCCAATGGTTTTCAGAAACATTGAGAAACACCGATTTTAAAAACAAAGCACACCATCTGTAACTCCTATCCATTCCACTGACTGACTACATGATGAATGTGGGCATGAAACATACAAAAATGGCATCCCTCTACCAAGTTGCTTTAGCCAATAAACCTCGAAATTCGACAGGTCAAGAATATTATTTTCATAATACAGAGCAGGGCACTTAAGCTTAAAAAAAATAAAACAAAAAGCAATTTAACCATGCACATATTATATCATTTCCATGTTATGCAGTCTAACATTTTTGCAGGAGGAGTCTACAGCATCTTTTTTTCCCCCATTGTAATAATTTGTACCATCTATCTAGTATTAAACTAAATCACGGTTTTGTTTTTTTGGTTGGAGTAAGCCTATCTGGCATGTTCTCCCCCTTAAAATGTTTTATTAATATATATATTTATTTTTTAAAGGAACATTCCCCAGTTTTATGTGCTCTTACTTCTGTGGCACTAGTCTTTGTCACTGTAGGTGGAGGGTTGTCATTAGACAGGACTGAGGGAGGGCTTAGTCACTGTGCTTGGATTGATCTTTTAATGCCATTTATGCAAGCAGTAAGTATATGTGCTAGGAAAACCAAATGCGGATGTGAACACAGAGAAAAAGTATTACAATGAAAAGTAACAAAAATAAAAAATATATTGTGTATTTAAATCTTCTATGTGGCCTGTCTTAGAATTCAACCCGAAGCAAATATGTAGTGCGCATATGTCTTTAGACACCTTAAGCAATGGAAGGCTGAGAAAAGTATCTTGGTTACACATGCAGACACAGTAACATTTTCTATCCAGGCTGCAATTACCCAGAGCTTGAAAGGGTCTTAGTAAGTATAGAGAATAAATGAGGTGAAATATTATAATTCTTGTGTTCTGCACACAGTGGTAGAAGTGCAAGATTACGGAGGAACCCATCAAACTGCGGAGCTTATTCAGAAGAAAGATCAGAAATTGTGTAGAATAAATATGTAAGTCCAAAATTGACATATCTGAAAAAAATCCATCTCAGATATTTTTTCACATTGCTTACTTTTACTAAATAAAAAATAAATAAAGAATTACATTTAAATTGCCATTTATTTAGGGAATACACCTTTAGTTATGGAACTGGACACATTTATTCTGGCCCTCGAAAACGTTAAATTGCTTTTTTGACAGAGAAATGTTACTCCTCATATTTATACCTCTGTGTATTCTGGTTCTTTTGCCTTCCTGAATGCTGGATCCCCCTGCCACAAACATTCCAGAATCTCCAGGATCCCACAGCTCATGTCAACGCTAGTTTGTTGGGACGCTCTTCCAGTTTTCTGCTCACAGATAATCTGAACTGCTACGGCTGTGGTCCTGTTAGAAAAGTCAAAGGTAGACTGAGCAGAAGTAGCAAAAAATAACTACATATGCCTCCTGTGTGGAATCCGGTGGTGCCAGCATTGTAGATACACCCAGCAAAGATTGCAAGTGGTGACACTATCTGCTGACAATTGACAAATTCTAACTGCACTACATGTTCTGTGAAGAGCCTGTAAAACTAAAAATTACACAAAAAACATGTAACTACCTTCTATTGCAAAAATTTTTGTTACAAAATTCGTGTCCACTATTTATTACTTTAGTGACTTTTCGGTCATTTTTTTTTGTGTATCTTTTCATTTATAAATATTGATCTTTTTCATAAAAAAAAAAAAAAGTATTTGATTTTCTGGCATTTCCTTAAACCATTTTCACTAGGCAATAAAAATATGTGCGGTATATTCACACAGTATTTTAAGTCCGTGGGAAAAAATTGTGCAGGCACAAAAATCCATTGGAATATACAAGGAAGAAAGGTTACACTTTTCAGATACCTTTTAAAACACTTATAAACTGAAACAGATTTTTGGATAAAATTTTTTTTTTTCAGAACACTGATAAATCTTGAGCACTTTAAAATGGATACACTAGGTGATGGCTGTGCTAACTCATATTTATCTCCTTCACTCAAGAACGTACATTATTTTTACACTTTGCCTTTTCCTAAATAGACAATCATCTGCGCTCAGCATTTATTTATACATCAATGAATAACAGAACACATCAAAAAGTGATTATTTGTAGACTGGACCAAATCCTCAAGCTTACTTGCCCTTTACCTAACATTGCTCATCTGGCATGCTTTCTCAAAGTGGCCGCGAAGATGTGCAAAGTCTCGACCACTGAAGGCTGCATACTGGAAGGAACCCAATTCCATGAAAAAGCGATTGACAGCCTCTGAATAGGATGGGTCTGACACAATACTTTCATCACCAAGGAGATGGGGAACAGTGATAGTAAGACCACCCAGGGACAGTTTCAACAACATTTCCGGTTTTAGAGTCTCCATTGAGGAAGGAGCAGATGATTTATCTGTCAGTGAAAGGAAGAAGGTACTGATAAACCAAAGCATTGAATGGTTAAAATTCTACTGTACTGCAATTTACTGTGTTCATGTATAGGTACGCGGGTATAAAATTATTGTTTTTAGAAGCACTGGTAAAATGTTTAGTTAAACTAATTTACAGGTCGTTGTTAGACTCTGAGACAAACGATAATTCTCACCTGATACCCGGGGAAGGCTTTGTAAAGGAGCTATAGTGGCTGTGAAAGGAGAGTGACCGTACCGTCTGGGGCTGCCCAGCATTAACTGGAAAAGTAAAAGAAAAACAGACTAAGTATCCGCCGACATGGACAAACAGTCAAACACAGCACTACAATGAATTTAATCAGAATTACTTGTTTACTAAACAAATAATGACTAATTATTAGATTATAAATTATTATTAATGTTCTATTGTAACAAAGTTTCTAGAAACCTCTTCCATTTTCTTGCCACTATACCTCTCCTTCTCGTTTTCTCTGTCTCCACTGAAGACAGCCATTAGTCATTCGTAATTTTTGGTATATGAGGTCTATTAATAATGAGATCTGATAGATCAGACCACAAAAAGAGTTCTGCCCATATTTTCATCCACCTGTTAGAACTCTGTTGGTTTACAGTTCTTTCTACATTCAATAAAAAACTAAAAATATTACAGGTCTGTACAAGCTGTACTTTGAGTATTTAGATTTCAAAAAGTGTTAAAAGTGTAATTTTGAACAAAACATGAACTCTGTAGCCTGTGATTTGACGAGCCCCTTCAACTAAAAAGTCTGTAGGACTAACCATCTGACAGATAACCGTTTATAAAGTTAAATTAGATACTATTTAATTTATTCCCATACTGTGCATGCACTTTAAGTTTTATTTTTGATGAATGTGCATCAAAGAATATTTCTTATTCAGATAGAAGAGAACGGTCACGGAGTCCAGGTAAACTTGGACTTATGACAGTAAGGTCAGTCTGGGTGGTACCAGATCCACCCTGGGCTTGAACCCTGTAAATGATACAATATATAAGAAAAGAGAAAAGGGGATCCCAGACTCCGCAATAGTGAGGGATTCCAAACTGGTAGATTATAAGCCAATACTTGATAAACAGCGCTAACCAATATATCTACAATAAATTTGGTAGGATAAACCATCATAAATCCTCCGGGGAACTTATTAAGCACAATGTATCCAAATGAACCGTCCTCCACCTCCACTTTGTGCAGCTTTTGCTATGTCTGGGTTCCCCCCCTTATATAAAGAATATTTCTTCCCTGGGAGTCATAAAAATTTCCACCATGTGTCCTTAAGGGGTTAACTATCAGTATTTTGACCGTTTTCATTTAACCATTTCATTATCGACCCAGCCAACACAGCTAGGTATATTTACATTTTATTATGATTTTTGCCATATGTGTAAATTCTAAGCTTAATTTCACAGACCATAAATTTCACACTACAGTAAAGATCCTTACTATGCACCCCAAGTACAGCAATACCCGCTATATCTATCTTTGCCAGGTTTGTGGGTGATATATTAGATCACATTAGTGATGTGCCCTAATTTTGCAATACATCTTTACTTGTGCACTCTCTAAAATAAGATAAATACAGTATAGGAATAAAGTGCTTTAGTGCAAACAGTGTAGCTACTATCACCAGTGTTTAGTCACTAAAATCATATTAAAACAAATTACACAATAGGTGAGAGCTAGCACCACGCACAATGAATATTACCACTTTAAATCTTGGAGGTAGAAGATGCTTTCTTATAATCTGTAATAAAAGCATAAAACACAGACCATAGTGTAATATGTATGATCCAAGTATAATAAATAAGACCAAATGTGAGTTTTACTGAGCCTACTAGTTAGCAGGCTCAGACTGTCAGCGTTTTTTATTAATTAAGTATTAACCTCTGGATCTCTGCTCCCAGCAGAAATTTTTCCTCCAAATACTTTCCGACCACCTCAATGATCCAAACCAGGTCAGGTACCAGGGTACTCTTTATATAGGAAAGATAGGGAAGGCAAGAAAGGGGGAGGGGTGGCCTTGTATGTGAAGGATAGCATAAAATCTAGCCTAATAAAAGTTAGTGAGGCAAACAGAGTCCGTTTGGGCTACGTTAGAATTTGGTAATCACACAGTAACTCGTGTAGGTGTGATTTATAGGCCCCCAGGACAAATTGAAGCGTTAGATAATCTACTAGTTGAGGAAATAGCTAAAATGACAATGAAGGGGGAAGTTATCATCATGGGTGACTTTAATCTTCCTGATGTAAATTGGAAAACAAAATTAGCTACTTGTGCCAGGAGCACACATATTCTAAACTCCCTACTGGGATTGTCTCTAAAACAAGTTGTTGAGGAGCCAACTCGTAAAGAGGCCATACTAGATTTAGTGTTAACAAATGGAGATTTGGTATCAGATATTACTGTAGGTGAAAGTTTAGGATCCAGTGATCATCAGTCAGTGTGGTTTAATATAAGAACAGTGACTGAGTCACACCACACAAAAACAAAAGTTTTAGACTTTAGAAAAACAGACTTTTCTAAAATTAGAATATGGGTAGAGGAGTCATTATCAGACTGGAGCAATTTAAATGGAGTCCAAGAGAAATGGGATTATTTAAAAGTTGCACTATTGAAGGCAACAGAAAATTGCATTAGGCTTGTCAGTAAAAGCAAAAAATTCAAGAAACCACTGTGGTACTCCGCAGATGTGGCCAAAATAGTTAAAAACAAAAAGTTAGCATTTAGGAATTATAAAAAAACCCAGAGTGAGGAAGACAAAATGATCTATAAGATTAGGCAGAAAGAGGCTAAGCAAGTTATAAGAGCTTCCAAATCACACACAGAAGAGAAAATAGCACAGTCAGTAAAAAAGGGGACAAAACATTTTTTAGATACATAAATGAGAAAAGAAAAGTAAAACAAGGATTAGTTAGATTAAAAACAAAAGAAGGAAGGTATGTAGAAGAGGATAAAGGTCAGGCTGACTGCCTCAATGAATATTTTTGTTCTGTATTTACAGAAGAAAATGAAGGAAAGGGACCTCAGTTGAGAAAAAGGATAAATGAGTCATTTATTACACGTGAGTTTACAGAGGAAGAGGTTCTATTTCAACTGTCAAAAGTAAAGACAAATAAGTCAATGGGACCTGATGGAATACACCCAAAGCTATTAAAAGAGCTTAGTGGTGTACTAGCAAAACCATTAACAGATTTATTTAACCAATCATTGTTAACAGGAGTAGTCCCAGAAGATTGGAAGTTAGCGAATGTTGTGCCCATTTACAAGAAAGGTAATAGGGAGGAGTCGGGCAACTATAGGCCAGTAAGCCTTACTTCAGTAGTGGGGAAAGTGATGGAAACCATGTTAAAGGATAGGATTGATGAACATCTAAAAACACATGGATTTCAAGATCAGAGACAACATGGGTTTACTTCAGGGAGATCATGCCAAACTAATCTTATTGATTTTTTTGATTGGGTAACTAAAATTATAGATCAGGGTGGTGCAGTAGACATTGCTTACCTAGATTTCAGTAAGGCTTTTGACACTGTTGCACATAGAAGGCTTATCAATAAACTGCAATCTTTAAGTTTGGATTCCAATATTGTTGAATGGGTAAGGCAGTGGCTGAGTGACAGGCAACAGAGGGTTGTAGTTAATGGAATATATTCGAAGCTTGGACTTGTCACCAGTGGGGTACCTCAGGGATCTGTACTTGGACCCATTCTCTTTAATATTTTTATTAGTGATATTGCAGAAGGTCTTGATGGTAAGGTATGTCTTTTTGCTGATGATACTAAGATATGTAACAGGGTTGATGTTCCAGGAGGGATAAGCCAAATGACAAATGATTTAGGTAAACTAGAAAAATGGTCAGAATTGTGGCAACTGACATTTAATGTGGATAAGTGCAAGATAATGCATCTTGGACGTAAAAACCCAAGGGCAGAGTACAGTATATTTGATAGAGTCCTAACCTCAACATATGAGGAAAGGGATTTAGGGGTGATTATTTCTGATGACTTAAAGGTAGGCAGACAATGTAATAGAGCAGCAGGAAATGCTAGCAGAATGCTTGGTTGTATAGGGAGAGGTATTAGCAGTAGAAAGAGGGAAGTGCTCATGCCATTGTACAGAACACTGGTGAGACCTCACTTGGAGTATTGTACACAGTACTGGAGACCGTATCTTCAGAAGGATATTGATACCTTAGAGAGGGTTCAGAGAAGGGCTACTAAACTGGTTCATGGATTGCGGGATAAAACTTACCAGGAAAGGTTAAAGGATCTTAACATGTATAGCTTGGAGGAAAGACGAGACAGGGGGGATATGATAGAAACATTTAAATATATAAAGGAATCAACACAGTAAAGGAGGAGACTATATTTAAAAGAAGAAAAACTACCACAACAAGAGGACATAGTCTTAAATTAGAGGGACAAAGGTTTAAAAATAATATCAGGAAGTATTACTTTACTGAGAGGGTAGTGGATGCATGGAATAGCCTTCCAGCTGAAGTGGTAGAGGTTAACACAGTAAAGGAGTTTAAGCATGCATGGGATAGGCATAAGGCTATCCTAACTACAAGATAAGGCTAGGGACTAATGAAAGTTTTTAGAAAATTGGGCAGACTAGATGGGCCGAATGGTTCTTATCTGCCGTCACATTCTATGTTTCTATGTTTCTATGTATATAGAACGAATATGCTCAGTAACATGTGAGTTTGACCGATTTGGTCTTATTTATTATACTTGGAGCATACATATTACACTATGGTCTGTGTTTTATGCTTTTATTACAGATTATAAGAAAGCATCTTCTACCTCCAAGATTTAAAGTGGTAATATTCATTGTGTGCGGTGCCAACTCTCACCTATTGTGTAATTTGTTTTAATTGTACCTCTCTGTCAAGGCCCAAGAAGGCTGAATCAATCAGGTGGGGTTGCAATCTCTCTCTTGCAGTGGGAACTCACCTGGCATTTGGGTTCTCAACACACCTGACTAGGGTCAGTCTAATGAGCAAATGCTATATGTTTTGTAATGGAAAAAAATAGCTCAGACCTATTAGAATCCTGAGCAGGCACAAACAATAGGTCAAGTTATAGAGTTCTCTTTATGCTCTTTTTAAATCTGTTTTAGTTTATACACTCATAAGCAATCTGGATATCTGAGCCACATCAGCAAGACCAATGCACCTTGAGTCTATTTTGTACATGTTAAGAAAAAAAGATATACAAGATTTCTCACGCCAGGGTTGAAGGCTGTACTTGGAAGCGGATTGACGCTGTAATCACTGTAAGTAGAGGATTCTAAGTCCACATCCGACAATTCATTTGCTGATCGGGTTGAAGTGGCACTGTTTGTCATGGCCGTCATAGAGAAAAACATATCTGTACGGATGAAAGATAAATATTTTAAGAACCATCTCTCAGATGCATAGATCTCATGCATATTATGCAGCTAATATAACAGAATTTTAAGTGTGTGTTTGTTCTAGTTCCAGTTTAATTAAATAATGTATAATGTAGGCAGTTCACTGTGAAATAAAATGCAGTAGCAAAGGCTAGATGTGGAGAGCAACTCTCAATCAGGGGACTATAACCTCAATTCATCTCAAGATACTGTGTAATTATGAGGTTTAATTAAACAGGGCAAAAACATATTGACAGCCACTACATCGTGCAAACTAGCGAAACGGCCAGCAGCTACACAATGTAAACTAGGAAAATGGACAGCAGATGCACCATGAAAAACAGGATTTGGGACAGCAGTCATAGCACGCAAAAAAGGAAGAGGGACAGCAACTAAAGTACACAAACCAGGATATTGGATAGCAGCTACATCATGCACACAAGGGTAAGTTCCCGTAACATGCACGCAAGACAAATGAAGAGCTGCCACATCATGCCCACCGGAAGAAGAGCTACACCATACACAGAAGGCTTGTGGACAGCAACTACACTACACAAACCAGGATATGGATGGGACAGCAGCTACATCATGCACACCAGGGTAAGGGATAGCAGCCCCACCACACCAAACAGGGATAGTGACAGCAGCGACATCATGCACACCTGGGAACAGAAAAATCCCCATAATACTACATATGTGCTACTTATCACCAGTAGATGTATAAGAGCTACACTCTGCACAGAAGGGTAGTACTACACCATGCAAAGCAGGAAAAGGAACAGCAACTATGCCATACACACCTGGCAAGTGGGCAGAAACTACACTATGCACACCAGGAAAAGTGACATCTGTTACATCATGCAAACTAGGAAAAAGAACAGCCTACAAAGCAGCATTAAACCTCTGTCTCTCAGCATCCTATATCACAGCATACCATCATTATTATCATTATTAACCCCGGCATTTAATAATTGATGAGATTTTAGACTGACCTCCGTTCTCCACAGTGCGGAAAGAGATGAATTCCGGATCTGGTTGAAAAATAGATCCAGGACCTGGGTTTAGTTGCTGATTTAGGTCCTGTTCAATTAGCTTCAAATCCTCCCCATCCAGAGGTCGACTCTTTAATAGTTTCTCTTTGATACTGTTTGATTCTGCAAAAGCAAAATTCAAAACTTATGTAGGGTACAGATATCTGATGTACTCTTATTGGACAACCTAATGTTTGAACATACCTGAAATACTCAAAGCATCTATGAGTTGCTGTAGGTTATAAAACTGACGTGGATTCAGAAACAAGTGTAGGGACCCAATCTTTCCATCGATCTCAAACTGTAGAAAAATACATAGCCGTCATATGGCACAGTGCATTTAAGATTAATGTACAGCACATACAGCTAAATACCTTTTACTAGTGCAAAAGAAAAAAGCTCACAGAGAAGCACTCAATAGGTAAATTAAGGCAATAGCCATGCACGAGCCGTATACTTGAATGTTTCGCTAAGAGTTGCATTTTATTGGATGCAAATCATTAAACTTGATCTTACAGTAGTTGGACTAAGACACAGTGAAAAATCTCAATGCTGCATTACATATACATTTAATTGTGCTTTCTAAAGTGGTTTTGTTATTTTGTTTAACAATGCTAGTGCAAAAAAAATTGAAAAAAATTCTGCTCTCACTTAGTTTTAATATTATAAAACCAAGTACACAAAATTCCAAGAGATTACAGAAACAGTTGATTCTATAAGAGATTGAAATGTTCTCTTCAGAATTTTCCTCACTCCTTAAATAGAACAGCATACTTTGTGTTAATGCATAAACCTACAATATTCTCATATATATTACAACAGAGCTTATAGGTCACCTTCGGTCCTGGGAACACGTCAGTCTGCTTTAGTTTGATAGTAAGCTCTGTACATCCAGAGAAGCTGCCAATCTGTAGGGTAGGCGAGGAAGGTGCTATTGGCTCCGCAGGCCGGCTGCGAGGCTCTGAGTGGTGTACTGGATCTTTGTCTCGGTTTCTGGAAGATTGGTTATCATCCTAAGGAGACATAAGGCAGTGAGGAACAAACTTAACCAAGTATACATAGTGGCACAAACTAAAAAGAGATAAGAGTCCGTGCATTCATTTAAAGAATATATAAGGTTACATATGTTTTTTGTATGTAAAAATGTGTTTGTACCTCAGGCACTGGAGAAGGAGTTTGATCTCTAGCCTTGAACTCCTCACAATGCAGCGAGACCCCATTGAGCTGCAAGATCTTTTGGATGAATGCTGGAGGTTGGTGGACATCCGTGGGGATAGCGTGAGAAGAGTCCCTTACAGCTTCATCGCAATAATCTAGTCTGAGAGAGAGGTAGGATATATTTAGAAAAAGTGATTGCAGTAGCACAGAAGAAATTAGAAAAGTAAAGATAAAAATGGTCAGAGCCAACATCAAATCACCCCAAAAAACTGGTGTGTTACAGATGGAATAGTTTACCCTAGGCTTAAAGTCTATTCAGTTTCTCCCCCCGCCCCCTACCCCCCTGTTTAATAACACCAGGCTCCATGACTGTGGAGTGATGAATCCACTGCCTGATGCTATGTAGTCTGCATGGGGGGCATGGTGGGGGGGGAGATAGGGGAGCAGGAAAGGGTTTGTGATAGGATAGTCAGTTCACATCTCCCCTTCTTCCACACCAGGGATTGCAGGGCCACTTCAGCCTCCTGTCCACATCCCCCTTGTGCTGAATCAAGCATTAGGGAGAAGAAGGTTTGAATTTTCTGTGCGTTTGTGACTAATCTGTATATGAATATGGCTGTAAGAAAGTATGTGAGTATGCGATTGTGTGTCTTTTCATGGAAGTCTGTGTGTGTCTATGCATGTATGGTGACTGAGCGTTTTATAATATTATGTGTCTATATAAAACTTTCTATAGAAAGAATTAAAAATAATAGGGTTTTCCAAAGACCTAAACCCAGACCCTCTGCTGCAGCTTGGATAAAGTAGAAAGCTTCCACATTAAAAGTTCAAAGCCAACCAAATTTAGACGGTACCTGTAGGTTACAAGAAATTAATGTCCAGATTAGCTGAGTCGAGGCAGTGGAGGACCTTGGCTTCAACAGCCAAGAGAGACTCATTTCAAATCTTTTTAAAAGGGTTTGACACTAATCAGACAGAATGCACCCAAGGACTCAATGAGCTGTGGTGGTTATAGTACTCAGAGTGCTACTTTAAATTGTCTCACATATAATCTAGTTTACATTAGACAGCAAGCCAAATAACAAAAACTAACCTAAAGTCATCTAATTCACATATAATGTTTTCAAAATCTCACCTTTTTATGCGGAATTCAAGGGCAGTCGCAATGGAGGAATCAAGTGGTTTGTTCTCAATCCGGATAATCGTATCCAGAAAGGTTACTTTAATCCTCCGTAACACTGCAAAAGGCACAATATATACAATGGAACAATCAAGTTAATGGACACACGACAGCCATGAAACTCTAAAGAACAGAGTGATGCATTCATGTTAAACAGGAGGATACAAAGAATATCTCTCATTGAGCATTGTCATAAGAATGTTGAAGAAATGTCTGACCTGTTTCTAAAGTTTGTGCAAACATTTCCAACCCTTCAATAGGCTGTGATGGCTCTAACGGTTCCTCTGATTGGTCCTTCAAGCACTCCTGGGCGAGCTGCATACTGGTTGTCATACAAGAGGACCAACTATGGCTGTCTGTTTCAGCTGAAGCTAAAGAGGAGAGAAAGTTGGTATGAGACTGGGAGAAGAACATATATATTTATAGTTTACTCTGGATACATAGGTACCATTTGCAACCAACACAAAAACAGAAAGGAAAATTGACCCTGAGCAAAATATGAATAAAAGCATTATTTTAAGGAAAGGAAGACTTCACTGACTATTTAAATAGCCTGCGATAGATTGAGCATTGTCAAAACCCACAAAAACACATGGCAGTTATTTTGTGAGTAGTGTCTACATTCATGTTCATTTTAACACTTAAAGGGACACTCCAAGCTTATATGCAGCATGGAGATAATGCATTATATACCCACGCAATGAATACAAGTGGTTACGGTGCTCGAGTGTCCCTTTAATCCTGACAAGTGGCTATTGCTTCATGCTTTAGAAAACATCTACGCTCAAGCAAGTTAGAGAAAGGATAGGACTTCATGCAGCTGGCTCCTTTCCTTTGGAATAACCTGCCTACGACCAGCAAGCTCTCCCCTAGTATTCAATTATTTAAAAGTGCCTCAAAGCCAATCTCTTTAGGAAAGCTTATGGCCTCCCAGAGTAACCTCTACCTCACATACCTATCCCTTGCTCTCTCCTAAAGGGCAGCACTCTATTCTCTCCTCCAGCTCTGCTTCACTCCACCTTGTTTGATTGCTATCTCCTGTCCTGTTGTGTTTTACGCCCTACCTCCTATAGGCTGTAAGCTCGTTTGAGCAGGGTCCTCTTCAACCTATTGTTCCTGTAAGTTTTTGTAATTGTCTCATTTATTGTTAAATCTCCCCCCTTTGATAATATTGTAAAGCGCTACGGAATATGCTGACGCTTTATAAATACCAGTAATAATAATACTAATAGCCCAGTACTTGTGTGCATGGTTTTACTCAGTACATGCTGTTAATCATTAATACATGACAAATATGACAAAATGTAACCTTGACTATCCTGTGTCCAAACAAGCATCTATCTTTTAGTCCTCCTTCCTTTAAGTATCACTTCTCCAACCGAAGACCATGCGCAATCTGGAAGCCTGATACCGTCTCTGAGCACATTGTCTTTATACGGCCAGCACTTGTGCATTAAGTCAGGATTGGTGAACACATACTGGCTCCCAATTAGCTGGTTGACCCTTAGTTGTATAGGTGGTGCTTCCCATCAAAGATAACTTAAAAGGGACACTATAGTCACCAAAACAACTTTAGTTTAATTAAGTAGTTTTGGTGTATACATCATGCTCCTGCAGTGTCACTGCTCAATTCTCTGCCATTTAGGAGTTATATCATTTTGTTTATAGAGCCCTAATCCCACCACCCCCCACCTCCCACCTGCATGTGACTTACACAGTCTTCCTAAATACTTCCTGTAAAGAGGCATCTGATCTAAACTTCCTTTATTGCTAATTCTGTTTAATTTAGCATTTATTATCTCCTACTGTGTTAATAGCTTGCTAGACCCTGCAGGAACCACTGGCTAGCAATTCAAGTTCAATTTACAGAGCAGTAGATAAAAACTAAATCTAAGTAAAACTAAAAGTAAGTATCATCTGAAAATGAAACAATTTTGTTTTCATGCAGGCTGTGCTGTGTCAGTCACGGCAAGGGGAGGTGTGACTAGGCTGCATAAACAGAAAGAAAAGTGATTTAAATGGACACTATAGTCACCAGAACAACTACAGCTTAATGTATTTGTTCTGGTGAGTATAACCATTATATGCAGGCATTTTCATGCAAACACTGCCTTTTCAGAGAAAAGTCAGTGTTTACATTGCCCCTAGGGACATCTCCAAGTGGCCCCTCCTCAGATGGACACTGGAGGAGATTCTTGGCTCAGTGCTGCACAGTAGGCAGCACTGCCGTTCAGCGTCTCCACGCTCTGCATGGGAACGCTGAATTTTGGCCAAAACAGCATTTGGCCACGCCCCTTGCCAATTTTAGCCAATCCAATGCTTTCCCCATGGGAAACAAATTCAATACAAGAAAGAAAAAAAAAACAATGGCAGTCTTCCTTCTGATATTTAACCTCACAGAGATATTCGCTCATTAGTGTAAAGGATATAGTTCAAACTATGGAACCAGAGTTTTTTTTGATAAGCTCTAGCTATAAGGTTTTTGTTTTATATCAGTGTATAGGGGAGGGCTGGCTGTATATGGCCTGGGGGACAACTACAAATAGCCCAATCTGCAGACAAACCAGTACAATGTCTCATCACACTAAACTCCACTTCCCTGCTCAATTTTATATTACATGGTTTATACCCCAGCTCATCACACTGGGGACTTGCGAGTCTAATTTGTTTTTTGTTTTTTTGATTGTTGAAAACCAATAAAATATTATCCACAAAAAAAAAAAAAAGAAATCCCCCTCGGCCCCCTCACTAGCTCTCCGGTCTGTGTGATAGGTTTTACAGTGGAGGCAGACATCCAGATAATTTGAGGGGATTTCATAAAAGTAGTTAAATTCTGCCACTACTGGGGACAAACTGGGAACACTGCATCCCTAGTTTACTCAAACAGTAGTGACACTTGAAAAGATATTAACATGTGCTATAAGGATACATGCAATCATAGTGAAGGGTGTGCACAGTGGCCAGTTTGTTGTTGTAACTGTATACTTTCGATAGACAGAAATGTCCTGTCACATGTGGATGGAGGTATTTAAAATAAGAACTGGTGTCAGTTTTTTGGAGAATACCATGGACTGACTATATTTTATAATATATTCTATGTGTTTCAAGTTTTATTTTTATACCTTGTGATCATTTCTGTCTTCACAGCTATGCCATCTACATACCAGAAAGGACTACAAATATTGCAGCCAAGCAGCCTCCTCAAGAGGTAACACCCCACAAATTCTGCAGGGTTATTTACTAAACTCGGAATGTCCCTCTACCGAACAGGGCGACACCAACCCAGTGCTGTGCAGGACCATTAAGAATTTTAACAAGGTTCGGATTCTGAAAATAACGCACCAATGTGCATGAATATAGTCTGGGTTTCAGCCGGACCAAATGCTGCCAGACTGTTAAAATCCAAATTATGGGCCCACTGGCAATGGTTTCACCTCAAAATCTACAGACTGGAACCAGTCAGCACTGCCCCTCCACTTTTGTTACAGTCCGAGACATCAGTCAAAGAAGCCTTGGACTGGGCGCCCCACATTTTTCCATCAGTTTTGTGAATGGGGAGCTCTTAGAGGATGAATGCATAGGCTGAAAATGTCAGCTCATCAGCAGAGCCCAGTTAGAGGCATTCTGATTGAAGCCACAGGCTCTAATTGATGTGGAGTGGCTGAGTTGAAAGGCGGCAGACTGGTATTTCCGCAGGTAAATCAAACTGTTCTAAAACAGTTCTAAAACAGTTTGACTACTTACAATGGCACAAGGGCACTCGTGGTACCATAATAACTACAGCATAACTAACCCCTGAAGGTAATTTGGCACCTAGGAGCTCCTGATCCAAAACAACTACATTCCAATGAAGTTGTTATGGTGCCCAGAGTGTCCCTTTAAGCCTAACTGTTTCATAATATAGAGTATAATAATTGTAACTAATCAAATTCAATTGGAAAGTAGCTGCAATTCACATAACATCTATGTGTGCTATCTTAAAGAAGCATCCCTTAATGCCAAGCAACATATTACTATATACAAAAAGATGCACACCTTAGTTAATCATCAAAATCTCTATTATAAAACAAACACTGATACAAGACTATAACAACCAGTGACAGAGGCTATAAAATATGCTCTAAATCAAACGGGCATTAAAGCTCACTTGCATATTACCTCAATGGGTTGGACACGTGTACAGAACAAAACCCCAATGTTTCAGCACAGCTACTAGTGCCTTTCTCAAGGGATAACCACGTCTTGTAACAGTGTTTGTTTTGTATTTTTGTTTGATTTACTTTGTATAATAAAGAGATTCGGATTAATGGCTAAGGTGTGCATCTTTTTGTATAAAGACTATATGGTATATTCACTACAAACCGAATCTGGCTCAATTCATCTTCTAAAATTTCTCTGAGGTTAACCGTATTCACTTAAACTGAACTGAACTGAATGGGTCCATGTGTTTTTAAAATGGATTTCACAGTCATGAAAATTTGTTCACAAATAAATTGAGCTGAATTGTAACAGAATAATAACCAGTAATATACTTATGCATTCAGTTTCAAATGAATTGTAATTCGGCTAAATTTTGGCCAATTGGTGGATCATCTACATTCTTTAATTTTTAAGTGCCATATGGACGCATAATGAAACAAACGACACAGACAACAGACAAACAGTTTTGTTTGATTCATGATTTCGATTTTCCAACCATTTCCAGCCAAAAAGATTATTGATGAAAATGGCACAGCAAACCAATCAAAGAAATAATAAAATAAACATGAGACCCACTGAACCAAATGCTTGAAATACATACACAACTGAATACTCAAAAGTAACAGAATGTTCAAAAAACGCAAATATTGACAGGCTGTGGACAGAGTTTAAGTGGTAAAATACCAGTCTATTCAGTCAAAATTCTGTCGAATTCCAAATAGAACTAGCTTAATTAAAAGGGTACCCTGCAGTGAGCCGGGATATGACATCACTGCTGGGCGCACAAAATACATGTGCAGGAAGAGCACAGAGGTCCCAGCCCAGCAACAACCGCTAGCCACCAGGTACAGAAGATGCATTCTAGGTCGAAAGGTAGGAAGGCTGGGTGGACCTCTTTAGTACTAAATGTGTGTATGTTACTGTTATGTATGTTTTGTCAGTGATTGTCTGTGTGTGTGGTGGGAGGAGTCTGCAGATGTCTGTGATTGTGTGTGTGTAAGTTTGTGATTATGTGTATGGGTCTGTGATTGTGTGTGTATCTGTGCGTATGTATGTTATTGTGCGTATAGGTCTGTGATTGTCTGTGATTATGTGTGTATAGTTTTGTGGTTATGTGTACATATGTATATACATGTATATGTGTTTAGTAGATGGATCCCTAATTGGTATCCTAATTTGGTATCCTTAAATATGCCAATCCCACATAAGGTTCACAGATAAGGGAGTTATCTACTAAACTATTGAAATATCAAAAGTAAGAAAAATGCTTTTAACCCCTTAAGGACACATGACATGTGTGACATGTCATGATTCCCTTTTATTCCTGAAGTTTGGTCCTTAAGGGGTTAAAGTTATATTACTTATAAACTGTCACGGGAGATGGGACTCCTTGTACATGTTCCCTTAATTATACTTTATATCGTCTAATGTTTTCCTGCATTCAAATGGAATTGTTCCCTATGGTTGGGTAACCGAACAGATTCTGTGTGGTCCCCTTGTTCGCAAATCATGTTTAGGCTTGATTGAAAGAATGTGCTTGTCCCATTCTAAATAAGATAAAAATAAGGCTTGAGTATTAATCTGTGGATAGGTATTAATGTCTCTTTTGGATAAGATATTGGAACACACTGCTTGTTCATATCAAAAGACTCCTTATCTAGGAGGGAATCAAGACATACGGAAAATGAGAGCGTTAGTTTATACTGAAACCAGACTTCCAGGCCACTTATGTGTGACTTCTCACACATTACAAAGTAGCTCTGCTGGGATCCCAGCTTCAAAGAGGAATTTAGGTTGTAAGCTCTGACCTCCCATACAATCAAATTAACCCCTTTTGAAATTGACAATACCACCTCTACCAGGCAGCCAGTTCATATATGCACGAACATAACTTTTGTTTTACTGAACCGATTTGAGCATTTTTGGTTATGTTGTGCATTCAGATCAGGGCTATTCGGGAATATATTTGTTGTGGGGTTCCAATGCTGTTGTCATATATTTTTGTGTTATGAAAAAATTGTAGGTTTTCCTATTTGAGAGATAATTGGATTAGCTTAATTAGAGCTCAATTATCTCTCAAACACAATGGCTTGTGGGAAGGAAACCCCTGTGATTTTGTATTAGAAATGTTTGACAATCCTATCTTTTAACATGGTTTCCATCACTTTCCCAACTACTGAAGTAAGGCCTTTAGTTGCCGACTCCTCCCTACTACCTTTCTTGTGAATGGGTACAACATTCGCTAATTTCCAATCTTCAAGGACTACTCCTGTTAACAATGATTTGTTAAATAAATCCGTTAATGGTTTTGCTAGTACGCCACTAAGTTCTTTTAAAGGGACACTATAGTCACCTGAACAACTTCAGCTTAATGAGGTTGTTCAGGTGAGAAATATAGCTCCCTGCAGCCTCTCTCATGTAAACACTGTATTTTCTGAGAAAATACAGTGTTTACATTGAAAGCTAGGGACACCTCCAGCTGCAGTCACTCAGAGTGAACCAGAGGGACTTCGGAGTTGATAGAGGCATAATATGCCTCCATTCACTCAGATCTGCTGTCAGCAGAGTACAGGGCAGTACAGGGCAGCACCGTGCACAGCATCCTGTGATTCAGTGTCTCCTCCCTCTGCATGCAGACACTGAACTTTCCTCATAGAGATTCATTGATTCAATTAATCTCTATGAGGAGATGCTGATTGGCCAGGGCTGTGTTTGAATCATGCTGGCTCTGCCCCTGATCTGCCTCTTTGTCAGTCTGAGCCAATCCTATGGGGAAGCACTGTGATTGGATCAGGCTACCACATGTCAGCAGATTGCTTGTTTTTCTGAGTCTAACAGCATGCAGATTTACAGCTTCAGGCTTGAATACAGTAAGATTTTTACTATATTTATGGAGGCATAAGGGGCTAGATGGTGGTTTTAACACCATAGGGTCAGGAATACAGGTTTGTGTTCCTGGCCCTATAGTGATCCATTAATACCTTTGGGTGTATTCCATCAGGCCCCATCGACTTATTTGTCTTTACTTTTAACAGTTGAAATAGAACCTCTTCCTCTGTAAACTCACATGTAACAAATGACTCATTTGTCCTTTTTCCTAAATGAGGCCCCTTTCCTTCATTTTCATCTGTAAATACTGAACAAAAATATTCATTGAGGCAATCAGCAAGACCTTTATCCTCTTCTACATACATTCCTTCTTTTGTTTTTAATCTAACTAATCCTTGTTTTACTTTCTTTTTCTCATTTATGTATCTAAAAAAATATGTTTTATCCCCCTTTTTTACTGACTGTGCTATTTTCTCTTCTGTGTGCGCTTTGGAGGCTCTTATAACTTGCTTAGCCTCTTTCTGTCTAAATTTGGGGAAATTCTACACAAAGGTAATACTTCACTATATTTACACATCTTCAACTGCTCTCTCTCTTCTGGCGTTGTCCCTGTTGACCTTAAACATGCCACTGTAGTACCTATCCTGAAAAAAAAAAAAAAAAAAAACATCTCTTGACCCATCCACCTTCTAACTATCGTCCCATATCCCTGCTCCCTTTTTCCTCAAAGCTTCGGGAAAGACTTGTCTTTACCCGTGTGTCTCGCTTTCTCAATTCCAGCTCTCTTCTTGACCCTCTTCAGTCTGGCTTCCGTCCTCTCCACTCTACTGAGACTGCTCTTATCAAAGTTACTAATGACCTAATCACAGCTTAATCCAAAGGCAACTACTCCATACTAATTCTTCTTGACCTCTCTGCTGCCTTTTACACCGTTGATCATGCTCTGCTCCTTCAAACTCTTCAATCGCTCGGTCTCTGTGACTCTGTCCTCATAGATTTCCTCTTATCACTCCCAACGCTCATTCAGGGTCTCCTTTTCCAAGGATAACTCCTCCCCTCATCCTGTCTCGGTTGGAGTCCCCCAAGGCTCTGTCCTTGGTCCCCTTCTATTTTCTATTTATACTGCCTCTCTTGGCAAACTTATTGCCTCTTGTGGATTCCACTACCACCTGTACGCTGATGACACCCAGATATATGTCTCCTCCCCAGACCTCTCCCCTGCCATCCTGCAACGTGTCACTGCTTCCCTTTCTTCCATCTCTGACTGGATGTCCTCCCGCTTTCTGAAACTCAATCTCTCTAAAACTGAGCTCCTTGTCTTTCTTCCTCTTAATACTGATCCTCCTCTTTTTCTCTCCCTTCAAGTCAGTGGTATCCACATAAGTCCATCCTTGCAAGCAGTCTTGGCGTCATACTTGACTCTGGCCTCAGCTTTGAGCCTCCCATCCAGTTTGTTGCCAAATCCTGTAGATTTCAACTTAAAAACAAAGCCTGCATCCACCCCTTTCTAACAAAAGGTGCTACCATGCTCTAGTAATTTCTCGCATGGACTATTGTAACCCTCTCCTGATTGGTCTTCCCAAAAGCCGTATCGCCCCGCTAGTCTGTAATGAATGCCGCCGCACTGATTTTCCTCTCTAGTCAGTCCTCACACACCTCACCTCTCTGTCAGTCCTTACATTGGCTTCCTGTATCCTGTAGGAGTCAATTCAAAGTGCTAACCCATACCTATAAAGCACTGAACAATTCTAGCCCCTCTTAGATCTCTTCACAGATCCATAGGTATGCCCCTCCTCGTTCCCTCCACTCTGCCTGTGACCACCTCCTGACCGCTGCTAGCACCCGTACGGCTAACTTGCACTTGCAGGACTTCTCACGGGCGTCTCCCTTCCTATGGAATAGCCTGCCTACCCTCATCAGACTCTACCCTAGTTTTCAATCCTTTAAGAAGTGCCTTAAAACCCATTTCTTTAGAAAAGCTTATGGCCCCCCAGAGTAACCTCTACCTTACACACCTGTCTCTTGCTCTCTCCGATAGGGCAGCACTTTACTCTCTCCTCCAGCTCTGCTTCACTCCCACCTTATTTTATTGATATTTCCTGTCCTAATGTGTTTTATACCTCACCTCCTATAGACTGTAAGCTAGTTTGAGCACGGTCCTCTTCAACCTATTGTTCCTGTACGTTTTCTTGTAATTGTCCTATTTATAGTTAAATCCCCCCTCTCATAATATTGTAAAGTGCTACGGAATCTGTTGGCGCTATATAAATAGCAACAATAATAATAATAACAACAATAATTCAGCACATCTGGAATTGGGACTATTGGAGGATTGAAGGAATAACAGCAATAGACTCACAAACCCGTGACATGTACATTATCTGTATTATATAATTTGATGTGTGGCCCAAGACAATTCCTCTGCGCTCAAAGCGGCTCATGGAAGCCAAAAAGTTGGACACCCATGATCTAAACCAATGGCAACCAAATAAAAAATGTAAATACTGAAGAAATATCCCAGTTTGTTTTTTGAGAACAGCAGAAGGGGTTTCACAGTGCATATCAGTGCTTTTTACAGTCATATCTTGACAATAAAACGTCATTAGGCTCTTTCACCCTGGTGTGGTATATATAATACTGAGAGATCTATTCTCTAATGTCTGCTTGTCAATTCTCCATTCCTGCATTGAGTCACTACATTCCAGAGTAAGTATCAATCATTTTAATACATACTATGGCTGACAAGGGGTATACACCTATCTGTAATTGGTATTGGCAACAATAAATTATCAAGAAGCCTATATACTTATTTTTGCATGCACAAAATAGCAACTTTTTGTAGTTCAAATGTATGCATTTACGGTTTTAGAACCTGGTAAGGCTGGTACTTGGTTCACTGCCACTCTTCTAAGAAACACCATGGTGGATCACACATTTTGTTTGGATGACCCAAAACGAACCACTACCTGATCTACAATCATAATAAATGACATGAAGAGAGCACTCACCACTCATGCATGTATCTGGTATGCAGAACACAAACACTTAGCACTTAAAGGAACACTATAGTCACCTAAATTACTTTAGCTAAATAAAGCAGTTTTAGTGTATAGATCATTCCCCTGCAATTTCACTGCTCAATTCACTGTCATTTAGGAGTTAAATCACTTTGTTTCTGTTTATGCACCCCTAGCCACACCTCCCCTGGCTATGATTGACAGAGCCTGCATGAAAAACAGATGTAATTTACCTTAAAAAAATTGGATCTCAATCTCTAAATTGAACTTTAATCACATCCAGGAGGCTCTTGCAGGGTCTAGCAGGCTATTAACATAGCAGGGGATAAGAAAATCTTAATTAAACAGAACTTGCAATAAAGAAAGCCTAAACAGGGCTCTCTTTACAGGAAGTGTTTATGGAAGGCTGTGCAAGTCACATGCAGGGAGGTGTGACTAGGGTTCATAAACAAAGGGATTTAACTCCTAAATGGCAGAGGATTGAGCAGTGAGGCTGCAGGGGCATGTTCTATACACCAAAACTGCTTCATTAAGCTAAAGTTGTTCAGGTGACTATAGTGTCCCTTTAAGTGCCTTAGAGTGCTTTAAAAGAAAGTGGGTTCTCACCATTTCTGTATTTAGGACGGAGAGTAACCTGCAATTGAGACACCTCCACAGTACAGTTTTCAGTGACAAGGGCAGACCATGGGATGGTGACAGAAATGCTCCCGATAAATCCATCGACAATCTCTAGTGGAGCTCCCGCTGTGTCCAGAAGTTCATTCACTGACTGAGATGTAAAGTTGGGATAAAAGGAAAAAAAAAGAGTTTAAATGTCATGAGTAGCACCACCAGGAAACAGAGAGACAAAAATGGGGACAATAGGTGTGTGGGTGGTTAAGTAAAAATGGGTACAATAAATGTGTGCAAAGCCAATGTGATGTTCAATAAAAATAAAAGTAGGCTAGAACATGTGTGTCATGGAGGATAGACAAAGAAAAAAAAAAACAGGAAGAGTTAGAAAATGTTTATTATAGTGCATAGTTTAACACATACCAATAAGTTACATTTTACATTATGTTCTACACATACACACTAGGTTGGATGAGCGATAAAAGATGAATGGGAACACCACCCATTTTCCAGTACATACGCACTAGAAAGGTATGTATAGGATGTGACAAATTCAATTTAGAAAGTGATTATAGTGTATGATGAGTGTCAATTACTAAATGAGAGGTGCATGACATATTTAGAAACCATTTCCTTGTCATTATTATTTCATATGCTAAAAAACACGTTGCTGAATGTTGGACATTGCACTTTCTGGCAGTTAAGGGGTGATAACACCAACGTTACATTCTAGGATTTTGGACAGCACACTGTGTCCTTAGAATCCAACATAGAAACTGACAGCTGAGGACTTTTTGGAACTTGTTCAATTCTTGCGTCAGTAAATGAAACAAGGTTTATTTCGTGGAATAAGCCAGGGCATTCAAAGAATTGTCAATTACATTTTTTCATTTCATAAGGACTTTTCTTGCTTGTTAAAACAAAAAATATATATTTTGCAATATCCTATGATTTCGAACTCATTGTGAAAGGCTATAAAATTTTAAATCTTATAAGTTTAATCCAATTCGCAATGAAAGAAATAAAGCAGATTTTAAATCACAGCCTCTGTACACTGCTTAAAAAAAAAAAATCAATTACAATACACCTTTTATCAATAAAGTTTGTGAGTAGAAAAGTCAGCTTCAGGTGCAGGCATCAATACACACACACACAAACACACCCAGTGCAGCATGAGTACACCATGGTGTCCTTATCACTGGGTTTGTAAATAATAATATACCTCTATTTTAAAGTCAACTGTCACGTTTCAGTATTTACAAACATATATTCCTCATGAAATACTGGTCAAGACTGTGGTGGGATTTCATAAGACGAAGCTTGTCAAAGTTGACAAAAGCCAAGCTCTGTCGTCAAAGTTTTCTGAAATCTAAGCAGCCATGATAAACAACAGCTTTGAAATTCAGGCTCTGTCTATGGAGGATCCATACAGTCTCGTGAGAGTACAGTACTGATGTGCGTTTTGGCAATTGACGCTCCAGAAGCAGAAGAGGACAGCAGCACGAGGATGGCAGCGGCCGTACGGGGCAGCCTGAGGTGTGTAAAACTCCCCTCACCTGCAGTGCGCAACCACCGGACCCACATCGGATCTGTCCGTTTTAACAACAAAATGTTAAGAAGTGCATTTTAAGCATCACTTTATTTAAATTACCTGTCCTTTTAAAACAAACAAAAACCCTACAGAATACAAGTGGCTCTAATTACTGTAGTACAATGCAGACAGTTTTTAAAGGAGCATTCCAAGCACCATAACCACTACAGTTGCACTGTTAACAGCTTGGTAATTTTCCTGGAATCTGCCAAGAAGCCAGTTGCCTCCTCCATTAGAGCTGGAAGCGGTCTGCCTTGAGCCAAGTCCAGGCATATCACTGGCTGTGAATGGGCACCCTGAGGACTCCAAGTATATTGTCAAACCATTAGCCAATTGTTGGACTTCTTATATGGGGGCTGAGGGGAACCAGGGCATTCCTGGCACCATATCCAATGCACATGCTTTTCTGTCTAGATATGGTTTTGACTATTTTTGTCTAGAACTCAGGAGCATAATTTGGATTTATTTTTATTCTTCTACTGCTGAGAAAGTGTTGCAATAAATTACTTAGCTTTCCAGGAAAGCTGAAAAACAAGGTAAGGACAAAACATTATTTCCAGCAAATCAATGACAGATACATAGTAAAAAAAATTTGCTTTAAACTGGGGGAAAAAGAAATTCCTTCTTAACTCCAAAACAGCAGTCACATCATTTCAATAGCTGCCCAATCGCTAGTATTTAAAGTTTTGAATCAATGCAGCTATATGAGAAAATTTCAAGTCTCTATGCAGATCATGGAGACGCTGAACGTCACAGCTGCACACTACCCCAGGAAGCATCTCCAGCAGATGCTTCCTGGGGTAATGTGAAGAGTGGCCACTGTAGGTATCTCTAGGCTTTAAAGTAAACACTACCTTTTCTATGAAAAGATAGTGTTTGCATGAAAATGCCTGCAGGGCCTGTCTATGCTCACCAGAACAAATACAATGAGCTGTAGTTGCATAGCTGAAAAGAGACTTACGTCCATCAAGTTCAGTCTTACTCACATTTGTTTTTTGCTGTTGATCCAAAAGAAGGCAAAAACTCAGTTTGAAGCACTTCCAATTTTGCAACAAACTAGGGAGAAAATCCCTCTTGACCCCAGAATGGCAGTCAGATTTATCCTTGGATCAAGAAGCTATTACCCTACATTGAAAAATGATATCCTTGAATATTCTGTTTTTGCAAGTATGCATCTAGTTGCTGTTTAAACATCTGTATGAACTCTGATAAAACCACTTCTTCATGCAGAGAATTCCACATCCTTATTGTTCTTACAGTAAAAAAAAAACAAAAAACAAAAAAACACGTTTCTTTGCCTTAGACGAAATCTTTGTTGTTCTGGTGACTATAGTGTCCCTTTAATGACAGTGCTAGCTGCTTTTAGCGAGCAAGCACCCACCTCCAGCATGGTGATTGGGGGCATGGGGGATGTTTAAAGGCTTAACTTGATGGCCGCATGTCTCTTTTCAGCCTGTGTAACATTTCATGATGTTACTTGCATGCATGTTCAGTTCGTCTTCTACAGGTTTGTGCCAAGACAGCAGCAATAGAGAAAAGGCTATTTTTTCAGTTTAGTTCTAGAGTCTGTTTTTGGCCCATTTTAAAAATTATTTTCCTGCATAATGTATTGAAACATTGTTCCAGGTAGTATTGCCCCTTTAAAGAAGAATTTATTTTTTATGTTACTTTCCCTTTAAAGGAAAAGCAATATAACAACCACAACTACTAAGTGTAGTGGTTATGTTGTTACGAGACAAGTATGTTGCCCCTCAGTACTTTGCAAACCACTGGGAAGTAGTTTAACAAACACTGGGGCTTTCCCTTGCGTCCACAGACCGCCCCTTCCTGAGCTAAACAGACTGGCTAAAAGCATTGGACTAATCTACCCCCACCACTCTCAGCCTATCACGGACATCAAGGTTGGAAGAAATTGACAATAACAACACAGAAGTGTTAATTCTGCAATTTCAAGGCAGCTGAGCAAAGAGCAGCAGCTGGGTACCAAGGAGAAGCCATGGACTTTGTCAAACCACTTCTAAACAGCTTGACAAAAACAAAGGGATGCGCAGTTTATGTGATGCCTACAAGGCATCTCTACCTGGTATCCAGGCACATAGTACTGGGATGGAGTGATATGAACCCAATACTCTAACTCAGGATGCTGTGCTGGAGCAGAAAGAAAGAGTATCTCCCTGGCAGACCGTGGGGCCAGCATGGACACGAGTTTCAATGCCTTGTACAATTTTTCTGTGGCCATGTCCAGATCCCAGTTCTTGTCAGTATACTAAGATCCCACTTTTTAGTCTTGATAAAGAATGCAAAATAGACAAACTAATGACACTAACGAAAAGTCACAATTTTCAGTTCAGGCATCTTACATTTTTTTGTCTTTAATTTGAAGCCCCCAAACATTTTTTTTGTCTTTAATTTGAAGCCCCCACCAGCTTGTAAACAACCAATAAACATTATCAGCAGAAGGATGGGATAAGAAGTTGAGAACCCAGCACATCAGTAGGTCCATACAAAGATATTCAAGTTACTGATACAGTAACTCAGTGTCACATGTCTATAGGCTACCATTAATCAACCCCAAGGAGAACATGAACAGGACAAAGTTTAACATAAATATATGATGCATGGGCAAAAAATTAACACTAAATAATGATACAGATGATTTTCATAATGTTATATTGAGTGAAAAAAGTGAAGTACAGGTAGAAGAGCACACTTGAATGAATCACAAATATTTACAGCACTATCCTTTATTTCACAATTTTTAGCTATTTACCAAGAGGCATGTTTGCCCAAGATATGATAATAACTTTGATAAATATGAATAAACACACAGGCCAAAGACAGCCCCATTTTCCAATTGATGTCTGCAGGGCCCTTAATGCAGTCAATCTACTTAGATGTCAGATTACTTAATATGAGCCCCATAGCACTTAAGTATAAGTCAGGCGTTTTATGAGCTACTCTAAGATGTGCATTTATGATCTCTCATTTCATCATAAAACAAAAACTAGATCTCAAGTTGTTGTAAAAACTACAACTCCCATGTTGGTTTTAATAGCAAAGTTATTCAAAGGCTTCCTGTGAAAGGGAGTTCATTCTAAATAGACTGTTATAGAACAGTTTAACGTCTTATCGAAGTATTGTCAGGTGTCACTCCTTCCTTCCAAAACATCTGATGGAGAGCCCTAAGTTCTTAAGCAAGAGGTTCCGTTAGCTCAACTGAGCTAAATTCTGCAGCGTACGGCTGGTTCATTCGCTGATAGTGTCAGCCGATCACTCTCAGCCAATAAACTAAGCTGTGCACTACTGGACTTAGCTCAAACAGAGAGCTTCTGGCCATTGATGGTAGTGGAGTCAGGGAGCAGCTTCCAGCAGCCCCCAGGTAAGAAGTTAAACGGTTCTAAAACGGTCTATTTACAATTGGGGTAGGGTCAAGGTACTCCTGGCACCATAAACACTACAGCACGCCATAGTGATTATGGTGCAAGGAGTGTACTTTTACTGGGTGAAGATGAAGATTTGCAGAATGTTTTCGTTGTAGCGTCACGTTAACCCTGCATAGTGGATGATAAAGACAGAAGGTTATACTTCCCCTAGTTACTACAGAGTCCCTAGAGACAAAAAGAGGTAGGTTATTCCATCTGTTATGAGGTCCTGGGGACACCACACAGCCAATTGATTTGTTTCCTTTGACACTGGTTCTGCTAACAGCATAAAGGACAAATGGAACTTTATTGTGCAACAATTTTGAATGACAAGATTCCCTGCTAGAAATATCAGCTGTTGCAAAAGAATCCTAGAGCTAAAAATATAGATTACTTCTAAACAAAAGGGTATATTTTGTATGTAAGACAGTCGAGACTGTCTTGTTTTTAAATCTTACTTTGCTATTCTTGAGCAGGAGGCTATTGTATGATGCTAAGAACACCTGCCAAGCAATCAGGACACAGTATCAAAAGGGGCACAACATTTCATATACAGTACTGTATACATAATCTCAATAAATGTATAGATGAAATGTGAGTTGTACTTTACATTTATTTTTTTCATATTTTTTTTTTTTTTTTTACACATACCTCTGATCACACAGATTAACGTGCTTTCCACAGCAATCAATACAGCACGCAAATATACTTATTGTGCCACCATACATATAGAAACAAAATTTGATTACAATGGCCAGAAGTAGTACTTGGTATTAATATATTTTGTAAATGAAAGTCCCACTTTAAAAGTGTTTTATTATATCGCTATGTTTAGCCTGATCAAAAACTCATATCCAATATCCACTAAGAAGTTTTCTTATTTTGCATTTTTGTTTTGTAGAAAATTGCTAAACAACCTACATACTAAGATTATGTAAATGCTTAGTGAATTACACATACATGAACAATAATATACATGTTTTCTTTTACTTGGTCAGGAAATTAACTATTTTCACATTCTTATTTTATGAATGGATAAAATCATGTTTACATATGAGCAATTTGCATTCTAAGTATAGATTCTTCTTAGTATAGATTCTCTGTATGACTCATTTAATGAAGCATGACGTTGTACTAAACTGTTTTTAACGGGAAACTTACCAAGGCAACAGAGAGGCTATTTTAGGTTAAAAGTCCCAAACGTTGAGAGACAAGTCTATTGTTCCATGGTAATTGTTCCTTATTTAGCTATTTGCCTCAGAATAGCACCTCTTTGCCCTGATAAATCTCTCCTAATATTTTAACTTTTAATACTTGTCCCTTAAAAATATCAAGTATTTAATTTTGGTTGATATTTATTAAGTATCATAAATTATCACAGTTTCATAGTTGTACAGTTATATGTAACAGTGTTGGTCAATTATTTGCTAAACATTGAACAGCAGTGAAGAGAAAAACAAAGTTCAAAATGTAGGCCTGTGGAAAAGAATTAGAAAAAAATCTCAAATTCTGCAATTTGTTTTAGCTTGGTACTTCAAGTTAAAACTTAGCATTTTGGACTTCAATTCAACACAATTCTTTACTTCGCAATAATCCCTAACATAGCGTAATTATTATACGTCCAAATTTACCCAAGTATCGTGCCTTATTCACACAAATACCCTTAACAACAACTTTATCTTACATAATATCTTGTAACAACTGAAATTAAACAAGCATCAACATGCACCCAGATACCATCAGATGGAGACCGTAGGGTGCAGGCACCACAGGCTCAGAAATTGAGTAGAACTGTGCTGCGGAATGCGTTGGAACTTTATAACTAATAATAACACATAAAACAAGAAAATCATTATTATTACCCAAATATCCAGGTGTATATCGGTTAGCCGGCCACTTCCATTATAGAGGTCCAAGCTCAACTGGTCAAGGCTCAGCCTTTCCTCCAAGTAGTGCCCAAGGTATCGCTGGAGAAGATACCTGCATGCCCTCTTCTTGATGGAACTTGACCATGGAAAGAGCCAGTGAGACATTTTGGGACCAGAATGAGTCAAAGGAGGACCACTCTCATCACCTCATACCCCTTAGAGAGCTTGGGGGTGCCTATCACCCAGTCCTGACTGTGGCAAGTGCACTGTTTTATATTTATAGAGGTAAGTGCCACCTGCTGCCTTAGAAGGACCTTTGTGTCTGCTCAGTACCAAGTCACATAGTCACATTCCAGCCACCCTGAAGGACTGGAGGCTCTCATCCAACAGAACCCGCTAACTGGTCAGAATATAACAGCAGGCTAAGTGTCCCAATGTTTTTGTGAAGAAGACAGCCCCAGTTTTGTTACTGCTATCACGGTTCTTCCGTGTCAACAACGACTGACCCGATTGTTGTGGCTTTAAATAGCCGCGCATGCGCGGTTCGCCGGGACACAAGGCGCGCATGCCCGGGTCACACGGGTTCCTGCGCCTGCGCACTGCGCACCACAGGGAAGGCGTCGCGAGGGTTTCGTTTCGCTGGTGCGCGCCCGAGAGTCTTTGTTGCGATAAGGCAGCTGCTGGGCTGCGCGCGCCCCCGCCCTCGCTAATGGGGTACGCGTGCAAGAGCTAGTTAAAGGCTATTAGAAAAGCTTATACTTTAATTAATAATAATAAGTAGCCTGGGCATCTTTATATCATGTACGTTTAGCTTTAAAAAAAAAAGGTTCTGATATATATATATATATATATTTTTGTTGTTGTTGGTACTACTACTTAGAAAACTAATTAAAACACGTTGGTATAATGGTTTTTCTTTTTAGCTGCAGTGTGCCATACTTTAAAGGACCACTATAGTGCCAGGAAAACAAACTCGTTTCCTGGCACTATAGGGTCTTTAGGTCCCCCCCACCCTCAGGGTCTCACTCCCGCCGGGCTGACGGGGGAGGAAGGGATTAATCACTTACCTTTCTCCAGCGCCGGTGTCCCTCGGCAATGGGGAAATCTCCCTCTTCCGACGTCAGCTCTAAATGCACATGCGCGGCAAGAGCTGCGCGCATTCAGTCCATAGGAAATCATTTCTCAATCGTTTCCTATGGACGGCAGCGTCTTCTCACTGGTATTTTCACAGTAAGAAGCGCCTCTAGCGGCTGTCAATGAGAGCCACTAGAGGCTGGATTAACCCTAATGTAAACTGCTATGTTTACAGCAGGCAGGGTTAACCCTAGATGGACCTTGCATCCAGACCACTTCATTGAGCTGAAGTGGTCTAGGTGCCTATAGTGGTCCTTTAAATTAACCCCCACCATCCAGTGGCAGATCCACAGGGGAGCAACAAAACAAATACTGAGGAGCTTTTACGTCTGGTTGACATCACAGGACACATGCCTCTTTAAAGGGACACTATAGTCACCCAGACCACTTCAGTCCTCCCTCCCACCCCCACACTAAGTCTTCAGTGAATACTATTCTACCAATCTACTTCCCTAAACCTATCCTTACCTTTTGTGTCACTTTACCCCACTCCCTCTAGCATGTAAGCTCATTGAGCAGGGCCCTCAACGCCTCTGTTCCTGTGTGTCCAGCTTGTCTGTTTACAATTACATGTTTGTTAGTCCACCCACTGTAAAGCGCTGCAGAATTTGTTGGCGCTATATAGATATAATAATAATTGGAGTTTTAGAGTGTTACATTGCAGGACTAAGACTGCCTGTAGTGGTTGTCTACCAGCCATAAGCAGAGGCTTTCGGGAGTTTCACAGAGTTTGACTCCGTGAAACAAGCTGGATGTCCTCACACTCTGAATGAGGACATTGAGCATCACAGTAAAAATCCATAGGAAATCATCAAGGCAATGCTTGCCTATGGGGAAGGCCTAGGCAAGCTCATTAGGTCCCCCAATTACATAGTTGCCAACTGTCCCATTTTTGCTAGGACAGTCCCAGCAAGTTGGAGACTGTCCCAGGTAATTTACCCCCCGCCCCCTCCCCGTCTGCTGGCCGCCAGTGTCTATTAAGCTGCAGGAGACGTGTCTGCTCTCTGCTTTCCCCGCGTGGTAGTTTCTGAACCCTCCTGTGCTACAGGCACCTCATTATCACTTTCTGTTAATTATATATTTTTTTTATTTCTCTAACCACACCGGTGTGCTACCCAGTAATTTGATATTTAGAGCACCAGAGGCATTTCTCTCATATCAAGTAGACGCTTTACTGCAGGAGAGTCTAATGAATAGATGCACTCTGCGCTCCCCTCTGTTATTTTTTGCTACACATTTTGTAGCAATCGTTATATTATGATTTATCAAGTATCTTTTTTCACTGCCACTCTCTCTGCGATATTTGCCATTTGACAGTTCAGTGTTAGCTCTAGCTAGACAACAGGACATAATTTAGCCTTGTGCTTTTTGTTTTTACCATTCTTCTATGTGCTTATTTTAGTATACTTATTAAAAGTTACATTTTAAGTTTACTTCAATTGTGATAATATCGATTACAATTCTATACCCTTTGTTGAGACACCTATTGGTAGTTTTTTTCTTTTCCATTTATGCTAGTTTGCTATTTAGGGGTTATCCCCCATTTTTTTTCTTCTACTACCCTGTCTCATATCTCTATTTAGGCTCTGTTTTTTCTTTTTCTATCTACCCCGCGTGGTAGTGCTCTGAGTAGAGGAGCCCGTAGTGGGTGGGGCATGTTACATCACTTCCCTTCCCATCAGGCCCTGCTAGAGATTACCGAGCAGTGAGGCACTTTCCATTCACTTACACCACCAACGGTAAGCAGCAATGTTTTTTTTATTTATTATTATTATTAAATAATTATGTAACTAGAACAGAGCTCCACTGAGCTAAATATTATAGTTTATGTGGAGCTCTGTGTTTTATTAGTGACACCTCATTTCTATTCCCCCCTTCTCTAACAACCACCCCCCTCCCCATCACTAACAGCCACCCCCTCTGTTACTAGCATCCATCCCCTCTCTCCCCATCACTAACAGCCATCCCCTCTCTCCCCATCACTAACAGCCACCCCTCCTCTGCCCATCACTAACAACCACCCCCCTCCCCATTACTAACAGCCACCCCCTCTGTTACTAGCATCCATCCCCCCACTCCCCATCACTAAGAGCCATCCAGCCTATCTGCCATCACCCTCCCCATCACTAACAGCCACCCCTCACCCCATCACTAACAGCCAGTCCCCATCACTAAAAGCCACCCCTCCCTCCCCATCACTGCCATCCAGCCTCTCTGCCATCACTAACAGCCATCCTCCTCCCCATCACTAACAGCCACCCCCCCTCTGCCCATCATTAACAGCCACCCCATCACTAACAGCCACTCCCATCACTAAAAGCCACCCCTCCCTTCCCCCATCACTAACAGCCACCCAGCCTCTCCCCATCACTAACAGCCACCCCCACTCTCCCTATCACTAGCAGCCAACCCCACTCTCTCTGTTACCAGCAGACATCCTTCTCTCAACCCTGTCACTAGCAGCCGTACCCTTCTCCCGCCATCACTAGCATCCATCCCACTCTATTCCTAATTACTAGAAGCTATTCACCTCTATCCCCATCACTAGCAGCCACCCCTTCTCGCCATCCCTCTGTCCCGCCATCACTAGCTCTCTTTCTTCCTCCCATCTCTAGCAGCTACCCCCCTCTCTCTCGCTCTCCCATCCACCTCTCTCGCTCTCACTAACAGCCATCCTTCTCTCTCCCCCACTACTAGCAGCCATCTCCCCCCCAACACTCTGTATGTCTGTTTCTGAATGTGTCTGCATGCCTGCCTGTATGTCTCGGTATGACTTTGTCTGTATGTCACTGCACGACTGTATGTCTGTTTCTGTATGCTTTTGTCTGTATGTCTATTTATGTTCGTATCTGTTTGTCTCTGTATGACTGTCCCTGTATGACGTGTCCATATGTCTAAGACACATAAAGGGGCAAAACGAGGTAAGACAGCCCATCTTCTGTGTTTATGTGCCTGATGGTGAGAAAGATTGTGTGTGTGTCAGTGAGCGTGTATGTGTGTGTCAGTGAGCTTGTATTAAGTAAGCTTGTGTGTGTCGGTGAGCTTGCATTTAGTGAGCATGTGTGTATATACACACACACTATGTAGCACAATGACTTATAGGGCTGGCTTAGATTTATTTTTTTCCAAGGCTGCTATGTATTCGCAGTCCGGCCCTGCTGGCAAGTGCGCTTTACTGGCGAATCACTTTCTTTATGTCGCAAAGTCACATGACCCCCACACAGGTTTATGTGAGCTACCGCTCACATCAGTCTGCATTGCCCAGACCTGTCACGCATGTCTGGGAGCTGATGGTGACAGGTAGTAGTAGTCTAGAGATTGGGACATGGGGTATATGCTCAGCTATCTGTGTAATACTATAGTGCTCCTCTCTGTATAATACAGGCCTGTTTGTGAATAATATCCCAGGACAGTCAGTGCTCCCTATATAGTGCTGCTCGCTGTATAATACAAGTCTGTGTGTCTAATATCCTGGGACAATCAGTGCTCCCTATATAATGCTTTTCTCTGCATAATACAGGTCTGTGTCTGTATAATATACCGGACAGTCAGTGCTCCCTGTGTAGTGCTGCTCCCTGTATAATACAGGTCTGTGTGTATAGTATCCTGGGACAGTCAGTGCTCCCTGTATAGTGCTGCTCTCTGTATAACACTTCTGTGTGTAGAATATCCTGGGACAATCAGTGCTCCTTGTATAGTGCTGTTCTCTGTATAATACAAGTCTGTGTGTATAATACCCTGGGACAGTCAGTACTCCTTGTATAGTGTTGCTCTCTGTATAATATAGGTCCGTGTGTATAATATCCCAGGACAGTCAGTGCTTCCTGTGTAGTGCTGCTCTCTGTATAATACAGGTCTGTGTGCATTATATCCTGGGACAGTCAGTATTCCCTTTATAGTGCTGCTCTCTGTATAATACAGGTCTGCGTGTGTATAATATCCTGGGACAGTCAGTGCTCCCTGTATAGTGCTGCTCTCTGTATAATACAGGTCTGTGTCTGTATAATATCCCAGGACAGTCAGTGCTCCCTGTATAGTACAGGTCTGTGTCTGTATAATATCCCAGAATAGTCAATGATCCCTGTATAGTGCTGCTCTCTGTATAATACAGGTTTGTGTGTATAATATAATGTGACAGTCAGTGCTCCCTGTATAGTGCTGCCCTCTTTATAATACACATTTAAGACTCCTGGAACTGGAAGAATCAGAAGCAGTGGAGTGGTGATTGAAGTCTCAATCTGAGACATTTAACATGTTGAATTGGGGGCATGAAAAGGGGCTAATGGAATATGTCCATATGTTTTCCTTTTGCTCCCATTAACTCCTGTGACGATACCTTACCTGTGTCCGCCGATCCCGCGTAGCACGGCGGTTCCCCTGGCTGCTTCCGGGAGGCGGCGCAGCCTGTCAGACGCTGCCCGCTCGCGGCGAACTCAGTTTTATGACACGGCGC